GTTATGTCAATCTTTTTTTCCCATAAGGTGAGAGAAATTAAAACCGCAGATTAACTTCTCGACATTTGTTGCCTTGCAAAATTAGAAGACAACATTCATTCAAATGGTGTTTTTTGCACAATTAGCGGCGGTCGTAGTTGACACGGAGCAGCAGCAGCAGCAAGTTACCAACTCTGGAGAGTTATCACTGAAGGCATAGCTAAACAGAAGCGCCTAGGGCCCACACGAACCTTAATCCGGCCCTGGTTCTCAGAAGCGACCCAACATGTGCAACGGTGCGAGATGCACTCGACTGCCCTGGGCGTTGTAAGCGAGGTTCGTGTTCAACTTCACGCGAACAACAACCGACATGCCCTGCCTCCACCCTCCCCACCGCATCATTTACCAATTCGCACTCTTGCCAAAAGAAGGCTCCTCGCTGGTTGTGCGAGCATTCGATCCGTCGTTGTTTTGGCGAATTCGGAGGGGGAGGCGTGGGACGCTGGGTAGAGAGCTTCGGTATTTTTTTGGCGGCGAGGGGGGGGGCACGTAAGTAGTGCAAAGGGGTAGCGGTTTCACGCAACAAGATGCCAGGCGGGTGGAGAAAGAGGATCGGTGGCCAGGGAGATGAGAAGCTCGGCGTATGACACCCCCATCACCGACCCCGTGCCTTGTCACGCCGTGACACATCATAGCAGGTGCCCCCCACCAACAAGCAATTAATCTCCCCATCCCTTCGTGCACACAAAGACAAAGATCCCCCATTTAGCCTTAAATGACTGTAGGGGCAAGTGCTGTTAGCGAGCACCTATGAAGGCCGGCACGGCACACGAGGGGGTGGGGAGCACCAGGTACTCATTTGAGGCTGAGTCGACCTAGGGGATGTCCGGGACCGATTTAGATATTCGTCACTGTTGTTGGCCGTAAGCTGGAATCTAACCCGGGTCGCCAGGTTCATAGCGCAGCGCGCTAACTGCTACACCACCGCTCCCCACACACACAAGCACACACACACACAGCAGTGGCACTGGGAACCCGAGTTCAAAACTGTACGCAACACAAAGGCAATTTTGAAACGGGACGACTCCGCATGCGTAAATGCGTGCAGGCCACGCGTGGTGGGTTAAGGTGGCAAGTTGGGGCCGGCTGGGTTGGGGTATTGATTGTTTGTTTCAGGCCACTGGGGGACTCGAGAGAGTCGACTGTTACCCGTGACGATGTCTTTCACGATCGAGTGTCAAGAACAGATGGTGGCTTTTTGAGTTACGGTCAGCTGATCCGTTTTCTACGAACCATCATAGGCGGGAAGGAGTACACGCGGTCGGGTTATGTAACCTCCCAGGATGATCACGTCTGTTCTCCCCCCCCCTTTCCCACCTCATTTCACACGAATGAGAACATTGTTTACATTCCTCGGCGGTAAACAAATGTTCCTTATTGCGGTACCCCGGGGTACCAAATAATACAACATGATCGAGGCAATGAAATATTTTATTTCTGGGACACTATTTTTTCCAGGGGTGTTACTTAGTCTTGATTTGTACTTAACTCTGTGACGGGGTAACCAATCAATCCGAAATCGGTGCTACTCCGCGATGTCGAAACGTCAAACATTAGCATACAAAAATCCGTTGTCTAAAAATTATACTTTGAAAAGTGCATCGTGTACAGCTCGTCGAGATGAGTCGATTGCCGCATGGCCGACCATCAACAGACTAAAAATAAGTAAACTTAAAAAAAAACGCTTTAATGAAGTGTACCCTACTAGTAATGGAAGAACTCCACGACTCCAGGAAGTGGCCCCGAAGCTTGCCACAACGTAAGGGACGTGGCCAATTACAGCCAACGTCAGTTGACCGTGGACAATTAGACCCAAGCCGAAACTTAAGATATAAAAAATAATGTTTAAAAAAATATATTTTAATGATAGAATATAGTATTGTCATCAGTAAGACATAAGTATACCAAGTTTGCAGTCGATACCACATTGGGAAGTGGGTTAAAATGTAGTTACAAGATATGAGGTCTACAACAACAATAACAACAGAGTGAGTTAAATAAAAGCGTGTAATAATAATGACTGCGATTTAAAGCTTTCGTGACTGGAAGGATTAATCTTCTTTGGTTCTTTCGGTAAAGTCACGTAGAATGAGAATAAAATAATAAATTGATAAAATTGATATTGTGTTATTTTATTTTATCAATTTATTATTTTATTCTCATTCTACGTGACTTTACCGAAAGAACCAAAGAAGAATAATGACTGCATCACGGACATTATGTGAGAGCCGGGGTCCTCTGGTACCCCGGGGTCCCACCTGGGGTCCCACCGTGAGGTTCAAATGTCGAGCGACCTGCGTGGTGAAATTCCTACATCGAGAAAGATACTCAGTGAAGATAAAAACAAAGATCCTCCGACAGAACGTTGGGGGCAAGTGCTGTTAGCGAGCAGCACCTATGAAGGCCGGCACGGCACACGAGGGGGTGGGTGACCAGCACCACGCCCGGCCGCCTTTGTCTCTCCCAGTGGCGATGTTTACACATCGCACCAGGTACTCGTTTGAGGCGGAGTCGAGGCTCGGGACCGGTTCAGATAATCGTCACACTGGTGTTGTCCGTTGAGCGGGAATCGAACTCGATTCGCCGGGTTCGTAGCGCAGCGTGCTAACCGCTACTACACTACCGCTCCCCACACAACACACATACACACGCACTCGGACTTACATTGTCACTGGAAACGCAACGCCATGATAACAATACAACGAAGGGGGCATTCACGTCCCGGTTCGTTGTTTTCATTTTCCTTTAAAAAAAAAACTCAAAATAATCACGACCGTCGTTGCGAAGATTTATAAGCAACATGGTAAAATAAGCAGAGAATGTGTCTCCCTTGCGTGTCTCCCGGTCTCTCGGCGTAATATAATAAATAATAAAGGTCTTTCTTCCCGAACCTTGTGAGAGGGTCGCATCATTTCGGCACGCAGCACAAGCAACCTCTGGGCAAGTTTCGACGCGCAATTTCTTATCAGCAGAGTCTGGCTCGCTACTTAAAAAATAACACGCTCACACTTTTTCTTTTGAGTCACATCGCCCTGGCCACCTGAGAAAAAGACAACAGCGTTCCTGCTTAAAGCTGTGGTTTTTTTTGTCCATTTCTCAAAATACAAAGTTATCCATCTGCTGCTAGATTTACTCACTTGTAACCGATTCCGGGGCCTTTGGTGTGGTGAAATGAAAATAAACTTAAATCGATTTTTTTTTAACAAATCGAGCACCAGTCTGAACCAGGAATCAAAAGAACCATACACGCGCACGGACCCTGTAGCACTGACCAACACGCGATTGTCCTCAGAAGTGTTTAATAATACTAGATTTGAAGCTTTCGTGACTGTGAGGATTCATACTCTTGGGTTTTTTTCGGTAAAGTCACGTAGATAAAACAACTTCAACCCAGAGGATGGTTTTATATTAATCAGCCACTGGATAGATGTCATAAACCAAGTCAAAACTTCAGCTACATTTTTCATTGCCCCCGTGCAGTGAACCACCGCTTCTCCTGAACCCTCAACATAACAAAAGACGGATTAACTTAGCCTCGTCGTGGCTTCCTGCTTGGCTCCCCCCCCTTAACCTTAGCCCCGCACGCCGTCGTGGCTCCTCGCTTGGCCCCTCCCCCCCACCTTAACCTGAGCCCGGCACGCCGTCGTGGCTCCTTGCTTGGCTCCTCCCCCCCACCTTAACCTGAGCCCCGCACGCCGTCGTGGCTCCTCGCTTGGCTCCTCCCACCTTCACCTGAGCCCCGCACGCGGTCGTGGCTCCCTGCTTGGCTCCTCCCCCCCACCTTAACCTCGCTCCTCCCTTGGCTCCTCCCCCCCCACCTTAACCTCGCTCCCTGCTTGGCTCCTCCCCCCCACATTAACCTGTATATAAGCTCGAGTGTCTCAGAGCTCACCACTTGATGCAGCGATCTTGCTGTGACTGTTCCACCTGAAGACGGAAGCTTGTGTTGCCTCCGAAACGTCGTGATTTGATTTAGTTGTTTTCTTTTATTTTGATTTTGTTTTATCTACGTGACTTTACCGAATAAAAACTAAGAGTATGTTTAATAAGTTAGCGGTAATAACGTTACGTTGCCAACCGTACGAGATGACGTTTCGTATAATGGCGACATCACTGTGGCACTGCTTTATTTTTCATCACCAAGTTTAGGATAACCCTCTAATCATTTTGCTCAGTTTTTTTAAGGGCGAGTCCCGAATTGCGACACAGCTTAACACAAAAACGTTCTCCATCGGGGTATCTTTGCGAGAGTTACCGTTGCCCCGTTACAGACTCATCGACAGTCAATGCATTGCCGCTTTCGCGAAACAAATTGACCCCCTATTAGCGTGTAATCGTTTAGAGTTGTGCAAAAGTGAGGAGGCTTGGTGATTCGGAGACCAGACCACTCCGTTGGCACAGATGAGGTCCTGGGTTAAGTTTAGGCAGCCGCATATTATAACTCCACTTTCTCAAGTACAGTGAGATGGTGGTCTTAGCCAAGTCACCAATGATTGCAATCAAAAAGTCCACATTAAATGTGTATGCATGCTAACTCTGCGTATGACAGACATCTTCACGGGCGTGTGGACCAGTGATCACTTGAAATTATCTCAGAGGTAACTCCGTCATATCCGCCTCAGCAGGCCACTTTATAATACAAGGATTTTTACTGCTCTGTGAGAGATCCGAATGGATGCTTCACTCCATGACACGAAGCAAATAGAACATGGATAGAAGCAGCTTAAATGTTTTCTATAGATATAAAAATAGCATTCAAAGAACGTTGCACAAGGATACTGTCATATTTGTATAAGCGTCTTTGTGGGCACATTTGGCACTCAGTGCTGTGATGACTAAACAGCATTAGCACACAACACCCATACCCAAAATCAAGTTATTTTCTGTGGAAATGCACACTCATGTAAAACGCACACATGTTAAAACACCGCAGAAGCAATGACCACATACCCAGAGCACGATGAAGTAAACTGAACCACTTTATTTTAATACCCAGAGAGCATTTCATGAACCTGGCATGGCATTTTAAAAAGTTAGTAAATGGACACTTTTTTTTCTTCTTCAAAATAGAGGCTTCAGAATTTCAGCTGCATTTGTTTTTGTTACTTTACGCAACGACTTTATAGAAATGTAAATATTCGAATGGTGACACACAACCCGGCAACAAAATAGTATGGAGGCTTAGTGTCGCCATTAGTGATATTTAATGGGATCCTATATAAAAAAAAGATTCGTCCATCAAATTAATCAGCCAAGAAGATCCCAGACATCTGGAAGGAGACTGAGAAACCAACATTGAAATGGGATTCCTTAAGGGCTTAGGAATCGCCCGGTAGATTCCCCATTCACCTCAATGCCAATGAGGTTGGCCACTCCCCGCCCCCCCCCCCCCCCCATAGGCCCTCGATCTCTCAAGGAACGCCATGCCAGGAGTTTACGCAGCACGGCCCCCCAACCCTCTCCCCACAATTCCACAATCCCACGATCCTGTAACGGAATCGTGACCGATTACAATAAACGAATGAAGACGGCGGGTTAGGAATTGTGAGACTTGCGCAACTCTGGAAATAATTACGAATTTTCGTTAAACGGGGAAAAAAAATGTTCAACTGTTAATTGCGATAAAATACACACGACTATTGCAGGCAGGGCACTAATTCCAACAACTGAAAGCGAATTCCTGCATTTGAAGCGTGCACTGGTGCCCTCTAGTGGACACCCGGAGTTTCAGCATGCACGACCACGTAATGTTGACTTCTGGTGAAGAGTCTAGAGGCGAAGTCGAGCTGTAAGAAACAGCGAGTTTGCGGTGCGTTCGAAATTCAGAATTCACGGGCGCACCAACAGCGAGACGATTACAAATTCTCACAGAACCCAACGCCGGCTTTGCCAACACCGTGAACTGACACAGGAACGACACTCATAGGCCAACTCTCCAACATCCGAGGTAAATAGTGCGTGGTGGCGGGGAGGGGTGGCCCAGATGAAACTAAGTCGGCTGATATTATTCGTTGCTTACCTGACCTCTCGATGCGCGGTGAGGATAAGAGCCATTGCCTGAGGGCGTCGCCTGTTATGTTTATTTTTCTGTTTAGGGCAGTGTCAACTATATCGGTGTTGAGGATATTTTTTGCTGCCGTTTATGTAGAATGGGTGTTAATTACATAAAGTGTACAACCTGTTAGCATTCATTTAATTAACCAATCACGAGTATAAAGAAAATAATGATAACGACAAGAGCACCAGCGAGCTTATAAAAGACAAGAATCAGGGTGGTATACCATTCTCTGTTCTTTTTTTTCACAAGCGCAATTAACCCGTAACCCAATCAATATACACACTAACCATGCCAGAGTTCACTTTGGCCACGTTCATTCCAACGAAAGGCCCAAGCATCGTGAAAGACGCAAGGTTTAAAGAGATGCCAAACTCTTGCTTATCGACAACTTTGGCCAATACCATTGCAGGTGTATGAACCGTAAATAAGCGTCGTCTGCTTTACAGTGGACGTTAAAGATCCCTTGACGTTGTTTGAATAAGAGAAGGCCAAAGTGTGGCCAGTGTCACATTCAAAATTTGCCTAAATGTGGAAGAAGGAGAAAAAATCCCCCGCAAGTTACCGAGTCTGGAAACTGGCAAGCGGCTTCGCCCCACTTGAGGAACCCCACACTGCAGACCGTGTCTGTGAAACACAGCGTTTGTCTTCGCGACAACCCTGCGCTATCGGAACGGTGTGAATACGTAACGTGAAAATTCGTGGATTTTGTAAAAAAAAAAAAAAGAATTGGAAAAAAATACTAAATTGGGAGAAAAAAATAATAAAATCTTCTTGAGATTGAGTATAGGGTGTGAAGTTAAAAGTAAACAGTAATCATCTTTAATTACTTTCATTTTATATCAGAAGATTTAGTCAAATCAATTATTTTCTTTCACGTAATATGGCATAAGGGTCCAGGAGATAAAGACACAATGCTCACAATTATTCTTAAACATTCATCACTTTTCAAAGCTGTATTATTTGGAAAAACAGTACTAACCTCTCAGCATAAGCATGATTTGACCATTTAGTTTTATTAATGGAATAAATGTTTCATTCATCAAACTGCACTTGACGAAAATCACAATCGTTATGGCCCAGTACTTTTAAAATACCGTTCTTCAAGGTTATCACCTTCTCAGTCATTTTTTCTTCCCACAAAATGGTCCATGAAGTGGAATGCTCCAAAGTAGTTTCCGAGAAGAACCCCCAACTTCACAGGAATGATGCTGCGCAAAAAGGAAAATAAACAAATTCAAGTGGGCCACAATTATTGGGGGAAAAGCCATCTCAACCAACACCGAGTGTTTAATTTACATTCGTTTTTGTGTAATATAATTAGGCTTTTTGTCTTTTCTAAACGATTGTACCCCGACTGCACTCTCGGTTTCTGGTCATGAGATGAAGGGTCCCATTTGGGAACGCTTCGAAAACAGGGCATCACCCCCCGTGTTAAGAGATTTGTCTGCAGAAGGAGATATCACAGAACCGCTTCTGAAATCCCTCCACGTGTTCTCTCTTATCCACACATTAGTGGATTGCACTTTATCACCTGCACTACTACAGAGAAAAATGTTTATCGCATGACACATCAAACTGAACCGGCAGTCAAAACTGTAATTTACACATATTAGGTGTAAACCAAATGTAAAAAAAAATGTGCGCAGTCATTGGGGACTGGGTTGTCAACTCACTGCAAATGATAACCTCCTTTAAAACTATTTAAACTATTTTTTTTTATTTTACCAGGTAAGACCCACTGAGCTATGCAGCTCTTTTTCAGGAGCGGCCTGGTGATAGCTCAACGAAGTGGCTTATCAAGTGGAAATGTACAGCAACAAAATACTCTGGTTTTCTCTATTATGGAAAATACTCTGACTGAATGTTGATTCTAAATGTGGAGGAAAAAACCCGGAAGAACCGGTATAAACAACCCACGATCCCGTGGGGAGTACATGCAAACTCCAAATATTAAGGCGGCGGGATCAAACCTACGACTTCCTGTATACCAGGCGAGGGAGTTAACATCTCGCCACCGTGGGGAGCTGCCCAGACTCAAACGCAGGGATCTCAGAGGTGCCAGCTTGGTGGTCTGACCTCCGAGCCACCAGGGTGACCTCGCGTGGCAAAACCCCGAAAACGACAGTGGGAAAGTTGCTCAACGCCGCCTGCCAGCAGCAAGGTTTAATGACAACGGTGGGGAAACATGGCCTTGGAAATGCCAAGAGATTCGCGAGTTTGCCCACGCGCGTCAACACACGTCAACACGCGCCAACACGCCACTCACTTCTTCAGGGCCATCATGCCGTATATGCTGCGCGGCATGACCAGCTGGACCTGTTCCCGCAGGATTGCATCGACGATTTTGTTTGACGCGTAGTGCTGGTCCAGGATGGGCATCAGCCGCGGCCACCTGCATAGGTGGAGCGAAAGAGAGAAGGAGCCGCAAGTCTCGTCACGCGGCCATCAACGGTGCGCTTGCACAAATCAGGAAATGTTGCAGTTAACATCCAGCAGTTCCAACCGAAAATACTTATATTCTCTCCGTCGTTCCGCTCATCACTTAAGTATTCATGAACTCGACGAAGATACTCCACTCCCCCTAGTTTTGCGCGTGACAATAACATCGACGCGGCAGTCGAAGCAACGGGGCAAGTTCATTAAATACCCCCGCCTCTGTCCACCCCGCAGTATAAATGGCCAAGCCACAATCAAGTCGATTGGTAATTTGCGTGCGGTGGGGCGAACCGCGGGTACTCCCTCACCTCTTCCAACATATCTTCCCAGCATGGAAGAGTAGGCCTAAAATCGCCCATTGAGGACCTCCCCAGACCTCAATTCGTGTGGAGGCCCTACCACCAGCAGTAACGCGAGCAAACAATTGTGCACACCCCATTTTACGAGCACCAATTTTTCAAGAGAAAGGAGCCACTTATTGCAATTGAGGTGATACGGAAAGGTCACACGTGCGGGAAACATCTGCCACGCAGGGCTTACTTTGTGACGCAGCCGTTAAACATCCCAGTGTTGATGAAGTACGGGCACACGATCGTGGTCTTGACCCCGAATTTGCCCAGCGCCAACATCTCCAGGGCCACCGATTCAGCAAATCCCACAGCAGCAAACTTGCTGGCGCAGTAATCTAGGCGACGGAGCAAAGCCGCACCGTCAACACAACACAAACACCACCAACATCCATTGGTGACCAATTCACAGCTAGACGAAGGCCTCCCTTTAAGCCGTTACCATCTGGCTCAAGTCCTGCGGTATAACAATGCACCTAGCACCTGGACAGGAGCTGATTTCATCACCCCATGTCGGCTGCGGCCCTCAACTCAGGCCCATTCTTTCCTTTAGTATATAGCATGCACTCCACATTGCCTACGCTTTCCATCATCACGGTACATTATAAAACACGTCCCTCTGATAAGAGTGGGGTATACACATAGGCCAATCTGGATTTTGAGCTTTCGTGACTGCAGGAATCCATACTGTTTGGTTCCTTCGGTAAAGTCACGTAGGTAGAAAAAAACTAAAACAAAACAAAATAAATCACGACGTTTCGATCGCAACACAAGCGGTCGTCCTCAGGCGGGAAAAATCATCCAGCAGTGGAACTGCTGAACCAGTTTTGTTTTATTAAATTTTTCTACCTACGTAACTTTACCGAAATAACCAAAGAGTACCCAAAGGACAGTTCAGATATCACTTGCCACTTCACATGTTTCCGCGGCTAGGAATCCAACTCAGGTTTTGCGGGCTCCCCGCCGAGTGATAGCGGAGCGTATAAAAAGAAAGCATGACGTTCGGAATTCCGCATGATATGCACCTCTCATAGGGTGACCCGAGAAGGGAGCAACAATCATGCGCGACAGCGCGCGTAAGAAATTCTTGGAAAATAATCCAAACTCAATAGAGGCCCATTTCGGTTCAGATTTTTTTTGTTTATACTGCGATTGTGAGGAGAGAGAGAAAAAAAACACAATTCATCGCGCGTTATATGCTAGATTATAATCTTCGTTTGCACGGGATTTCACGAGCAGCACCAAATCACGAACTCTCATCATCGACAGTGAATGGCATATGCTCCAATGGCAATCCATTTTGCTGATGCAGGTTGAGGGTACAGACGGTGTTGTCCCATATGGCTGTGTCCTCACACACTCCTAAGGACAATTTGACCTGGACATCCTGTCCTTTTATTCTTCTTTTCACCCAATTGTATCCCGATCGCGCTCTCAGCGTCACGATACGAAGCATCTGTTCAGCCCTACCGCACAGGAGTGCCACCCTTATGGTTCTGTGGAAGCGGAACATCACAGAACGACCCCTTGTCCTCTCAGCCACAAGGTAGGGGGAGGAAAGCCCTTTTCCCAGTGACAGTAAAATCTGTTGCACAACAGCAAAAAACGGACACGTTGTGTTTATTCGTGTGGGGTGGAATTCAGCCCAAATAACTGCAGAAGCACATTCATGCGCATAGTTTGTTATTGTTGTTCAGTCATTGGTGGCTGGTCTGGGGCTATCAATTCGCAACAACTTTAAAATTCGGTTTAAATCCCCGGGGGGGTTACCTGAATTGAAAACCCAAGACCTCATCGGTGCCACCTCCGAGGACACCGGCCCCACCTCCCCCTGTACTCTCTACTCGTGTAGGAATCCTCCTCACCTGCGAGGCCATTCACTCCGATGAGTCCAGCCGAGCTGGCAATGCTCACCAGGTGTCCGTGGTCGTTGGCTACCATAGCTGGCAAGAACGCCTTGTAGGTCTGGGTGACGCAGAAATCACGATGGGAATGATGAGAGAATGAGGACGATAAATATTACAGCCATTGACAAGTGGTGCTGTTCATTTGTAACGGACAGGAATAGCTGCATAAAGCACGTGGGGATGCATCGATTCATCAACGACATACCCATCGAACTTTTGCGTGTGTCCGATTCACACGTTCCATGCAATTGGATCACGTAACTCCCGCGGCCATTAGAGAAGTGATACTTTCTCCAGAAGAGCAAAATAAAGTCAAGGTGAGGGAGTGGGCGATTCGTTGCACAGCTTAATAATATTAATAATAATTCATTTGCAGCCCTTTGTCAATAAACTGCTAGATGAAGGCCACCCGAACCCACAAAGGTGCAGTGTAGGATGCTATTTACATTTCATTCAACAATACATCGCGGTCAATCTTTTATTTTTTTCCCCAGGGACGTTAGCTCGTTGGACATGTGAGGTTTACACTTTTACAAGAATTGGTTTTACCCTTTTCTGGCAATAAAACAGGAAGCGTTAAGTTCTTAAAGCACCAAACAGAAACCTTCTGCAAGGAATCGTGTCTGCATTAACCACACGTGGTACTTGTGGTGAACATGCAAACAAAAAACACGCTCTGGTAGTATACGCATTGTCTTTGAAACTTCTATATTCTTGGTTCTTTCGGTAAAGTCACGCAGAAGGGAAACAATAAAATAATAAAAATATAAAACAATACAATTCTCACGACGTTTCGACTGCAACACAAGCAATCATCATCAGGTGTGAAAACCAAAACAAGAAAATGTTATTGCTGTGAAAACCACCACAACAAGAACATTTTCTTGTTGTGTGCTTTTCACACCTGATGATGATTGCTTGTGTTGCAGTCGAAACGTCGTGAGAATTTTTTTTATTATTTTATTGTTTCCCTTCTACGTGGTGACTTTACCGAAAGAACCAAGAATACGAATCCCTGCAGTCACGAAAGCTTTAAATACAAATTTTTAAACTTCTATTTGGACACTGGCAAAGGGAGGTCCCATGATGTAGCTGCTCACTCCGAGCTCAGAATACAGACATGATTCCTTGTAAAAGGTTTCAGTTTGGTGTTTTAATATCTTAACACCTGTTTTGTTGCCAGAAAGGGCTAAAGCAATTCCTATATTTTGATACTGTCGAGAAAGATCCCATGATGAGGCTTCACACTGCACTGGACGAATGTTTCTCTCTCTCTCGCTCACATCTGGCTCCCTCTCGTGGACGCGTGGATGAAATGCACAAAATCGCCTCTGCTCACCCAGAAGTGCGCCATGATGTTGACGTCCATCGTCTTCTGCAGGAGCTCGTCGGGCGAATCGATGAACTTGCGCCCGGTCACGATGCCGGCGTTGTTGACGAGGATGTCGATGTCTCCGACGTCTCGCATCACCTGTCGGGAGGTCGCGCTCGCATGTTACCCCCCGCGCCCTTCCGCCAGCCAGTTTTAAACACGCACGTGTAAAATAAATCGGCACGCGTATGTGCGCACGTACGCTGAACTTCTTTCGCCAACCGTGCTAATCGCACAAACTAAACACAAAAAGCGGTTCCAGAGAAATTAGTTTTACAATCTTGAATTAAAAGCGCATAGTTCCGTTGGCCATTAACCGATTGGATGCTCTATCCCACACCTCGGATTAGCACGGTTGGCTACGTACGGTGCGAAATAAGTTGAACATACATACTTGCAATAGCTATCCTTATGCCTGTTGCAAATGCATCGGACCATGCTTGTAGACGAATCCCCACACCGTGTCGTTTCACCAAACTTCACCATGACGGCGAGTACGTGTTGCCGATTAGTGGGCACAGGACTGGTTCAGATATTCCTCGCCACTGATGTCAGCCACGAGTGTGGGGATCGAACCCAGGTCACAAGGTGCCATGCACTAACCGCTTCGGCGAGTGACTGTGAGTGTAGAATGGGAACTGCGCCAAAACAAACACCTTCCCGTCCTCCTACTTACTGCCGTTCCCACAAGACAACATCCCATTGCCTCAGTCATTTATTAATCTGCTGGGGAGTTATTATTCCTGCTGCCATTGTAAAAAAAAAGCACATTGCAAGGGGATGGAGGGAAGTCGTCGCCCTTTGCGTTACAGCTTGTGCCTCGTAGGCACGCTAGGGAATTGCCCTTCGTGCCCTTTGTAAATCATTGGTGCACTAGGTAAACACTACAGTGTAGTCGGTCAGCATTGTCCGGCAAAGAGCAATAAGTGCGTGAGCTACCACAAGCCTCGGAGGTCATATAGGGGTCATTTGACCTTACTTGACCATGCGGGTCATTGCGGGTCAGCACAGGTGGGGGGCATAGACGCGGAAGCGTAGGCCGTACAACAATGGATTTTGAACCCCCGTAGAAGCCTATAACATCTGTTATACGTGACAGTCGCACATCCAGGACCAATTCAGTTGTCATGCCACACGAATGTTATTCATGGACAATAATTAATCAAACTTGGCAAACGAAGGTTCATCGTGCGGCGTGCCACCCACTGCGCTGCACTAAAGAGGTCTGTAAACCTGTGCTAAAAACAACCAGAGTTGTGTTTTATAGATGTTCACAAACTCTCGCTTCCAATTAGCACGGTTGGCTACGTACGGTGCAAAATAAGTTCAAGTAACATACGTACACCACGCATACTTCAAATGTACCCATTGGTGCATTATGTGTGGCAACGCACAAGGCAACCGGCAGTGTGAACAGACGCCACCTTTGCAATTTAAACCACAGCAGGTACATAAAGTGCTCGGCCTTTGTGCACGGCGCAACAACCCAACAGTCGCCAGCCTCGTACACAAAGGCCGAGTTCTTTTGTGAACGTTTTTTTTGTGCACGTCGTTTGAAACGTTTTGATTTTCCGGCCTTTGCTGTTACGTACTACAATGGGCCCTTCGTGTAGATTGCGATTTTGGATTGATCGCAGCAAGTTTTGCAGACAACACAACGGATAAACCATGGGGCTCCGGGGGGGAGGGGGGAATGCAGTCCTGCAAACTGTCTGTTGCCCACACAAGAACTACTCCAACTAGTACTAAAGTGGCACAGGCAAAACCGGTTAACGGTGTTCCCAAAGCTAAGCATCCCCTGTTTGCTACTCGGAATGTTGACAGGGATGGATGGAGGCCAAATCGCGAAGGCGTCAGAGGTTTGCGGGAGACAAAGTCCAACAGAGGAGCCTCCGAGAACAAAGGTCTCAGGTTTGAACCCCTCTATATATCGCGATAGACTGAAGGACAAACACCCTTATCCACATTTTGTGTGTGTAACTGGACACATGGCAAAGTCCAAAATGGGGTCTCCGTCTTCATTACTTTGTTGACAAATGCAGCATTTCATTGCACTTTGATGAAGATAGATTTGAAGCCTAATGAAACAAGTGAAGCGTTATGGTGTTCATTTCTTAAACGTCCGAGGCCACCTAAGTGTACTATGGATTTACTGACTCATTTTACGACAATGTCACAGGTTACGCAAACCATACGGCTCAGACGCAGCAGATAGTTCCTAATGCATGACAAGACGTGGCGTAGACTTCTCCTTAATTACCACGAACGACTTGCGGCACAAATCGCACATTTTAAAGACATTATTTAATTGGGGAATCTGCTAACAATGAAAAAAAATGACACCTGGCACACGTTTCGCACTATAATACGTATCATCACCTGTCTTACACGACACCTTCTCAAGTTGGAAGTCACGCTTCACTAATTAACGTTGTACCAAAAATACAAAGATGCCCCATATAGCCTTAACCGACTGTTAGGGCAAGTGCTGTTAGCGAGTAGCACCTATGAAGCACGGTACGGCACGCGAGAGGGTGGGTGGCCAACACCAGAACCGACCGCCTTTGTCTCCCCAGTGGCGATGTTTTAACACACCGCACCAGGTACTCATTTGAGTCCGAGTCAACCTAGGGGAGGCCCAAGACCGGTTCAGATAATCGTCACCGGCGCTGGCCGTGAGCGGGAATCGAACTCGGGTGGCCGAGTTCGTAGCGCAGCGTAGCGCTAACCCGCTACGCTGCCGCTTCGCCAATTAACGTTGCACCCGCACCACCTTCACACGCACGTCACTGGGACGTCCGTCGCTCACCTGTCACTGGCATTGGATGAGTAGTGGAAATGCCACTTTCTCATAGCAAATTGGACAACCGAGCTCGTAATTCAGTATTAATTTTAACCCAGGATCTCATTGCAGAGAGCTTGCCCTTCCATAAATTACCCAGAATCTGGCAAATGAGTAGGATTTCGATTTGAAGCTTTCGTGACTGCAAGGATTCATCTTCTTTGGTTCTTTCGGTAAAGTCACGTAGAATGAGAATAAAATAATAAAATAACACAATAAAATTCTCACGACGTTTCGGCCACAACGCAAGCGGCTGTCTTTAGGTGAAAGGTACAGAACTGTCGGGACGAAACGTCGTGAGAATTTTATTGTGTTATTTTATTATTTTATTCTCATTCTACGTGACTTTACCGAAAGAACCAAAGAAGATGAGTAGGATTTGTTTAACAAGACTAACTTTACTGATGAGACCTATAAGTTTGAAACACGGTCCCAGGGTGTGCTTGCTTAAACAAATGTTTGTGGTTAAAATAAATGATAACTAGAAGGCTGACGAAAGAAAAACTGACGAAATGTATTTTCTTTGTGGAGATTTATTTAATTTGATTTGAAGCTTTCATGACTGCAGGAATTACTCTTTGGTTCTTTCGGTAAAGTCACGTAGAAAGAAAATAAATTAAATAATAGAATACGACGTTTCGATTGCAAAACAAGCAATCGTCATCAAGCAACTGATCTACTTAATATATTAAATATCCAGCCGGTTGGGGTCAGTGCTTCACTTGGAATCAGAAAGTCAGGATCTCTCCTCTTCTGCGGTGGATTTCTTAACCTGGGACAAATTCTATTGATGCAACTCACGACGGTTGAAACTGGTACAGCGTTTGCTTGATTATAGATATTCTGGTGGGTTGCCTGCATATGACAACTAAAACATTTCATTGATTTGTTTGTTTGTTGGGGACTCAGGCTGTGTAGCGTGTTATCTATTAATATAATTTTACTTACTAAGTGCACGCAACAATGTTTACAGGAAGCTTTCAAAAAAGCGGTGGTGGGTTTCACATTCGAAACCGAATTAAAGCCTTCACTATAATGAGCGGTGGCGCTTTTACCATCAGGAATGGAATCTCACACCTCGTGCAACGTGTGAGTTTTGGCACGAGTAACTTAACAAATTTGGCGTTTGCGAACCATGACCCCTACTCTTTTCCGAAATACGTCACGGGTTCTTTAAATGATGTCACGTGTGCATTGGGCCACTTCGTTTTTTTTTCTTTACGGCCAAAGTATCGACAACCTTGAAGTATGTTATTCGGAAAAATGGAAGGAACCGAAAAGAGAGGAAGACCGAACAGAGAATGGCTTTGACGACGACATAAGAGACTGGTGCCAGAAAGATACAGCCACTACTTGAGCAGATTGACACAAGACAGAGGAAAGTGGAAACAAATGACGAAATTTCGATTTAAAGCTTTCATGACTGCAAGGATTCATCTTCTTTGGTTCTTTCGGTAAAGTCACGTAGAATGCATCACCCATTGGCGTCCACGTACGAGGTACCTCTGTGGATGTGCAAGCCTTGACTTTAACAAAGCTACTTCTGTGACCAGTACTAGGTTCCTCTGTGGATGTGTAGGCTTCAACTTTAACATAGCTATTTCTGTGACCAGTCACAAGCTAATCCCCCTTTAGCTATTTCAATGCTAAATTCGATTGTTTGATTTGTGCTGGGTGCCTCTGTGGATGTGTAGGCTTTGAATTTACATAGCCATTTCTGTGACCAGTCACAAGCTAATCCCTCAACCTTTTCAATGCTAAATTCTTACTGCTTGGGTGCCTGACTTTCGCTCAACCAGCTTAAAAGGGTGCTACGAATCTTAACAGCGTTCATTGAAGCTCTGTCGTCCCAACAGGTCTGTCCCTTTCACCTAAGAAGGCCACTTGTGTTGTGGCCGAAACGTCGTGAGAATTATTTTATTCTCATTCTACGTGACTTTACCGAAAGAACCAAAGAAAATGACGAAATGTGCAGTTGGACACCTACGGGGCTATTTGCCCATGGATCGCGACGATGATGATGATGATATTTAATTCAGCTACTGTGAATCAGTCGGCGCGTACGATCTTACGGTCAATACGACCGCAGTATCAACCAGGGCGGCCGCTGGTCTTGAACCGCGAACATCTGCAACAAGCGGCAACCCGTGCCACCGCCCCACAAACTTCGTTCAAGACTGAAGACAGCGGCAACCGCGACAGAACCCACCAGGTCGGCCACCCTGTACACGTCGTCCCTGCGGCTGCAGTCCACCGAGTAGGCGTGGACGCTCGGCTTCCTCCCGTTGCCCTCCACGCCGTCCCCTTCCTCACGGATGAGCTGCGCCGTCTCCTCGTTGGCGGCGCGGTTGACGTCCCAGATGACGAGGGTGGCGCCCAGGCGGGCGAGGCTGAGCGCCACGAGGCGGCCGAGGCCGCTGCCGGCGCCCGTCACCAGCACCACCTGGCCAGCCACGCTCTTGCGGCGCGGGGGCACGACGCAGCGGAAGAGACACTCGAGCCAGTAGACGACGCTCAGGACCATCACCATCAAGGTCTCGAGCAGGAAATTCATGGCCGCTGCTGTTGCTGCTGCTGGAATGAAGGGGTGAACGAGAGACAGGACGGCAAAATGAATCTCGCAATGAAAAATTATTTGCAGTGTAAAAGGAAAAGGTGCAGGCCTTGCAATTGCTTGCTCGAAACCACTGCTGGTGGTTGGGTCTCACCAAAGGGAGATTAAGTTAGCCCCTCCATCGGGTATTTTGGACTACTCTGCGATGTTGGCCAGATGTCCTTGAAGATGTGGAAGTACTCACACTTCACTGCAGTGCACACGACCTCCTGATAAACGAACTACGGTGTTCCCAATTATACTACTGGGTGAACGCAGACAAGGCAATTGCAAGTTCTGTGTCCTAACTGTCACACCACGGCAGCATTCAATTTATAATCATCTATGCCATGATAGTCTCACTGGGTCTTAAAACTTTTTCAGAACATTCGTAAAAATGTGTTCAGCAAATGTAATGGCAGTTGAGGAGCAAATGAATGTTCTTGAAACAGTTTTAAATCTGTGCATACTGTCAGCTATGATGATGACAAGATACATGGAGCAACAACTTAAAATGAAGAGACACGGAGAGGTACATGCTTATAATTATATTGAGATAACACACTCACTGACACTCACGAAGATAAAGACAAAGATTCCCCGTATAGCCTTAACAAACTGTAGGGGCAAGTGCTGTTAGCGAGCACCTATAAAGGCCGGCACGGCACACGAGGGGGTGGATGGCCAACACCACGCTCGGCCGCCTTTGTCTCCCTAGTGGCGATGTTTACACACTGCACCAGGTACTCATTTGAGGCTGATTCGACCTAGGGGAGGCCCAGGACCGGTTCAGATAATCGTCACTGCTGTTTGCCGTGAGCGAAAATCGAACCCGGGTCGCCAGGTTTGTAGCGCAGCGCGCTAACCGCTACACTACTGCTCCCCACACACACTCACCCTCACACTCACTCCGACACTCACTCACATTCACTCACACTGACTAACTCTGTTTTGGAAAACGTTAAGTTTATTTGTTTAACCAGGTTGAGAACTCAAGAGACCAGGATAGAGCTTCAGATGTTGGTCGAATATTGCGCCAATATGTAAACAGACAAGGATATCTCTCACAAGCAATAGCAAGTTTGAATTATTGGAATTAATTAATAAGATTAGCATTAAATTGTGATTTAGATGGGAGAGTAACCATGGGAATTTTGGCAGCTGTGGAACTCCCGTTATGTATATCTGTGGCAATTACTGAAGGCGGAACAGGGATTAAAATGTTTGAATGAGACGAAACATAGCAGGCCGGAGTAATTTTGGAAAATGAACTGATAATCAAAATCAACATACCAAGATGCACAGAGTAATGTTTTAGGGACCATCCATTTATTAGGTACGCAAAAATCTGTCAAAACTTGACCCCCCCCCCCCCCCTCCCTGTACGCACGCGGACTTTTTACCCCCCCCCCCCCCCCACCTGCGTACATACGCCTGACGCCACCCCCCCCCCCCCGAATCCTATAGAACGGCCGATATGTGATCCACGCAGAAACGATCAAGGATTAATAATATTAACGTGTTTAAGCAAACAGAGAGTCCACCGCCGGACTATCTAACTCATTTGAAGGCCAATGTAGACAAATTATTATTATCGAGGCTTCACCCCCCCGCCCCGTCCCCCCGTTTCCTATGCGTATATTGTCAGTAGACCCCCAAAGGGCAAGCGTACGCATTTGGGTTAAGCCCCCCCTCCATGTGTACGGACTAAATGGATGGCCCCGTTACAACATGGTTCGTGAACGTGGACACTGATAAACAAGACAAATGGGGAAAACAAAACAGCAGAAGTGTTGGAATTAGAAGCGCACTGAGAGTTACGAGACATGATGGCCCGTGGATCACAGAAGTCAGGAAAATAAGAGACGGAACTTTACAGGGTGGTCCAGCTGTCCTGTGACCCCCCCCCCCCACCAATTAAGATTTTGTTTCCTTTGCTTATTGATTCATGTTTGAGATCAACCTTATTGATTGATTTCAGATAACTGATACGAGTCAATGTACAATTGAAGAACGGCTTTGTAGTGAGAGGCACGGGGCTCATGAAAGATCACGAACCAAGAAATAAAATAACTCTATGAAAAGATGTCCGAAAGTATTTTTTGCGAAAGATTTAACAACAATTAATTAGCCTACTTAATTAAATAAAATTTCTTACATAAAATTACAGGTCCCTTTGGTCTCCAAAAAATATTAAGTTTTAAAGAATTAAACGAGGGTCCACAAGGTATCTGGACCACCCTGGAGGCTGGAGTGTAATGCAAGGCCGTAGCCATGGAGTCAACATTGGGGGGACCAAATCTCCCAGGGGGTCTGTGGTCCCCCCCCCCCCCCCAGAAAAAAAAATCTAAATTTGAAAACAAATTTCCTGCCTAAAATATTAAAGAATTCACTAACACATGGGATGGAATTTGTATTTATTTTTTACAATAATGCCAAAGAGTGCATTGTATTACATTTAATAAAAAAATGCTCTGTTTTTTATTTTTTACCTTTTCTTGTTTCATTGTATGTAATGGCAGAGATTAGGGATTAATAAAGTACAACCATAACCGCAATCATATCAACAGAAATCTATTTTATAGCAATATATTGGGGGGGGGGACATTTTGAGCATATTTGAATATTGGTGGGGATGTGTCCCCCCCCAATATAAATTATAATTACGGCCTTGGTGTATATTGACTTGGACAGTGAGTAGTGGGCTGGGCAGGATTCACATCGGTGGCTTTTAAGGGGATGGAGTTGCTGGTGGCCGAGTACTAGCGGCTGTACGTGGGGCAAGCAGAGGGAAAGGAGAGAAAGACGCCGGTAAGGGAAGGACGACCAGCGTAGAGAGAGAATGGATGACATCGGCTCCTGCGCAAGTAGCGAGACGAAGTGCAACACGGGATAAGTGGGTAGCGAGGCAAGTGGATAGCGAGAGCCACAGGTCGACAGCCTTGACGAGAGAGGCAAGAGCGCTTCATCCAGCAGTAGATAGTCCATGACGCACGATGATGATGATGACAGCAGCGTTGATGATGCCGTTTGCTGTGGGCGACCTCACACAACTTCGAATCGACTTGGTGCTATCCACAACAGCACTGCTCGCCACGAACTCGACTACAATACAAAGACCCCCCGTATAGCCTTAACTTACTCCAGGGGCAAGTGCTGTTAAGCGAGCGTCTATGAAGGCCGGCACTGTGGCACACGCGAGGGGGTGGGTGGCCAGCACCACGCTCGACCGCCTTTGTCTTCCCAGTGGCGATGTTTACACACCGCACCAGGTACTCATTCGAGGCTGAGTCGACCTAGGGGAGGGCCCCAGGACCGGTTTAGATAATCGTCACACAGGTGTTGGCCGTGAGCGAGAATCGAACCCGGGTCTGCAGGTTCGTAGCGCAGCTAACCGCGACCCCACACACAACAACAACCTCCATTCGCCACTAAGTGGCGGTGACGTCCCTACGGCGCTCGTGCCAGGCTAGGTGCACGTTAAGGCCACGTGAAGTGTTAAACGCCTTGCTGGCAGGAGGTCACGGGTCAGACCCAGCAGGCGGTGCCATGCATGGGATCGACCGACCGAGACGAGTGGCCGATGCACCACCACCACCCTCACCAAGTTGAGCACGGTACAAAAAGACAAAGATGCCTCCCCCCGCCGTATAGCCTCTAACAGGCTATTGGGGCAAGTGCTGTTGACGAGCACCTCCGTGAAGGCCGGGACTGTGGCACACGCGCGCACTTACCCCGAGATCAAAACGCCGACTCCTCGAAATCCCAACTCAGTCACGCGGCCAGACAACCACCACCACCGTCTCCACGTCTCACTGCCCCAGCCCTGGTTGGTGCAGCAGTTCGTCTTAGACGGCCGCCGTACTCGGGATTTCCTTGGTGCTGGTAGTGGGTTTTGTGTGGCTGGGGAGGGAGGTTTTGCTGCAAGTCGCCTGAGAAGGCGGAAGCGCTCCGCTCGCCTCCCACTGCTGTGAAACGCCCGCGTGTGCGTGGCTCATTCATCCCTGGCGTCATTGGGCAGGGACGATGTCCTCCTCCCTCAAAGTCTCCTCCCACTGCGCGCTGGCGATTATGTCGACGTGAAAAAAGCTTAATTACTTACTTAGACCCCCCACCCCCCCTCCCCTACATATCCCAGGGATTTTCAACTGGAGCGCTGAGTCGTCAAACCTTCGGCTCTTTGACTGCCCCCTTGCGGCTCTTTGACTGCCCCCTGGCGGCTCTTTGACTGTCCCATTGCGGGTCTTTGGCTGTCCCATTGCGGGTCTTTGGCTGTCCCATTGCGGGTCTTTGGCTGCCCCTTGTGACTCTTTGACTGTCCCATTGCGGGTCTTTGGTTGCCCCTTGTGACTCTTCGGCTGTCCCATTGCGGGTCTTTGGCTGTCCCCTTGCGGATCTTTGATTGCCCCCTTGCGGCTCTTTGACTTTCCCATTGCGGCTCTTTAACTGCCTCCTTGCGGCTCTTTCGCTGCCCCCTTGAGGCTCTTTAACTGCCTCCTTGCGGCTCTTTCGCTGCCCCCTTGCGGCTCTTTGGCTGCCCCCTTGCGGCTCTTTGACTTTCCCATTGCGGCTCTTTCGCTGCCCCCTTGCGGCTCTTTGGCTCTCCCATTGCGGGCAGCCGTCTTTTTTTTGTTTTTGAGAAGAAGAAAAAAACCGAGTTTACTTTTTATTCGGTTCTTCGCGCTCTCAAAGCAGCGTCCTTCGTTGCAAGGCCCCGCCGGCCACTGGAGGCCCCTGGTGGCCTTTAGTGCGGCCACCCAACAATACACAACACGTGACAACAACCCCCATCATCGTGCTGCTGTCAAACCCCCAATGGTTTCAAATGGTGTGGCGGCCCTCGACACTGTCGATGTCTTATCGGCGAAAGTGGCCCCAATGTGAACATTTTAGCGAAGGACACTTTTCTCTAAAGTGAATTGTATAGGCGGGACCCGCTTTTACGACACGAGTGACTGGAAGCCCCGTCGTAAATCGGACCGTGGTAAATCGGACCCTGAATTCCCATAAACGTTCTGTCTTGATGAGAACAAAATGTGTACAGTCAAAATGTGGAATAATTCAGGGAGGAGGAGGGGGTGGTGTAAACTGAACAGACGCAGTTTATTCCATCACATTTAGTTTAATTAAGTTAGATGTGTTTGCCATCTGCCGTATGCCGCCCGTGTTTGTGTACAAGTTAGCTCTGCGTGTGACGCGGATCTCGACAATATTACGATTATAAGACGCATGTTCCCTCTGAAAAGAAACATGGGGGGGGGGGGGGGGGGGGGGAGTGCGTCTTATAATCCAGAAGGTGTGCGTGAGAGAGAGATCAGGCTTCTATAACTTTATTGCAAACCGACACAACACGTTACTTTCAGGAGCGTCTTATAATACGGAGAATACGGCAACCGTACCATTTTCACTCCCCCCACCCCCATTGTCAATCCACTGCTTGATGAAGGCCCTCTCAGGCTTATCCAGGCTAGTCACGGTGTGTTGGCAGCGGATTCACCCGCTGCCGAATGGTAGCCGCATGGTCTGGAATTGAACTTGGGCCGCCAGGTTCAGGGGATAAGAAGTTGCACACCACGGCATTATTACGTTCAACTTCGACACACTTTAAAACGTCACAAAGTGACGTGTGTACGATGCCAAGAGGTCATATCATCGTGGTAGGAATGGTGGTGCAATGATGAGCCCACTAAACTATGAATTACAATCCGATTACCAGAGTTCGAATCCGGGCCATGGCTAAAACGTGACGAGTGATTTCTTAACCTTAATTCCCCCCCCCCCCCATCCACCAATCTCTACTGACCAGCATGGTGAAGTATGGTCAAACAGCCTCGACGACCACTTGCCACCACTTGCCACGTCACTGCTAATGATCGAACCCAAAAAAATGAGTTCGTGGTTGGTGTTCAAGTGTTTTGGAGGTTCTCATCAAGATAGGTTCTCATCAAGATAGGTTATCATACCATTTAAACTTAAGGACTATTCTACTGCTTGTTGAAGGTCCAATGGGGGGGGGGGGGGGGTTGTTTGACCATACTTCATCACTCTGGTCAGTGCCGGTTGGCAAAGAAATAGGGATGAGGGTGCTCAGAAACCGGTTCAGATTTCAGCCACTGATGTTGGCCCTGGCCCGGAATGAATCCGAGTCCGGTTTCTCGGTTCATAGCGCAGGCGCGCTGACCACTGCGCCACCGCTCCACGCTGCCCTGGCCTATCCGGAACGTTGAATGCATCCGTCATCATGAGCTGCGTGGAGATGTGTGGGGGCGGTGGCGAGATGTTAACTACCTCGCCTGGAATACAGGAAGTCGTAGGTTCGATTCCGTAGACCCCTACGCCTGCATATCTTGGGTTTGCGTGCCTCTCTCCTCGTGGTAGCGTGGATTTTTCTCCGGGACCTCCGGTTTTTACCTTCACATTTAGAATCATGCGTTTCGAGTATTTTGGTTGCTATGCAATTTCCGCATAAGCCACTTCGTTGAGCTATCATATGAGATAGCCAGGTGGCTTCTGAAAAAGAGAGCAATCGAGCCCAGCGGGTCTTGCCTGGTAAAATAAAAGTAGTGTAATAGTTTCGCGCGAAGAAGTGTATTGAGTCTGTCATGCTGTCTGCTACCCACCACATGAGTAGCATTTACTTCTAGTGCTGTGGTGATACCAGAGGGCGCTGGTTCACTGCCGTTTGCGTTCAGCAACAAGTACGGCAGTTTTGCATTCGGGAGCCGATGGTATACTGTATACGTAATGTATACAGTATTCAAACAAAGACATTTTATGGTACTGTATAAATATGTATTTGTTTTATCGTATGGATTTAGGAATCTATACACGACCATACCTGTTAACCCACACGGTTTACCTGTATTCTTGTGCAGGGAAATTTGAGTTTTCAGGTCCATACGGCGTACAGCCGTTTCAATAGGGCACTTTTTTAAATCTATTTCTTTGTATTTCTCCCTTGCGATGGGACTTTGTAGGATGAACGTTGAGTTTTATATAGGCACGGGGTAACCAATAAGGGTCTGAATTGGTCTGTAATAAGATCGGCGCTGATAAGGGTATGCAGTGCATACGACTGCGTTTCTGAACAGCGCCTTGATATGCATGCGGTTGCATTTTAATGTTATACACATCCAAATCAAATTGTATTTTATCACACCACACTTTCGAACATAAGTCTGTATATCAATACATAACGCACAAAATTGTTTTGGTCTTGTACATTATACAGCACATTTCAAATACTGTACACGCAAACACCACTTTATTGTGTAGATGTATTACGATTTGTATTTATATAACATTTAAATGCCACCACACACCAAGGCGCTGCACATAAACGCCGTCATACGTATTTTATATATTCATCAATCGATACAATAAAAAACAATATTACTACTTTTTATATACCATAAAATGTCTCATTTTGAACGCATCACTTCCCACGATTTCGCCTTTGGTTCAAACGTTGCATGCAATCGCTCATTGTCCTGTTTAGTTTCATCATTTTATATATACATCACTTGCTTAATTTCAGTATTCAGCAATTCCGCTGGCTAAATTGGTTGTCAGAACAATGCAACAGGTCAGGTTCGAATGAGGCCAGCTCCGTCCACACGCGCTCATTAAGATAAAGCTGTTAAAATGCTGATCAACTGTTGCCCGTCGCGTTTTGCCACAGGAGCAATGGCCAAGATCTGCAATTCATTTAAATCGCATTTGCTTTCTATACTTTATGGACGGCAAGGGAACGTTGACACTCCATTGTCAGGACGGGCACAATATTCTTTTGGAAGCCTTCGTGTCAGAAGCAGCCCAAGTATAGGTCCAAAAACAATAATTGAGATACTGCGTAAGCATTTAATGCACAAATAACACAAAAAAACTCCACATTCATAATTCATTAACTACACGGCCCTAGAAAGAGGCAGAAAAATATATAATAGGTGGACATTTTGGGCAATGGCACTTCATCAGAGGGTCATTGGCCAAAACATCACCCATCGTCTCTTCAGAGCAGTGCTAATAAGGAACGCGTTCCAATTTAAGTCCCAATTCGAACGTTGCAAGCGAGCGCTTGCGAGCTAGAAAAGTTAAGCGCACGATAACTGTGAAAAATATTTTCATGCACGGAATCAATGGTAGCACGTTAAGATATTAATGCGATATTAAAATATACATATTATACCAAAATCGCATATTACGTATCAATGCATGCACTGCTGCTAACGTGATTTCTTTGTTATCTTGGCAAAGGCTGGAGTGTGATATGCTTACAGAAAAAGTGAGCATATATTTTGTATGCGAGGTTGTCAGTCACAGGTGAAAGGACATTCTTGAGCCTAAATTGAAGATGGGTATGTAGTCAAAAGCACGGACGACTGACAGGAGTTCCACTTAAACATTTCGGTAGATGTCTTTTGTATCTTTGCAGCCTCTGCATCTACCCAAATCCCAGCAGATTTTCAATGCACCCTAACATTTCACAACCAAGTAAAACACCCACGCACATTCATTTTTTTAAAATAAGTTAATCTCTTTATTTTCCTTTAATAATATTACAAATTGCTATGCTATTGTAGTGTTGCAAACATTTGACTGGAATATGAAAACGTTAATATTTCTTGCATTAAAATTGCTACAATAAATTGCAACGTTCGGTTCATATACAGCAAAGTTTATGTGTAAGCTACAGCACCATAATTATATATTACGATTGGGAAACAAACACTTGCAAAGGCTATATACAGACAGTATAATATTTTAGTGCATTATTAGCAAACATCCACACAATAAACATGTGTAAAACCTAAGACGGGATAAGGAATTGCAGCCAATTCAAGCAAAAAACTGTTCATATGCGGAGCACTGAACTTCACTGAATATTTTGATACATTTAACGGAATAGAAGGCAAATACTTTGGGTCTTTCAGTAAAGTCACGTAGATGGTTCAAAGAAACTAACAAAAAACTACGACGTTTCGATCACAACACAAGCGATCATCATCAGGAGGAAAGAGCTCTTTTTTTGGCCATCGCTTGTGTTGTGATCGAAACGTCGTAGATTTTTGTTATTTTCTTTGAACCATCTACGAGACTTTGCCGAAAGACCAAAATAATATGAATTCCTGCAGTCACGAAAGCTTTAAGTCAAGAAGGCAAATCTTTGTAACATAGAAACTTTTCAATGTGTGACTTAGGATACGTAAACCCAGGTAATTTTACGTTGAGTTTTATTAAGTCACTAACTTTACTATGTAAAATTCAAACTTTATAGTTGATACTTAAGCAACTGTAATTTTATGTAAAAGGTAAAGTCCTGCAATTTCGTGCTCAAATCACTGCTGACAGAAGGGCCCCCACTAAGGGAGCTCTAGAGCCCCTCCAGGGAGCCTTTGGAGAGCATCGATAGGAGTATTTTGTCCTACTCTTCTACACTGGCTGGGTGTCTTCGAAGAGGTGGGAGGACCGACACCCTACCTCACCATGCACAACCTGCCATTCGACTAACTGGCGTACCTATTATGCTGCTGGATGAAAAGTGGAGAGGGGGTGGATTTAATAATTTTGCTCAATGTTTCAACTGCCAAGCATGGTGAATGAATCGGCGACCTCTGAATTTACGACCCCGTGCTCCAGTTGGAAAGCCCTAGGGTGTGGGGGTAAGGAAGGGTCTTGACTTCATCATCATCATCACCACTCCGCATGGGAGGAGACATTCAGAGAGGACATCGTCTACCTGACCATAGCATCCCAAGCAACTATAAACTATAACATTGTACCCGTGCATAGTTCCCCGACAAGTAGCTATAATATTAGCGTCCTGGCGGCTAGCAGCTTCATGTATTTTCTGGCTTGCTCAGTCAGTAAAAGTTGATCTTCCGTTCTGCCAAATGCCACCACCTCCCAGTCGCTGTTCATCTGGAGGCAGCGAAAAACACAGGAAACACATTTTAGCGTTAACACCAGTAGCAGCAGGCAGCGCTATGTCATCAAATGAGAAAGTGAGCTGCTTATTTCAGTTCCTGAAGAAATTCCCAGCATGTAGACTGGAACTTCAGACATGTCAGTCAACACGCAGTAACAACCCAAAAACACATCAGAGAATGCCTTCCATTCTCATGTTTGTACTTGTTGATCCTCAAATAAGAGGCATATCTGTAACAGGCCACTCCTTGCAGGTGAGGCAGTTAAATTGAAATTAGCCCAAAGTTGATATATTGAAACAAAAGCTAGCAAAATACTCCACAATACACTTTGTATTTATATAGCGTCAATCTGTATGGGCAGCGGAGAAGAACACACATTTTATTTACGGAGCGAAAGTTCACTTGGGTAATAAGACAGAAAGCTTTAGTTTCTGGCTTTCAGCCCGTAGCTGAGATATTATTTACTTTTGAGCTTTGCTTTAAACTACTTATTACCAATAATAATGACAATGAGTAAACTTTGCATTTTGACTTTTTGTATCGAAGAAAGCTTTCATGATAACCCTGTGTTTTCAAAGATGGATGTCGTCTGGGATTAGGGGAAAATGCAATGACATAGCAAAGTGACTTTACGCATACATACATGGCAAGTTTAAATGCATGGACAGGGAGGATTATACAAAACAAGCCGGCACTCACTTGACCCCTGCCCTCTCTTGGCGTACGGCCCTCGTAGGCGCTGGAGGAGGGCAGCCCGAGTGGCCGGGCTACACAGGGGGTCCGCTCGTGACCCTGCAGCGAGTCCCCCGCACGGCCGGTGACGGGACGCATGAGCAGAGAGCTCGTCAGCAGCTCCCGTGCCTGGCGTAGCTTCCGTAAGCAAACACACACACACGAAGGCAAATATAAAGATCTCCCCATGTAGTCTTTTTACGAGCTGTTGGGCCCAATTGTTGTAAGCGAGCACACCTATTCAAGGTATGGTGTTGTAGCACGTGAAGCTGCTTTTGTCTCTTGATTACTAATATTTACAAACTGCATTAGGTACTCAAATTATTTGAGGCTGAGGCAACCTACAGGAGAGAGCCCAGACCAGTTCGGATAATGGCCACCTATGTTGGTTGTGGCCGAGGATCAAACTCAGGTCGGTAGGTTCAAAGTGTAGCATGCTAACAGCTACGCCGCCACTCCCTACACACGTGCACACATCCGCACGCCAAATCCATTATTTCAGTTTGTCCTTGCAAAGCCTTTTGGACACGAATGCTAATAACCTCACGGTACATGCATCAAATCACACGTGTAAGAATGGATGTTTTGTTCATATCTATTGAATGAAATGGGTTCGCGTGACCCCTACAGCCAAGAGAAGCTGCTACATTTACTGCAATGTTTAAAAAACACCAGATTCTTGGATTGAATCCCAACCCTGAATCGTGACATTTCATTGGATTGTCACGGGCAAATCAATACACCGCTATTCTCAGGCATAACCTAAGCACAAATGAATTATAGCCTTGCTAAATAAAGATGTTGTTGCTGACCAATTTAATCACAGCGAATAGCACGGTCAAAAACAGCTGACCTCTTGATCAGGACACACCACACGGCAATTGTGCCGTTGCCCGTGCGTTGGCATGAAATTTTAATCACTAGCGTTCTTTGGATAATTTCACTCACGGGGCTTCCACCAGGTGAAACCGATGGCTCGCAAGGGAAGAGCTTGGTGTTCAGATTGTCGCTGCTCCAAACGTCTAGCACAAGTGACTTGCGAGCCTTCTTGGCTGGAGAGCCCATCATCATCCTTGCCTGCAAGGAGGGAAATAAGAGTACAATAAAACATGTACACACACCCGTTTTAATTAATAAGTGCACTCCACGAAGGATAACAGATGGCATTTGAAAAAAAATCCCATGTTGCTCATTTTAAAAAAGCTCTTCTTACTCCTAAAATCCCTAAACTGACGAAGCAAATCCCTGAGCTTTGAAGCCTTGCCAATGACCCAGATCATGGCAACTTGCATACATTAGTGCAATGCACAAAATCACAACTGTGTTTTTTCCAACATTTTTTTATCATATGAACATATTGAGAAGGTATCTTATTAAATATATTTAATACACGCATGCACTTCTTTCCTATAATGAGAAAATACCTATCCGTATAAGGGAATGTTAGATTTTAATAAAATCTCCCAAATAAGGCAAACACTGAATTACAAATGATGCACCCCCTGCGATGGTAAATGCTGTATGCAATAAGGGACGAATTTAAGTCCATTTTGATTAGTATATCCAGCCAGCCATGATTTTACCAGTGCATGCGTGTGTAAACACTCATCGGATGTGGGCAATACGTTTAATGTGACTTGCGAGGAAGAGCTATCAATCATTCAATTAGCTGGATTGGCCACACCTGATGCTGCAAGCGTTAAAATGGGCAGACAAGCACTGGCTCATGTATATTGAGGGTGCAAATGTAGGTTTTCATTTAGCCCGGAGCGACACGTGAAGGCAACAGGAGGGGGGACATGACAAGGTGCAGCACAGTCGCAAATCTCATTTAAACAATTACGAAAGCACGTGTCAACGCGACAATACCAGGTGTGAGCTGGCACACACATGACTTCATTTCACAGGGGAGGGGGGATGGTGCTTGCAAAGACGGGCGAGTGAGTGCCAACCTCGGGCCTGGGTCTGTTGGCGGGGGACGGCGAGTGCTCCGAGTCGCCTGTGAAGCCATCGTGGGATGCCGACACGGTCTGGAGCACGTCCCTGAGGTCCTCCTCTAGATGGGAGGGGGTCCGCGGCTGGGGGCACACAACGGCATTCGCGCCAATTATCACCACTCAAATTCGTTGAGAGCGTGTGGTTTTTGGCTGAAGCATTGAAAAAAATATTATGCAATGCCAAGAACAAAATGCCACTCCAAACTGAAGTGGTTTTTGGCCTGTCTACTCACAGCGCTTCTCAAACTATCAGTCTCAATTCTGCTGGGGAGTGGCCTGTTGTAATTAAAGGGTGGCGGTACCTTGGGGTAAAACAATTAGGTGGAGCACAATACTCACCCACCACTCCCCATCTGTCGATCTAGCCATAATTACATCTTTAATTAATTTACAGCTCGTTTTCAATCTCCTGCTGGATGAAGGCCTTCCCGCAAGCGGTGTTGGTCATGAGATGAATGGGTGGCCAAGACAGATTTTAATATCACTCGCCACCTATGTAGCCATGTCCAGCAATCACTCAGGGTTGACGGGTTACGTGCAAGACAGCCTTAATACAGTACATGTATGCATCCTTGCCTGCTCCGTTCACAAACTTGAACTGATCACCATGGAAGTATGGTCAAACAACCCCCATGACCGACACAAAACAGAGGAGGCATTCATCCAGCAGTGAATTAACAAAGGGAATGCAAATTACTATTTTAGATTATTCATCCATTGCTTCAACCACCGCACCCATCCAACTGTGATTTATATTTATACCTGGTTCCTGATTGTGGTTAAATCTATGCTAAAATGTTCAAAGGTCAGTTAATTTAGGACCTTATGACACTTCAATATGAAAATGTGGCCGGCATTACAGCCTTGCAATCAGATATATAATTCATGCCACCAGGAGTTTGTTATTCCAAGGCAAGCTGTAGCTTCGGATAATCTCCAGCATGAAACAAAAAGCTCACAAAACACTATTGGCATTGCCATGTTTATATTCACAGCCATAAGATCTCAAAACCTATTTAACACTTTGTAATATTCTGCAAGATTACATATTAGTTACACAAGGATCAAAAGACACCTGCTGTTTGTCAGTATCTAAGCTGTTTTACAGATAAACAGGGTTATGTAACTCACAAGGGAATGGCAGATTTCCAAAAACAAATATTTCATCAACATTTTGATGTAAAACTACATGATGTATTCACAACAGCATGATCATGTCATGGTAAAAAGCAACTTCTGGATCACGAGGTACATTAAGTACAGGGTCTTGTTATCGCTCACCAGTCCCTTGAGAGGTCCGTATTTCACCTCTTGTGCCGCCAGAGCGTTTTTGAATGGCGTGGGTGTCCTTGGGGTAGTCTCCATTAGTGAGCATCGGATGTTGGGTGTCCTGAACCTGTGCACCCCATTGAGCGATGCGGCAGAGAAAGTGGTGAGCGCAGGGGCCGACGGGGCAGGCAAAGGCTCGCAACAAACTGTATTACTCATAATACAGGTTTTTTGGGTTAGATCGCGTAAACATGTGTTGTTAAACCCGCCGCCACCACCCGACACAGCCAATTAGTAAGGTTTGTCATATAAACAGAACATGCTAATTCGTTACTAGTACAGCACATCGGTGTGTTGGGTAGCAAAGCCACAACATTTACAATCTGAAGTACGACATTTCGCCAGTAATTACACCTAGCTTCATCAGGCAACAGCCAGATTTTGTGGAGAAATCCTCCTGTTTCGTTCCTTAAATAGAGGAACAAACTATATTACTGCCACTAAACTTGTAAGTTCAAGTGAATATTTTAAGTTGTAGACAGCCCTGAAGCTTGCTCAGACCATTGCTGGCGGACAAAGGGCCTCCACTGAGGGAACTTAAGAAAGCGTCTCGAGAAGGTATTTTTGGCCGACTCTTCCACGATGGCCAGATGTTTTATAAGAGGTGCGAGTACCCACACGTTACCCTACCACACACAACTCTGTCCCAATCAACAAACTGTGGTGTCCCCCCCCCATTTTAACTCTCCAAATTGCCTGTCTCGTTAGTACAGGGTGAAAGGTGAATTCAGGTGGTGATCGTGCGCACCCGTTTTGCTTGGTCTGGCCAGGCGTGCGCTCTCTCTGCAGCGGCGTCCCGACTGCGAGCTTCTGGCGACAGACGGGCGTCGACGTAAGGGACGGCGTTTCCATCTGTAGCTTCTCCCGCTCCGTCGTGTTCAAGAACTGCACGGAAAAATCCACAACGCCATAACATCAGTAGCATTCCGCAAGGCAAAGGGCACACCAGAAATGAAATGTAAACAACATTAGCCAACCAAGCACTGGCGGTAGCCACTCCGAGCAAACCAGCTAAAAGTATAAGCATGCCGACTAACCCTAAACCTACTCCCCAACACCACTTGGCTGCTTCGGCTAGGCCCTTCTTAACTTTTTGGTGGATGTTTGAAATAGTTTTTTTACATTACCCAAACACAACCTGGCCACCTGGAATTAAATTGACTCTGATTAGCAGCCACAGTCAATACATTGATTGGATAATGAATATATCCGTAATCAAAAATCATAGCAATGCATACTTGGCAATGCATTTATTTGTTTTCCTGGAAAAGGTTCACCAATCAAAACATTTAAAGAGAATCTCACTTTAGGATGTCAGCGCAATTCTTTTTCAGAACCGTATTGTTATTTTCAGGATACCTAACTCCTAATCTGCAGACCTACAGTGAGGGAAAAAAGTAGTTGATCCCCTGCTGATTTTGTACGTTTGCCCACTGACAAAGAAATGATAAGTCTATAATTTTAATGGTAGGTTTATTTGAACAGTGAGAGACAGAATAACAACAACAAAATCCAGAAAAACGCATGTAAAAAATGTTATAAATTGATTTGCATTTTAATGAGGGAAATAAGTATTTGACCCTCTCTCAAATCAGAAACATTTCTGGCTCCCAGGTGTCTTTTATACAGGTAACGAGCTGAGATTAGGAGCACTCTCTTAAAGGGAGTGCTCCTAATCTCAGCTTGTTACCTGGATAAAAGACACCTGTCCACAGAAGCAATCAATCAATCAGATTCCAAACTCCACCATGGCCAAGACCAAAGAGCTCTCCAAGGATGTCAGGGACAAGATTGTAGACCTACACAAGGCTGGAATGGGCTACAATACCATTGCCAAGCAGCTTGGTGAGAAGGTGACAACAGTTGGTGCGATTATTCGCAAATGAAAGAAACACAAAAGAACTGTCCATCTTCTTCGTTGGTTCTTTCGGTAAAGTCACGTAGAATGAGAATAAAATAATAAAATAAAACAATATAATTCTCTCGACGTTTCGGCCACAACACAAGTGGCCTTCTTCAGGTGAAAGGAACAACCTGTCGGGATGACAGAGCTACAGTGAACGCTGCTAAGATTCGCAGCGTCTTTTAAGCTGGTTGAGAGAAGTGAGGCACCTTGACAAAGGGGTTTTACATATCAAACAGGAGAATTTAGCATTGAAACAGTTGAGGAATTAGCTTGTGACTGGTCACAGAAATAGCTATGTTAAAGTCAAAGCCTACACATCCACAGAGGCACCTAGTGCATGGACGCCAAAGGGGCTGCAACAGCTCAACTATCATACAGTGAACCGATGTGAAAAAAAACCTAAGTCTAAATTACATCAATATAATAAATGTACTCAATATATTCTTTATTATATTGATGTAATTTTTACATCAATATAATAAATGTACTCAATATATTCTTTATTATATTGATGTAATTTAGACTTAGGTTTTTTCACATCGGTTCACTGTATGATAGTTGAGCTGTTGCAGCCCCTTTGGCGTCCATGCACTAGGTGCCTCTGTGGATGTGTAGGCTTTGACTTTAACATAGCTATTTCTGTGACCAGTCACAAGCTAATTCCTCAACTGTTTCAATGCTAAATTCTCCTGTTTGATATGTAAAACCCCTTTGTCAAGGTGCCTCACTTCTCTCAACCAGCTTAAAAGACGCTGCGAATCTTAGCAGCGTTCACTGTAGCTCTGTCATCCCGACAGGTTGTTCCTTTCACCTGAAGAAGGCCACTTGTGTTGTGGCCGAAACGTCGAGAGAATTGTATTGTTTTATTTTATTATTTTATTCTCATTCTACGTGACTTTACCGAAAGAGCCAATGAAGATAAATCCTTGCAGTCACGAAAGCTTTAAATTGAAATTTAACTGTCAATCTCCCTCGGCCTGGGGCTCCATGCAAGATCTCACCTCGTGGAGTTGCAATGATCATAAGAACGGTGAGGAATCAGCCCAGAACTACACGGGAGGATCTTGTCAATGATCTCAAGGCAGCTGGGACCATAGTCACCAAGAAAACAATTGGTAACACACTACGCCGTGAAGGACTGAAATCCTGCAGCGCCCGCAAGGTCCCCCTGCTCAAGAAAGCACATATACATGCCCGTCTGAAGTTTGCCAATGAACATCTGAATGATTCAGAGGACAACTGGGTGAAAGTGTTGTGGTCAGATGAGACCAAAATGGAGCTCTTTGTATTCAACTCAACACGCCGTGTTTGGAGGAGGAATGCTGCCTATGACCCCAAGAACACCATCCCCACCGTCAAACATAAAGGTGGAAACATTATGCTTTGGGGGTGTTTTTCTAAGGGGACAGGACAAATTCACCACATAAAAGGGACGATGGACAGGGCCACGTACCGTCAAATCTTGGGTGATAATCTCCTTCCCTCAGCCAGGGCATTGAAAATGAGTCGTGGATGGGTATTCCAGCATGACAATGACCCAAAACACACGGCCAAGACAACAAAGGAGTGGCTCAAGAAGAAGCACATTAAGGTCCTGGAGTGGCCTAGCCAGTCTCCAGACCTTAATCCCATAGAAAATCTGTGGAGGGAGCTGAAGGTTCGAGTTGCCAAACGTCAGCCTCGAAACCTTAATGACTTGGAGATCTGCAAAGAGTGGGACAAAATCCCTCCTGAGATGTGTGCAAACCTGGTGGCCAACTACAAGAAACGTCTGACCTCTGTGATCGCATACAAGGGTTTTGCCATCAACTACTAAGTCATGTTTTGCAGAGGGGTCAAATACTTATTTCCCTCATTAAAATGCAAATCAATTCATAACATTTTTGACATGCGTTTTTCTGGATTTTTTTGTTGTTATTCTGTCTCACTCTTCAAATAAACCTACCATTAAAATTATAGACTGATGATTTCTTTGTCAGTGGACAAACCTACAAAATCAGCAGAGAATCAAATACTTTTTTCTCCTCACTGTAGGTCAAATAGACCCCGTAAGGAAGCACGACTGCTTCCTGCAGGGTCCTTATTGCCACGAAGGTGGGTGTGTCTCACAGAATTCATGTCCACACGATGTAAATCTTAACTTGAGCCAAAGCGAGCATTGTACATCACCTGTGATGGAGAGAAGGGCAGGGTGTGCAGGCGGTTCGATTTCGGCGGTGTCCTGCTCAGATCCAGGCTGCCAAAGCTGAGCGAGCTCGCGCCCTCCGTCGCTTCGCCACGCGGCGTCGTGTCCCGCCCCCTGCGCAGGATGGCGGGCTGGCTGGCCAAGCGGGCGGTCGCAGCCGACGACGCGATCGGGTCGGCTTTGCCCTGACCGCAGCCGATGGCGACGGCTAGGCCGCCCGTGCCGAGAGAACTACGTTGGCCGCCGTCGCCGAGGGACGTGCGCTCCGCCGCTTCGCTGGTGTCCGTGCTGCTGATGCCGCTCGTGCTGCCGATGCCGCTCGTGCTGCCGCTGCTAATGCTGCTGCTCGGGCAGTGCAGGGAGAAGACTTTGGACGAGCTGGGCCCGTCACGGTGGGGGGCGACGCAAGACGTCAGGGCGGAGCATTCCCGCGCCACCCCAGAATCACCCAGGATCTCCAGCATGAGGCTATCGCTCCACGAGCTGTTATCGTGCAGCATGGTCTGAGGTCGCGCGGGAAGGGGACGAGAAGCACACGTGAGTTCCTGCCGATTCGTGAAACGGGCATCTCGATTTGCGTGACGCCGTGACAGTGAGCGTTGCAAGTCAATAGGGGACTCTGTGCTCTAACGAGCATTGGGTGATGATCATTACGAAGTTCACATGTCTAAGTGGCAAGACGAACCGTCATGATTTCAGGTCACGATAGGACTTAATGTATTCTGTTCATTTTTCTTTTGCCTCGTTTATATACTTTCACGTTTTTCTGTCATCCTGTCTGTGCAGTTTTCTTCACCCTGTTTGCCTAAACTTTCTACGAGTATATTATTTGCTTTTTGTAAAAAATAAAATGGAAAATCAATTTTATATGACAGGGACCAGCTTATCCATATAACTATCAATGTTGACTACAACAGAGTGAATCTAGCTCAGGGCATGGGTTTATAACTTTGCCAATGCTCCGATACAAAAAGGCATAATGGAACATTACAAAGATAATTACTTTTGTTTTACAATCACACGGTACATTAACAAGAATATTACTTTTGGTTGCCAAATCACATGAGGAACATGGTTGTAGTTAAATAGTTAAAATAAAGCTGGATATAATTACATCCAAAAGGCAAAATGATATTTTTATTATTTCGAATATGTCCTTTGAAATCACTGAGATGTAAGCTAAGTGAATTACCATGAATTAAACATGACTAGAAATGCAAATAACAAACCATACAATCCTGCACTTTATTATAATAATAGCTTTTTTAATACGAATTTTAATATTGATAATACAATTCCAGGCAAGGAATTGTGCAAAACCATATGCCAAATAACAAGATTGACATAATGCAGCTCTCATTGAAAAAAGCGTAGCAGCATACATATGACAAAACCTTATTCTTAAACAGGCAACGATACATATTCTTTGGTTCTTTCGGTAAAGTTACGTAGCTAGAAAAATAGTAAAAATAAAGTGAAATAAAGATTCGTTCATGAAGCCATCCATATATACAGACACAATTTCAACCAAGAGGATGGTTATAACCTCTGCAATCATTGGAAAGATGTCATCAACCACTTGATTTGGTGTCGTTTTCTTGTTATCTTAACCCCAGGGCACATATGACCAGCCCACTTCGTTTCGCTGCAGGAGTTCTTGCTCTTGTGCCACGCCCATTTTTGAAACCTTTATAAACGGTTGCCTTAGGTGATCATCTCCCTCTTTCCTCCTGAAGACGAGCAATTGTGTTGTGATCGAAACGTCGTGGTTTTTGTTTTTTAAATCTTTATTTTATTATTATTTTTTATTACCGAAAGAACCAAGAATAAGTCTACATTATAGACTGCCAGTACGCTCACTCGGTTTAATAACCATTGTTAGTCTACATTATAGAATGTCAATACGCTCACCAAGCTTAAAAACCAGGCTACAGTCTACATTATAGACTGCAAGTACACTCACTGAGGTTAAGAACCAGGGTTACTACATTGCCTCCTACTGTAAAACTGCTGCAAACAATGCTGCGCTATGATATAATAGCACAAACATGAAAAGTACACAATTATTTCATTTGAAGATTTGATAGAATGACCGAGTTTTGTTTCGCCAAAACAATGTTTGTTGAAAAGTGTTCTCAATGAAGATTGATTGGTCTACAGCGCACAACCTTGGGTAGTCGTGTGACCGCTGTTTTGTGGTCCGATCACTCACGGGAGGAGCGTTCAAATATGGCCAGATCGGCGAAATTTCCCCCGCCCCCCAAGCCCCAGAGAAAATGGTGCAGTAGCTTTAGCCAGTGACAAGTGCTATAAAATTTCCCCAAGTTGAATCTTGGCTTTAAGGCATTATAAATTAAAAAGGTCTACACTTCATCGTAAATGTATGATATTTAGGTTGAGGAATGCAGAAACAATAAAAAGAGCTGCAGTCAGTGCAGGGCACATCGTGAGAATGACTCAAGAGAGATGAGCGACAAAACTACGGAGTGGAAACCAAGACAAAAGAAGTAGATGAAAACAGTGGAGGAGATGGCCATATGAATGCGTTTTGAAATTGTAATTGAACAGTAGTAGCAACTGGGGAAAGGAATGGAAGAAAATGTGGAAAAGCCTTTAGCCAGCAGAGGGGTGTTTTCGGCCGCCAACGACAAGAACATGTTGCCGCATAGCTGCACAATATTTACCGAATCGATCATTTGCAGCGTCTCGGCAAACTCCGGCACATTCTTGAGCGGCGAGAGCTGGGCCACGGCCAGGTACTTGATCGGAGTGGTGGCCTCGGCGCTAGCTCCCCCGGCCTGGTGGACAGGCCAATTCTGAGTGTGATCACACCGGGGGCTGCCCACACCGAGCGGCCTCATGGCGTCTTTGAAGTTGGCGATGGCGGCACCGCCACTCCAGTCGATGAGGTCGACCACCTCCACAACACCCGTGTTCTCAGTCTACAAAAAAGATGAAGATCCAACCAAGTCAGCCTATCCAGCCCGTTGGGGAAAGTGCTGTTCGTGTGCACCTATAAAGGCCAGCGCGGGACGCGCGATGTGATGGTGTGGCACCACTGTGTCCATCTATGTACAAACATGTGGGCAAGCAATGCATTGGACAATACGTCCTTCAATTAATTAGCGTAAAGCATCTCTGAAGCCGAGTGGAAATTTTATGGGGATGAGCTGCTTTAATTAGGGAGCATTCAAAAATGTTTGCTAAAACAAGCAAGTATGAACACCAGTTAGGGCAAATTTGACAATTTGGGAAAATTAGTTATATACACACAACCTGGAGCAGTGGTGCAGCAATTGGTACCCTGCAATGTGGACTTGGCAACTGGCGTTGATTTTCTGGCCATGGCTAACATGAGTGACGAGTGATATACAAACCGGCTCAGGGCACTCCCTTCACTAACGACCAGCTTGCTGTAGTAGGGTCAAACAAACCAACAGTGTGAAGAGGCTCATTGTCTGGAGGTGGATTGGCAAAGGGCTGTTGTATATATTGTATATAACAATGACATGCAGCATGAAGCACACTTCCCCAACAATACAAGCAATCCAGCAGATGGCAGAGCACATGGCAAGCTATTCGCTGATTTTAAATTTTACCAAATTATGCCACAGATGTTCCGATCCGCATGTCTTAATTTTAATAGCCCATCTGATGTGATTTTAATTAACGTTTTATGAGACTTCAATTCACCTTTTAATACTTTATTTTCCAAAACTATAAATGTATAGGAAATCGGATGGCTCCATTTCTCCCATGTTGCACAATTTGCCAAGCGTTTTGCAGTCTTAAGATGTGCTTGTATTAAGAAGCTCTTTAAATCCATGTTTTTCAGTATTTTGCTTTCGTTCTGTAGTATAAGATGTCATACACCCTGAAGAGGCCAGCCAATTGAAAGAAGAATAAAACAACGCGTCTTTCAAGGGGCGTAACAATTCCCGCAATGTTTCAATTCACATCGTTGCTGAAGCTAAACAACACGTGCATCGTGTTGCGCATGTAAGAACCGAATTTACATTTTTTTTTATACACGACTTATGTAAAGCGTTCGCACGACCTTTGTAGCCCTTAGAGGCCACTATATTGACGACACTGTAAAAAAAGTTATACATTCTTGAATGGACTTGTTTCGGGAAAGTGACAATTAATTGAAGTGTGACGGGCAAGTCGTTACACCCCCTACTCGCAAGTATGAGATACTAAATCTAAATGGATTCTTGTTTAGAGTAATAAACAATTATGTCACGGCTCACCAATTGAATACGCTTATAAAAGCGACTATTTCAATTTTATGTTGTGATAGTTCACTGAATCGCAAGGGGGGGCAGGGGCAAATCATATTTGTAACATTATCTCAATCACGAAGCCGGCCAAAGAAATGATGCAGATAACACGTTTAAATGCACAGCATAAGCTTTTGAGAATTAACAACGCAGCGATGGAAAAAGCAAGCAGCTTAGCCCAGCCCAGCCCAGGCAAAGCACCAGAAGCACCTTCCTCCGATTCAATGCAATCACGCACGAGGTCAAGTTTTGCAAGAACGCTTATACGGTTTGCGAGTCTGCGACACGTTGCTCGGAGGAAATTATAATTCTTAAGGCCTGCGTTCGCTGTTTCTTGACTGGTGTATCCTGAGTGGCCTGTAGAGACCGCAGGCGGGCGTGCGGTACGTTAGAAATTCACTCTTTGGTTCCTTCGGTAAAGTCACGTAGGTAGAAAATAAAATAAAAAATAATGGATCACGACGTTTCGATCGCAACACAAGCGGTCCGTCCTCAGGTGTCAGAAATATAATCCAGCAGTGGAACTGCTGAACCACCGAGTGTGGTGATGGGCAAGCGCTTGCCCATCGCCACATAAATAACCTCTTGTTGTAACAGCTCTCTCGCTGGTTCAGCAGTTCCACTGCTGGATTATTTTTTTCCCACCTGAGGACGGACCGCTTGTGTTGCGATCGAAACGTCGTGATCCATTATTTTTTGTTTTATTTTATTTTTCTACCTACGTGACTTTACCGAAAGAACCAAAGAGTACGGATTCCTACAGTCACGAAAGCTTCAAATCAAGTTCTAAATCCAACGAGGAGTTTCGTAAAAAGTCATCCGCGCTCCTGTTTTAGCGTGAAAATCTGCAAGCGGTGGACTACGAGGATTTACGTATGTATGTTGAACTTCTTTTGCACAATTTGAAGCCAATCGTGCAAATCGGACTTCATGGTTTGAATCTTTGCCTTTGCAGGGTAATCGTGTGTGGGCTTCATCAAAGGCACACCACCTGTTGTTATTGGACTGTAGCGGCTACGGATGTATGTCGCATCGATTAATATATATTCTTAAGGCTAGCAATACATAGATCGATCCCGATGCTTCCGGTTTCTTTGCTGCATGTAGTTTTTTTTTTTCCGGATGGACGATAGCAAGATGGACAATAGAATGAACAATAAAATTAAAAGCGTGTTGTTCTGAAAAATGGAAAGAACCGGAAAGGAAGACCTAACAGAGAATGACTTGACGACGACGTAAGAGATTGGTGCCAGAAATGTGGCACTACTTGAGCCTACTGGCACAAGACAGAGGAAACAAATGACGAAATGTGCAGTGGACACCTCTGGACTATCTGCCCATGGATCGTGATGATGATCGTTTTTTTCAGTTTCTACAAATGTATGAAGATTATATGCTCATGTTGCATTTCAACTAATGGAGTGAAAATGTACAAACAAGACAAAATAGACAAACGATGTAAATAAATATTTTTTCTTCGAGTAAAATCGCGATTTTAAATTGCAACAATACATCAAATAGCCCGAGTGTGAATCGATACAACTCCTATTAACGACTCTTGTGATATTGGAATTCATTTAAGCGCTTAAGTCATGCTTATAAATGACCCACAACCACTATATTTAAAAGTGATGGGTCCTTTCTCTAAGTTAAATTCTGCAGACGCAAGATATTCGTCAGAAATTGTGTAATTTTTAAATGCCTGTCCAAACCCTCAAGATCAATCACGTAGATACAAGCATCATAAATAAACCACTGCATCGAAATGTTTAGTCGTGCTATATAGTGGTTGGCAATGTTTTGGGAGTTAGGTATCCATTTGAACAACAAAATAAGCAATGCACCATTTAAACTTTTCGTTATAAATGTTTGTCTTACCTTAATCGATTTGAACCTAGTGCTCATCTCCGGGTTGATTGCACATCCAGACTACAGAGAAGCAAAACAAAGGGAGAGAGAGGGAGGCCGAGCGAGTGAGCGACAAAAAGTCTCCAAGAGGAATATATGGGGAATTCTTTTAACGCTGCCAATCACGGTTCCAATTTTCATTTAAATTGTTCATGAATGAAAATGTTTAACATTTTTTGCAAAGGTCAGAAAGAACATCATTGACAGCTTGGTCTCAAAGGTGCAAGATAAGCACATGTGAATTACAACCACTGAACTACAATAGCCCTTTTATGAATGCACTTTGGCATCTTATTAGGGGGTCCTGTGAATGCTGCATGGAGGCGTTGTCTTTAAAAGCAGGTAGATTGTTTACACAAAAACCAAGCACACAAACCACAGTTCTTCTTGATTTGATTTTAGCCGGTGTAAATCAGAATCAGTTTTTTTTTATTTAGACTGGAAGAGGAATCTGATGAGCTATTGCCAGTAGTGGCAGGTCAGCAAGTTACATGCTTCAGTCAAACCCTATTTTCATACATTGCTCCGATTTGCACTGAGCTCCCCAGTGTGTGTTCGCTACTCAAACACTTTATTTTTTTAAATCGGCCTGCTGACCTGTACAAAAAAAGTGACACCCACACATGTGTGCGTGTCTATTTGTATACATGTAAGTATAGGGAAGTGGTAGTGTAGCAGTTAGCAAACTGCGTGACCTGAGCTGCATTCCCACTCACAGTAAATGTGTGGCAAAATTTTAGCTGGTCCTGGGGCATCCCAAAGTCGACTCAGCCTTAAATAAGTACACGGTACAATGTCAAAGCATCAGTACCGGTTAGACAGGCAAAACGGGCGTGGTGTTAAGCCACATTACCTATTCGTGCACCATGCCTGTCTTCATTCGGCGCTCGTTAACAGCACTTGCCGCCGAACAGCCTGTGTAGGCTACACAGAAATAGGGCCGGGGGGGGGGGCGTTTGTCTTTGCGTGCGTGTAACCCAACGCAAATGTGTGCGTACATCCTGCTCATCGCGGCTGGGGCTGTCCGGTGCAAGGACCGGGAAGGCGTCGGACTGAAACTTGGTGTCAGGGCACAGAGGCCACGGAGAATCCTGCAGGTAGCCCTCCTGCTCCACTTTGCGCTTCAGTGTGGAGTTCCAGTGATTCTTAATGGCGTTGTCGGTTCTGATGGTAAGAGTGGGGCACACCCGGCTGAAATCAACCGTTTCTCACACAATGATTAATAGGCAACTATTGGTGCCCGTGATAGCTGCGTCTTAGTAAACAAAGATCAGAGCAGCAGGCAGGAGTTACAGATTGAACTAGGGAAAATGAGTGTTGTATGTTATCACAAGCTGGTAAGCCAGACTAATGCACATACAAAAGGAAGAACGAGTTTAGCATGTGTACGCACACCCACTGGCTCACATTTTAAAGCACACGTTTAATTCATGATGGTATGCTGAAAAACGATAGTTTTTTTATGATGCATTTCCAAACTCACGAAATTATACAAATCAGGGAAATTATACTCATAAGCAGTGCGGTAAGATTAATCATTACTTTATGGGTTTTCTGAATTGTCAAAATGTGAAACCGTCTCAGACGGAAATACGAACGAAAGTACCAATGTTTTTCGGTAATGGCAATAACTGCCAATTGGCACCTTAAGTGATTTTATTTTAAACAATTTATGAAAATATCACTTTTAAAAATGTCAAAACTATCCCAAAGCGATAATTTGAAAAATATATTGTGAATGATACTCTTCCAAAGATTAATAAAATGCCACGTTTAGATATATAAAATAGGCTGCATTTCTATAATGCACATTTCAGGTGGCCAACAAATGGGTTGGGAGGAATGGCAATCAGTCACCTAATGGGCTGGACCCCCTTGATGGATGCAGACCCCTTGGGCGCGGTTCGTTTACTTTTCTGGTCGAATTTTAATGTTAATTAATCCCGCGAGGCCACTTGCGAAGCAATGCTACCTCGACGCAATGCAAATGAACATCTCTCTACGATGGGCACTGGATAAAAAAAGGCACCCCGACCTCTACCACTGTGCATACTACACTTTGTATGTTATGCGACAAATTCATCTTGAAGCATGTTCGTTTCTCGTCTGATTTATGCTGATATTTACCTCCATTGCCATAATTGAGGAAACATGCAAAGACAATGTGCTTGGGTCATACTTCAAAATGTGAATCTGTCCCTGTGCACAGCTTGTCACCAATTGTTTTATCTGGTAATTTTTCGTATTTTATTGTATGCCATGTAATGGTTCACCACCTTCACGATGCAATGAATTTACACGATTCAGGATCATGATGGAAGTAAAAAAATCAATTATATTTGCATCATTGTTGCAATTTAGGCTCAGCCAGTGGCTGTGGGGTTTAAGGAAACAATCTCCTGTCTACAGCTCTCTCATCTCCATCTCTTTCATCTAACTAATCTGCATTTCTTTACGTCTCATAAAGACATATCCCTTAGCGGGTCACTCCAAGAGCTTTCACAGGCCACTCTCTCCCCACGGTTAGCCAGTTGAAGAACCTTGTGCTACTGCATAGGTTTTCACCGTTGTGCTGTATAGCTTCTCTGGAGTGTTTTGTTGTTACTCCTCTGTGTTGCTCGCCGTGATGCCCGACATTACGCCACACGTCCCATGGTTCCTAAATAAGCTCATAGCGTGTTGTGCAAAACGTATGACCCGAACACACACCGGAGAGCAAACCCCTGCCCGAGCGTCGTCACGGCCCTCACCCACGTCGCTCTCACCTTCCAGCCAGCAGCTTGGCGATCTCGGCCCAGCGGTTTCCCAGCTGCTTGTGTGCCTCATGGATGATGCGGTCCTCCTCCTCGGTCCACGACGACTTCTTCACCGCAGGATTGAGGTGGTTGTGCCAGCGCTCGCGACACTGCTTGCCGATGCGACCCTTGAGCTGCTTGGCGATGAGTGACCAGCGCTTGGGACCGTACTTCATGACAAGCTCGATGACCTGCGCGCGTGCATGCGCGTACACACACATACAAAGGTCTACCATCTAGCCCACAGGGCTAACACTATAACACGAACACTATTTTTATTTTACCAGGTAAGGCCCACTGAGCTATATAGCTCTTTTTCAGAAGTGACTTGGCCACAAATGATAGCTCAGATAAGTGGCTTATCGTGTGGAAATGTATAGGAGCCAAATAATCTAAACGCATGTTGATTCTAAATGTGGAGGGAAAAACTGGAGGGAAAACTGGAGGAAAAAAACCACACGTCCACGAGGAGAACATGCAAACTGCAAATATACAGACGTCTGGTTCGGGAACGAATCCACGACCTCCTGTATACTAAGCGTGTTACTAAACATCTCGCCACCGTGGCTGTTGGGGACAAGCGCTGTTAGCGAGCACACTATGAAGGCCAGCATGGCACACAAAGCGGGTGGTGGTGGTGGTGGTGGTTTCGCCAACGCCTCGATCAGAATATCCGGGTTGAGCATTAACTGTGCTCATTCCCACCTTCTAGGCCCATGCTCGTTGCATTATTAGCTGCTCCATACGTGTCGAAGATCAGTTACAGTGCCCACATGTCCAAACATGTTTGCAAGTAAACCTCTGACTTTAAGAAACAATAACAAGAGCAATGCATTCTATGTCTTTGGTACTATTATACTTAGGTAAACAAATATTTTTTTATGGCGCAATTTACGTTGTCATTGGCAATTACATTTTTTTATGGGCTACCCCTACTCCACAACACCATCCCGGCTAATCAAGACGCGACTGCACCGTTAGTGAGCACCTCGTCAGTGCTGCAGTTTACACACTGTATCAAGTACGCATTGGGTGGGGCAAGTGGCACAGGAGTCAGGGTAATGCGCAATGAACCTGGCAACCTTAGTTTGATTCCTGACCACAACCAACATGAATGGCGAGTGATATAAGAACTAGCCCTAGGCCCACTTCCTTTAACAACCAACAATGATTAGCACACTGTTCCCATGACTGAGAGTGTGGGGAGGCTTTAATCCACCAGTGAATTACAAAGGGCTGTAAAGTATAGAAGTCATAAGAGCCATCGTATTACCTTGTCCAATTAATCTACCGCGAGAAGCACTGCGCATCGAGATGAGAATTTAACTAGAAATTATGAAAGCATACGGGGTAGGCTGACGCTTTCCGACGGAGCCTTTATTTTTCTCCATTTTGCTGAACTGCTTGCTGGTGAAGTCGCAACATCTTATACCTTCTGATCCTCCTCCTTAGTCCACGGCCCCTTCACCAGAGCCGGGTTCAGGACCTTTTGCCAGCGGTGGATACACTGAGCATCACTTCGATTCTGCAGAGAATGAGACCGCACGTACACACACCAGCCAGTGGGGATCTTTCTTTCTTTTCTGAAAACCACACAGTGGCATTTGTATTCGATACACATATACACTGTGTTATATTGCATTTTATTGCATAATAGATAGCCCCAGCAGTCTGTAACACCTGCTATGAGTGGTGGTCACCCATCTTATCTCTATCCAGACTCAGTGCTGCTTTGCTTCAGAGATCGGACAAGATCGAGTACATTCCAGGTGATAAAGTTACAGCCTAGGTAGTTGGAAGCAGAGGTCATTTTAGTAGATCGATTTTCATCTTCTATATTTTCTATGTGCCCGCATCTATGCTCCTCGCTCTTCACCAATATTCACTGACAAGGAAGGTGAAATCTGGTCAAAACAACTTCTATGACCAACATGATGTGGGGCGTCCCTCATCCAGCAGTCAACTGACAAAAGGGCTGTAGGTGTACACATGTATATAGCAAGACCTCCGATTAGCGAAGTTAAGTAAGTACGGTGCGAAAGTGGTTCAACATACAAACATACCAGACAGAAACACGAGGTTGTAAATTAGAGATTGAAAACACCTTACTGCCATCACTATTAATGCGACCCTATACCATATTATCAGGAGCTTAAGATGCTCTGGAATGGAAGTCACACCCAAAACTTGTGCGATAGAATACAAAGAAAAAAATGTGTGTCTTATAATCCAGAGGCTAGGATAACATAGCAAAATGTATGATAGCAAAACTAAGAATGGAAAAAGCAGCTTATATTATTTGTTTAATTGTTTTGGTTAGAAGCCAGTGATTATAATGACAGTACTGTTCTTGTACGCCACCGACAGTAAAGTCCCTTATGTTTTATTTGACAATGCTACTGCCGTTACTGCAGCCGAAAATTTAGTTCATGTACCTCTGTAATACATACAATGGCAAGAAAAGAAAAACATGTTACAGCTCTCTTAAACTACGTTTGATGTGCCTTGACTAGCCATGCGAATTCACCCATTCATTTTGGGGTCCTGGTGTGTGTGTGGGGAGCAGTAGCGTCGCAATTAGCACACTGCTCTATGAACCCAGCAACCCGAGATCGATTCCCGCTCGCAGCTGACGTTGGTAACATATCTGAACCAGTTCTGGGCCTCCACGAGGTCAACTCAATTTCAAATGAGCATTCGGTTCGGTGTGTAAACATCAGCCCTGGGGAGACAAAGGAGGCCAGGCGTGATGCTTGTGCATTTTGTTAGCCTTCATCAGTGCTCGCTAACAGCACTTACCCAAACAGCCTGTTAAAGGTTAGAGGGGGAGATCTTTATTAAAGGGTACATCGTGCATATTCAACTTACAGGCATGTAGTTTGCGAGAAATTTCCAGTCGTCCGTTCCGAATCGCTCCGCCAACTGTTTCAGCCTCTCATCCTGAAAGGTATCGCTACCGATCAGCATCTGCACAGGATCAATCAACCGGTGAAACCACAGGCCTCTCCGCTGTGTCAAATCTGGGCACAGCGGCGTGGAGCAAGGAACAAATGGGAATCTTCCAATATTCAAACAGGGCTTCCTCAATATAGAGCTGGAAATTCGCACGAAATTTCAAACAATTATTGTTTTATGGAGAGATTTACTTTTTGTTAACCACAAAAACCTAAGTAGTTGTGTCGGTTTGAAAATATAGTTGCTTCCTGTAATTTTGCAGGACAGCACATAACAAGCTTTACACAATTTTCAACTGTTTGAAATCAACACCGCTCTGTTGGACTTTGTTTGTGACCTGATGCAAAGCAATAGTATGCAAATAATAACCATGGAATTGTTTGTTGAATTTAGAACATAAAATGTGGCAAACATATTGTGAGTATGGTGGTTTGTGTTTCATCTTCTCAAGGAACCCAGTAATAACCAAACGTCATTTCAAAAAATGAAATTGAGCTGTCGTTGAAATAAATTGATAACCCATAAAAGCTCATTGTCCAGAGTAGGGTTTTGTTCAGTGGGAGAGGAATAAGTGGAATTTGTAAATTGTGAAGTTCACTCTGCTGGCATATGTGGAGAGATGATCGAATACATTCTATCAAAAGTACATTGTCAAGTGATTCAATGAAGCCAATGTGGGTTTCAAGTATTTTCCCAAATGCTCGTCAATATTGTGCGCTTCCCAACTTAGAATGCAACGCAACAAGGATTATATTCAATTGGTGCGTGTCTTTGTAGGCTTAGCACTATGCAATAGAAGGTAAACGTAAATAAAAAAGGCATGCCAGATATTGATTAATTGGGGTGTAACCCTTAACACCCCTCCTGCCCCCCACACTGGCGGTTTGATGAATGGTCATGGGTCACAATTCAATGGAAACTTTTTCCATTGTGACGAATGTAATGGCCACAAATGGCTGCAGGGGGCCACATGAAACCATTACACAACCATATGCGAATGAAAACGAGGATGTCTACCGAGAAGACGAACACAATAAAATCAGCTCGTGGGCAGACGCGAGGCGGACTATCACATCACAGGGATCGCGAGAGATCGCGACGGCTGGGCGAGGCCTTCATCTAGCAATGCATTGACCATGGCTGCTGCTGATGTGAATCTAACAACACCTATTTCTCACTCGCCCAATTTGCCGCACGCATTGTGAACCTAACAAACCGACATTGAATCGACGAAATGATGCATCGTTACAACCCCTCTAAGTGAGCGAGAAAGCTTTTCATTTAGATGCCCTGGGGTCAGCGTGGGCAAGGCTCCAGCTAGGAGGTTCGAGCGAGACAAGACTTGTAGGGCGACTACCTCCTCTCTGGTCCATCGCGCCTTGCTCCAGCCGCGCTTGTACACGTGCTGCTGCGGAACATCGTAGTCATGATCTAGAGGCTCCGGTTCGTCCTCCTCCTCTTCCTCGCTGGAACAGAGACAGGTTCACCGTAGATTAGGGCTGTGTGGTGTCAAGTTAATCGTAATGCTATTTTTTTATATCACCTCTGGGACTCCAACTCTTGCCACCAACCTGCACGAGGGCATAAAGACATTCTGGTTTTACCCGAGCTGTTGAGCACACGGCCAGAGATGAAATCGATATGGCGAAACTAATTAAATAATATTTTCTCTAGTAACAATAAAGATCTTCATTTACACATGTGAAGATTCCTTTGCAGGAGGGTATTGCTACGTTGGAATGTTTGGAAAATTCCATTCATGAGTGTTTGGCTTCATGTGGGAGGAAACCAGAATACCTGGACAAAAAACTCGGAGGCAGTTAATGCACTGGCTTGTTCTGAGAAACGTAGTGCCAACTTTTTCGGCAGCGTGATGCTAACGTGAGCAACTAAGCCCCACACCAGCAACGCGGTGCTAATGATTTAACAGGAAACTAGAGAAACACCCAGGTTCAGTTAGTGGGGCACAGGGGGCGGAGGGATCAATTCGGTGGCATTTCAACCCGAAACACTCATCCGTCTACGCAGCCTCATCTATTCATAGTAATGATCGGTTTTCTTTCACAGTCGATTCCTGTTGCACGAACAATTAATCCCACACAGGGGGTGGGGGGGGAAGACCGATTCATAAACTTCAGTAGAAGTAACAAAACATCAGGCAACAGTGATTTTTCAAACCAAGCTCTTATGGAATGTATTTCATACAATTCAAAAGAATTCACAATCCTTAAACGTGAATTATCTATGAATACATATCAATTATGCAAAGCCTTTTAGTCTTTCCCACTTGATCATTTTGTGAAAGTGTCACACATGTGGAAAAACTCACTATGTTGAGTTTCCCACAAAGCAAATGCACAGACCCTGCAATAAAATGTAACATACGTGCAGCAGTCTGCGTGAAATATTAATGCACGTTATTGCAGTGTGTAATTTTGAATGTATGCTATCAATAACGTACAGCCTTCTGTCAATCCATTGCTGGATGAATACCGCCATATGCTGCGTCAGTCATGAGGATTTTTTGACCATACTTCACACTGGTCAGTGCGGGTTAGTGAAGGACTGGGACCCAAGACCAGTTCTGATATCACTCGCTGCGAATATTAGCCATGGCCTGGAATTAAACTAGGGACAACAGGATCAGGGCGTGGAGCGTGAACCACTGTGCTACCGATCCATGGTGGTGGAATTTGGTTCGCACATTTCATTATTGTTGGGAGTGATAAACAGCACCTATTGACACCCCAACATTCAACATGTAATTTATGCTACATCATTCCAAATTATTTTGCAGGCAAGTAAGCGGGCTTTGGCAGTGGACATTGCTAGAACAGATGACAACCGATGGATGAAACTGGTGATTGAATGACGGCCAGAGAAAAGGAGATAACGGACGCAAGAGGGCAACCAGAGGACACAAAGCGATCCGACCGGTTCATGTGTGGAGTGAGATGAATTTTGGCATTCCATGGACTGCGAGGGATGGCAATGACATTTGGAAGCCTTCATTCAGCAGGGGTAAGACAATGGCTATTGATATCACTGATGATATTCCAAATTATAGGACATCATATGTAAAAGGCACTTGAGCAGAAAAATGTGGTTTCTGGAGGAGAGACGTTTACATACAAATAACAATGGGGAAAAACGCTCATCATTTGCATGAGCAGGGAATTTTATGATGGTGTCACAGGCCAAATCTCAAATTAGTTTTTTTTAATACCATCCCTAAATAACTACGGGCTGCACCGCAAGAGATGAAGACCCTGAATGCACAATTACCTGGTGTAAATAAAGCACGTCAATAAAAACGCAAAAATGTATATCAAATGAACATTTTAAAAAGGGGTTAAAATATCCCTATGGGTTGGTGTGCAAGCGCTCATTAATCACAGTTTAATCTCACCCTCAAGCAAACAATAGCACCTCCCTTTTGTCTGGCACCCTTCTGCATCTCAGTGAAGTGCTATTTCAAATCAGCACGAGGACCCAATTTTATTCCAATCAGTTGTGACACTGGAGTGCCAGCAATTCTCACCTCGGATAATGCTCACCTATAAAGCCAGCACACATTGCATCGAGTGTGATCGGGTTTTGTCAAGGCAACAATATTCTGGGACCCCCCCCCCCCGACCTGGGAGTATACTCCTATGCCACGGTTTTCCAATTTACCAAACAGCCACGTGTCGTCGCATTGCCCTTGCGCTATTAATATTCAACATTCGCTGGGAAAAAAACAAAGAATCCCAAGCAATTGCGTTTATTCCACTTTGGCCGTGGGAGGACCTTTAGTTTCACACCACGACTGCTTGTTTCTATTGGGAGGACGAGTCATTCAGGTGAGATAAGGGGGCAGATTTAAAAATCAAAAGCCATTAGAGGGTTGCAGCGCGGTTAGCACAGAGGTATCCGCATGTCCAAGGCAGTTTGCATAATTGACACTTTGACGAGGATTATAACGTTACCTCTGAATTGACTGCACAGCCTCTGCCCTATACGGTACTTGTGTTAGATCCCGACAGCCACATGCATCTTACGCACACCGTTCCACTTGAATCAATACAATGTATTGTTTATAATTCAACAAAAGCAACCTTGTGAGCGCTCCACATTGATACTCTTGTGTAAAAGCAACGGCATTCTTATGTGCACCACGGTTAGGTAGTCTCGTGTATTACACCTATAATTATTTTTGTTAACAAATTGCCAAAGCAACATTCGGAGCTGCCAGCACAGTGGTGGAATGAAAGCTGTGGGCCAGATAATAAGACGAACATATTCCCAGTTCTAAAAGATCACATTATCTGACGACATCCCTAGATGACATTAACCCTCAGTGAACGTTTCTTCCTCATTCATTGAATACATATTGACTAGGGGTGCATCAAATATCAAATTTTACAAATATGCCGAATACCGAACACCTTATTTTGGTTTACTGTGGAAAAAAAGAATATGGCCAACTAATATAAAAAATAAGTTTTCAATAAACTGATAAGTCTCTGTGTCTCCCTCCATCTCTCCCTTTGCATGTCTTTATTGTTTCGATAGCTATCTCCATTTCTGTCACCATCTGTCAATCTCTCGGTTTTCCCTGTGCCTCTGTCTCCCTCCCTGTATCCCTGACTTTCTCTGTCTGTGTCCATCTTATATTCTCTTCTGTCTCTATTTATCTCACTCATGTCTTGGTTTCTCACACACCATGTGCTTGCAGTGGAGTTGTTACCATCGCAGCTCCCATCCCGTGCCCTGCCCTCCTCTCTTCTCGCCCATCCACGGTGGTCACATGACTACGCCAGCCCACAGTGATCAAAACCAATATTCGGCTTCACATTTATTCTTCCTGCAATTTTTCTGAAGTCAAAAACTTAATTAATAATCCCTTTCTATATTTGAGTGCTTTTCAGAGGCTGTTGCAAAGAGGTGGTGTCCAATGTGCTGAAAATGTCTCCATAAGATTTTTTTCAAGGAGAAATCCGCCTCCCACATCTGCCCATTCCTCCATATTTCTCATTCTATTGGGCAATCATACCCATTATCCAAAATAATGTGGACCACTTGTGGACGAGTACATATTATTTCAATACAGTGCTTGTTGCAGAATAATTGCTTTTTCACCTTGTTAAGCACATTCATCCACTGTCAGTGTGCCGAAGACTAGCTTTGAGCCAGGAACATAACATGATGCAAAATTGTGGTACAAGATTGGTACCACAATTAACTGAAAGCCAAGCACAGCACTGCAATACTTACATTGCACAAGACAGGGGCTATATGTGCCCATTGTTGTTTCATACAAGTGTGGCACCCAGTAAGGCTGGTGCAACACGTGCAGATGTTTTGCGGGTGACACGGTGACAACGTGGAGATTGTAGCCAAAAACATTTCCCATTGGAAGCAACAACTTGCTGTAATTGGCATGCAAACAATCGGGCAAATCTGCGGAAGCATGGGGCATGACGGATGTAAATTTGGAACGTGTCAGAAAAAAGCACAAATGTGGACAGTGCATCGAACCAGATACGACAGATGTCAGTGACTGGCTCAATAATAAGGCCATCCTAACCCACTCCTCGATCTCTCTGTTGTCACGTAAAACATTTGTGTGTCAACAGGCTGATGAGAGTGATCGTCATAGCTCGCCATGCTACAGTCTGTGAAAATGAACATGGATGCACGGAGCTTTAGCTATTGAAGCAGCAAAGCAGCTTGTGACCAAAATCACTTTCAATGTTAAATCTAGATTGAAAACTAATTAAAATAGAAGTTTTTGTGTTTAATTTGTCCTTTCCCCACACCCCCGATAAGCAGTTGGGTATGTACGTTGCAAAAGAAGTTCAACATACATACAAACGTGCACCAAATCTCACTAAATCTTGTTCATAATGGAGTGGGAGACTGTCTGTGAATATCAGGTACCGTGGGCTTTGGCTGCAAAGTGGCCAGGGTAAGCACATATATATACAGCCCTTTGTGGTTTGCACACCGCACCTGGTACTGATTTGAGGCAGAGTCAATCTAGGGGAGACCCAGGATTGATTCAGATAATTTTCACTGTTGTTGGCCGTGAGCGCGAATCAAACTCAGGTCACCAGGTTCGTAGCACAGCGTGCTCACCGCTACACTGCCACTTCGCATATCATACCACAATATAAGGTCATATGATGTGTATGATGGACACACATCATACCACCCCATACACCTTACACAATCGGAAGGTCGTGAATTCAAATCCTGGTTGGGGAGGGGGAGGGAGCGAATGACTCGACCCATCATCACTTTGTGGAGAAGTTCAACAATGGTTTGCCCAATAGTAATACTCACCCAACCCCTCCCCTTTCGCTATAGTAATATGGAATTTCCACCACATGCTCTATAAGGATGCGAATGGGAGATAAGCACCAATGCCTCGATGCTCACTTGAACAGAGAATCATCATCATGAGGCATAGTCTATTCACAGCTGGATAAAGGCCTCCCGCACACATTATGTCGGTCATGGGGGATTGTTTACCAATGCTTCACCATGCTGGTCAATGTGATTTAGTGAAGAGCAGGGAAGCCCAGGCATAGTTCAGATATCACTTGCCAATGATGTTAGTCATGGTCAGGAATCATACGCAGTTCACCATGTTGGTAGGCGGTGAACCACTGCACCACTACTTCCCCTGGTAACAAAATGGCAGTATGAAAATGGATTCTTAAATCTATCTCTGTAAAGGAGCATTTTTCCCTCATAAAAAGCTAAGCACTCCAGTCTCATCCGACGTATAAAAAAACACTCATTCATGACATTGGCCAAACATCCCAAAGGTTTTAAAATTCAGTGACGCTTTCCTGGGTAAAGGGTATTAGTATTTTTTATAAATATATAGTCTGTTGACGTATTGGTCTTCTAGACTATTAATATTAAGCAAGTAAACACTGGATTGGTTGTGACATCCTGGATCTCATCAGTCAGATTCAGGTTTGCTTTTTTTACAAATTCTGATGGTTTTCCAAATGTCGATGGTAAAGAGCAACAATAAAAAATTGTGATTATATTTGTAGCAAAGTGTTTTACTCACCTGTGCTCCAAGTCAGTGTCCTCCATGCTTCCCTCCATGACAAAGCTGCAAATCGGAGGAAAGGTGGGTGAGAGGAATCAAGAGCAAACAATAACATACATCTGGGGTATTCATTAGCCCATGCCACACCATGACCTATTAACCGCATGACGACTGAGGCCCAGGAGGAGGAGGGTACTATGCAGCTGTCCTCCCTCTCTCTGCCTCCTTTGGAAATCAATAAGAGGCACTGGGCCATGCGATTACAATGCAGCAATTGCTGAATAAAAACCCATTCACGATGCCGATTTATACACTCTGCATAATGAACTGGGATTGTGGGGATATGTATACAGCAAAAATTTCCGCCTACCCCGAGGCATAAACACTGCATAAGTAAGCAGACCCCTCTCAGTACTCACAAAACTATATTTCTACCAGTCAATGTGCACATTTAAAAGATATACAGTAAAAGCTGGAATTATTTTTCCCTGCTTAGCCAAGAATTTGTATTCAGGTGGCCTATAACCAAATCAGGCTGCAGTGCTAATTGGTGGGTACAAAAGGGTAGTGTAGCCAAATATATCGTACTGTACTGACCCCGCATCTGTGCTCCCCACCTTCACTAATTTGCAGATCAGTGTGGTATAATACTGCCTAAAGGCCCTCATGGCATGATGGGACTCATTCAACAGTGGAGTGAGAAATGAACCTTACATATATTCAAGCTGTTTATATTCCAAAGGCCAGTTGGCTAATCAAGCAAAACATTTCATGAGATGTATTACTCTCTAATAATGGCATTGCTTTTAGAGTACTACAGTATATTTCTGCATAACGGTATGGGTCATAAAAAAATACACTTTGGAGTCATAACCTTCAGCAAGAAGTCAACACGAATGGTGTCACACTCAATAATGCATTACGTAAGTATTAACCAATGTGGCGCCTTGCAGTGATTTGCAGCCAACAAAATTGGGGTGGACCACACCACAGCATGTGTCACTGCTTTTCAAGCTAAGCTATTGTGGTGGCGTTGGGGGTGGAGGAGGCAAAGGGGAACTTGCATCGTAAAGCCCTGGTTTCAGCTGCCACGTGTGACCGGCCACAGTGGCAGATGTTCTTCTCAGGAGGCAGGTGCACCACCCCACCATCTTCAACGCCACCACAATCGTTTGCACTAGGCAAAGCCACTTAACGTGTTAAACGGCACAACTGTTCACGTATAGTATTTCAGTCTGGCATACATGTGTATGCAGGTGTGAAACTGTGGAACCATGCAATGAAGCCAGTAAGCAGAGTTTGGTTCCGGGCCACAGCTAATATCAGTGGCGAGTGATATCTGAAACAGGCCCCTAGCCACCACCTTCCCCAAGACGCAGTGACCTCCATCCAGCAGTGGATTTCCAAAAGGCCATACATAATGACGTTATTTTATACGCGCTGTAAATGCACCACTTTTGTAGTAATTAGGAGAGAAAGTGAAAATGTGCAGGCCATTTCCACTCAAATGTCCAGCTTTGGTTGGTAAAAAGGTTCATTTCTAGTTCAACTGAAATACGTGCAAATAAACCCATGGATATAATCATTACAATAAAGCATTTACAGCACATTGTCAATCCACTTCAGGATGAAGGTCTCCACGTTGGTTATGTGATTGTTTTGACCAAACCTCACCATTCTGGTCAGTGTTGATTGGTGAATGGGGAAAAAGGACCAAGAGGGCTGGTTCAGTTGTAAACTCACTCATAGCTGGGAATACAACTTAGGTCCGTGGGTTTATATCGCATTGCTCCACTTTCCAAAATTACTATCAAATTATATTAATATTTTGAAAGTTGCTTAAATCCAGCCACCTCTGGGAGTCGAGCAGCAGGTCTTGTATATTGGAGTAAAGTGTGGGCATTCCAAACTCTTCCAAGAAATCTCTCCCCAGCATGGAAGAGTTGGCCAAAATAAGGACGCCATCATTGGTGTGAGCAGCAATTTCAGGTTTGCACCTTTCCCTTACTATTATTGCATCCAGCATGCAAAAGATGTGTATGACATCAATCACTATTCATCTTTAAAAAAAACTCTACAAGACCAAATTAATGATTTCAAATGGCACTCCAGCTGTTCATTTGAGCAAACACCTTGCCCAAAACACAATAAATGTTGCTCTTAAGCCAGCAATGTGTAATTGAGAAAATCCATTTACACGAACACAAGGCACTTATGCTGAACAAGCCCACAACATTGCAGTGCATTGCATTTAAAACACGCAGCATCAAGATTTCTGAATCTAGCATAACCATAACCAACCCCAACACCATTACAATAAATGCTTCGAGCTGAAGGCAATCCCAAATTGAACAGAGCCACTCATACATCCACCGAGTGCAGTGTATATCTTAAGAGCAGTAAAAAAATGTATTTCGGTCAAGGGACATGCACAGTCATTTTATCAATCCACTGGTGGATGAAGATCCTCCACACCGTGTCGGTTTGTTTGACCATATTTCAACCACGCTGTTCAGTGTTTCGGTGAAGGTGGAGAGGTTAAGGGGTTGTACAATAGTATAGTAGTGTACATATAACAATGTTTGAGGTTGTGAGATCAAATGAGAACAGTATTTCAAGCGAGTTCGTCATAGGCCTTACAGTAAACATTAAAAGCCAAGATGTCCATACATTTATTATGCTTAAAAAAAACTCTTACTCGACAAGACCCTGAGCCACTTTCACCATGCTAATGTAACAACAATAATTTTAATAATGAACTATTATGCCATTGTTAATTGCACATTACAGTACTCAAGATTTTATCACTGCATTTTATGAGTAAACTATTCTTGCTGGTTGCAGTTATTTGCCTCCCTACGCCGTGTCGGTCATGGTGGTAGTTTCACCATACTTCACCAAGCTGGTTATAGCTGGTTGCGAGATGCTGTTTTACATGAACGACGTTTTTTTACATTGAATTAAATTACGTACTATTATTAAGGCTAGGAAGCATAGACGTAGGAGCAGATGTAGAGTACAACAATTGATGTTGCTGCACTGTCCTGGGCAGTCGACAACAAAGCCAAAATAACCAATCACCACTAATTAAAAATATAATTACAAATTGTATGACTTTACACATACTGTATGTACTGTTAAACAACTAGCAGCGTACACGCGCGAACTAACGTGTGAAATTAATAATAAAGGTTGTTTTTGGGTTAGATCGCGTAAGTATGTGTCGTAACCCTCCACCACCCGACATAGCCAGGAAGGTTTGTCACGTAAACAAAACATGCCAATTAGTTTACGACATCAGTCCACCGGTGTGTTGGAGAGCAAATCCACAACATTTACAATTTGAGTGCGGTATCTCGCTGATAATTACGGTACATGTTGTGGATTTACTCTCCGACACACCGGTGGGCTGAAGTAGTAAACTAATTGGCACATTTGATTTTAGTGACAAACCTTACTGGCCGTGTCGGGTGGTGGAGGGTTACGACACATTTATACTTACGCGATCAACTCCAAAAACCTTTACTATGAATAATATTTAGAATATATTTTCCCCTTTTTTCTGGCAACAAAACAGGTGTTAAGATGTTAAAACACCAAACTGAAACCTTTTTACAAAGAATCATGTCTGCATTAACCACAATACTGTACTTGTGGTCAGAATTAAGACAAAAGACACTAATAATATATGCAATTTATTTGAAACCGATTGATCCACACCAGAGACAGCTTTCTTTCGAGGCCGAGTCTCAAAACGGTGTTATGACTTTCGGTTAAATTATAATAAGAGTACTTGCTGTCAAACAACAATACAGCTTGGCTGGAGGCAATAACTGTAGTGGGTTTGAGTTTTGGCGCTGCTACGCAAATAATATCTATAATTAGGCAATTAACCTGCATGTTACGACTGCACGAGTCATAGCATAGGTTATGATGTATTGTTAATCAGTAGAGTTGATGTGCAATGGAATTCAGTGGCCGCAAAATCAATAACAAAATATTACACACTCCGATTGTAGGCCTCTCTGCACCACTTCACCAACCAGCACTGACCAGCGTGGTGAAGTATGGTCAAAACTCGTACGACCGAAACAGCGTGAGGGGGGGTCGTCTCATCTAGGCAGTGGAAAAATACAAAGTTTGCACGTACAAAATTATAAAACTGATCCAATCCTCGTCTCTCTTGACAGCTCCTGAGCTGGTTTACCACGGAGTAGGCTTTCGCGACCAATATCATCATTAATAAATACAAATTGGGGGGGGGGGGGGGTGTTACATCGCGTAAATGTGTCGTTAAACCCGCCACCACCCGACACAGCCGATTAGTAAGGTTCGTCACGTAAACAGAACGTGGCCAATTCGTTACCAGTACAGCACATCGTGTGTGTCAAGAGCGCTGATCTACAGCATTTTACAAGCCGTCATCATCACCCACTCTCAATCCACTGCTGGACGAAGGACCTTTCACTCCAGCGGCAAATTATCAACGAGTGTAAACATCCACATTGACGTGGCGGGGGACACAAACTTTCACTTGCACAACAAGCAAGCACCGACGACGACGAGAATACAAACACGGGTTAACACGTTGCGGCGGCGGCGGCGTTGGTTACGATGCGATGGACCAGTTGATGATGTACACGAGAGGGACGAGAACAACGGCAGGAACGTGAGGAATAAGCGACGGCGTGAGAGGCCTTCATCCAGCAGTGGAAGAGATCACGACTGATGATGGTAACAGGCGTGGCATGGAGACTGCGTGATGACAGATGCATTCAGCAGTGGACAGATCATGGCCGACGAGGACGGCAACTCACCTTGTGTATTCCGTCATGTTTCAGTAGGACGCAAGTCGCGCTGGTTGACGCCCTATATATATACACACGCCAACAACTCGCTCGAATATGGAACAAAATAAATAAAATGACAGTAACATACACACGAACTTAAACAACCGCCTTATTGACCGAGACGGCGGCTGTTGTACGCCAACGTCAGTGCCCGACTCGAATGAGGCGATTCTTAACGAACGAATCAATCGGCACGAACGAACGAAAAAGTCGCACGACTGCAGTAGCTTCCTCACACACTCTCCAACACCGCCCCCCCCCCCCAACACCGCGGTGGCTCCCACCGCCTCACCCCCTCCCCTCCCAGTGGACTCCGTAGGAGCCCGGGCACCACGGGCGGGAAAACAAAAACAGCGCCCTCTCCGCTCTCGGTGCCGCCAAATTTCCCGCGAAATCCACCCGCGGGGCCGCAGAACGCATGCGCGAACCCGCGCTCCTTATATGGAAATTCGTATTCCGGTGACGTCGTCGGCGCCCGGCCTCGCCCCCCTCCCACACACGATGGGGTTGACCACGCCCCTCGATTTTCTATCGGGGTTTATTATTAAATTATTACACAGTGGACTTTTAGTAAACTTTTATCACGTAGGCTTTCGCGATCAATATTATCCATAATAGAGGGGGGGGGGGGGCAGGGTTTGGTTAGATCTCGTAAATATAAATGTGTCGTTCAACCCGCCACTACCCGACACAGCCAATTAGTAAGGTTTGTTACGTAAACAAAACGTGCCAATTTGTTACGAGTACAGCACACAACATTTGCAATTGGAGTACTGACCTGTGGGTTTACTCTCAAATTTGATGTGCTCAATTAAAGTGGGTGGCTTCCTTTCGATGGGTTTAATTGCCTTTATGCAAGCCACCAACTTTTATTGAGCACGTAAAATTTCATTAATTCCAGGGTCAAAATAATTTACTTTCTACTTTTGAGTGGAAATGAAAGTGTGTGCATTGAAAAACGTACTTTTTTTAACCAATTTTTTTTCGGAATCAGAATTTTAAAATTTATATTGCAGAAGGAATCCCGGATGAAGCTATTCTATTCAGCAAAATATTTTTTTCAGATGTCCAGTATAGGGGGTGGGTCAGAACATTAGAACAAACAAGCCAAAGAAACGGTAGAAGTGCAAAGTATAGGAAAGGTAAACAAATCTCGTAAATATATACAAATAAAAATAAAATATATTTGTTTATCTTCCCAGGTAAAGCCCGCCGACCTATTCGCTTATTTTTCAGAAGCGACCTGGCCACAAATAATAATAGCTCAGCAAAGTGGCTGGCATATCATGTCGAAATGTATAGCAGCCAAATACTCAGTTTAACCCCGATGAAGTTTGGAGAGCTGAATGGACTTCATACGAACTCACAAACACACACCTTGTGAAAGACGAAACGCAGGAGATGCCTGGGGGGGTTTGATCTTCCACGAAGCTCATGGTCCACCTGAAACTGCATTCAATGCACAAACGGTGGCAGTAGATGCGGATACCTGATGCACAAATAAAACATTAAAAAACTCTCCAGCAGTGTGCGACTGTGATCGTTCAGAACAGACCGTACAAGGTATAACGACGCGATGTCCGATCCGCACATACGTAGGAGACATCACAGCGATACACCACTCCCCTGCTCCTGACGCGGTTATCTTGGCTTGACCACCTGAATGTGAAATTGCAGTCGTTGCTTTGCGTCCACATCCGCAGCCGTACGAAAGAAGACGTCGAAGGATAAGTGTCGTTTCTAAGAGTAACTTGGGTAACCAACCCCCCCCCCTCCCCTCCCCCCCCCCATTTTTTTTTACAAGGTACAGCAATGAAGTCAGTAGGAATCAGAGCAAAAACAACCGTGTTACATGAGATAATCGAAAATAGTCCGCAAACATCACCATCAGAATATTTATTCTGGAGGAATCCGATGAGCTATGAAGCTATTTTTCACAGATGCCCAGTAGGGCGCGAGTCAGCGAGTTATCTCGACAAACAATACAACACAAAACGACATAAGAGCAAGAACGAGACAACACAAGCAAGTAGCTATACATAAACACACGCAAATCAAGTATTTAAGTACAAATTGCACAAGTGCATACATTCCTACCAATTTATTAAGCTTTGGCAAGAGCAGCAAAACAACAACAAAACAGTCCCAGACCACACTGGGTCGACACAGGCCCCTCAATTACGCTGCGCATTCATATTAAACAATATCACTAAGATTTAGTTGTAAGTCGGCTGATAGTGTATTTCGGTTTTGAGAGGATATAATGCAAGTGAGACATCATTAATGCCTTTCTTTATTAAGCGTTAGCGACCTGCAGTACATAAGACGAGGTAATTCCTTCTCAGACTTTTATGTCCTCTGCTAATTTACACAAGCTGTGCCCTAACAATTATCCGACCGCGTTTCAATACAGCGAAATCTCAACATATTAACGATAGACGCATAACCTGGGCCGAGACAATCAATTACACAATGGGGAAGAAAACGTTCGTGCCATCAGCGATGTAACAAAAAAACATAATACATTTTTGAAGAAACCTGTTAAATTAACTATTCCAGAGTTTGTTACACTTTCCGCTTTATAATTCAATTAACTCTTACCCGTTCATTTTATGTGCTACAGTATTTAACGTATTACATAAGTGATATGGAATTTGCGAAACAAAGGAGATTAAGTTTCCTATTATACCAGAACAGAATAGTTTAGTGTATGTGTTATCCAGTCCATGTGTAGATAATATGCGCAATAGCCTGTTCTCCGTTGAAATGAATTCTTCATTGGGTATATTTGGATTATATGTTGCAAGGAACAAACTACAGTTTCATAATGAACACTTGCCTTAGTTCAGTCGTGAATACCATCCCCCCCACCCCCATCCTATCTCACTCCTCGCCACGATATCAGTTCAATAGATCAATACAATGGAATTATCATCACCTGTGCCAGAGTGGATTACACCAATAAAGCGCACATTGGCCGACTATAAAGCACAGCCAATGTATGTTGTTCACTTAAAGCACAGAGCTGCAAGCCGCTCGGCTCAGTCTCTCAGAGCGAGGGTGTTATTCAGGGTAAGTGTACAACGTTCAAGTGTTATATCACATGGGCGATATCAGTATCTCATGACTATATGTTTAATGAAGAATAATGTACAGGGTGCTTCAGATGTCTTGTGATCCCTAATTAATTGACCCCCTAACATGTTTTTTTTCTGATTTAAAGCTTTCGTGACTGCAGGGATTCATATTCTTGGTTCTTTCGGTGAAGTCACGTAGAAGGGAAACAATAAAATAATAAAAATATAAAACCATACAATTCTCAAGACGTTTCGACTGCAACACAAGCAATCATCATCAGGTGTTGTGGTTTTCACACCTGATGATGGTTGCTTGTGTTGCAGTCGAAACGTCTTGAGAATTGTATGGTTTTATATTTTTATTATTTACACAACAATAAAATTCTCACGACGTTTCGACTGCAACACAAGCAATCATCATCAGGTGTTGTGGTTTTCACACCTGATGATGGTTGCTTGTGTTGCAGTCGAAACGTCGTGAGAATTTTATTGTTGTATATTTTTATTATTTTGTTTCCCTTCTACGTGACTTTACCGAATGAACCAAGAATGTTTTTTTCCTTTGCGCATTTATTTCTGTTTTAATGCAACCTTATTTGAAATTTTTTTAAGTTTTAGATAATTAAATGGGGGTCAGGAGACATCTGGACCTCCCTGTACAATAGTAAAATCTGCTACTGCCTGACGAAGGCCTCTTCCAAGCTTTGTCCGGTCATGGGAGTTGTTTGGATATACGGAAAGTCTTGTCCTTGCTGGTCAATGGAGGTTGGTGTGGTTGTTGGGTTTGCACCCAAAATCGGGTTCGGATATTAGCTCTCCAGAAATCGAACTCAGGCAGCACAGGTACATGGCGAAGTATGCAAACCACCCCAAGATGTATTCTCCATTATTTAGTGATTATGCAGATCTATGTATAACATTTCTGTTGTCTGCAGCTTTATTTGTGAACTGGCTCAAGATTAAATGGCTCATTTGTCCATCACGGGTTCCCAGAAACCATCGGCACAGGACTTGGATTACGGTCCCGAGCATGGACGACAACTCTCGTTCATCGCTGGAAAGCAGCCTGCCGGAACATCTGGGAGTTCACTTTCACGTGGCTTTAATACCTGGCGATGCAGCGGGTGGGGAGAACGGTACGTCGCCTCCTCTGTGCCTGTGGGCCCTGGCTCGCGAGCACCACGAGAAAATCGAGAGCGTGCAGAATGGCTGGCAGCCTCGCCTGCAAGTTGAACCCACGCGTGACGTTCACGCCGTGACAAGTCGAGATCCAGCTGAATGCGAAAAAAATAACAACCGAGATTCTCGGGGGTTCCCAATTCTTGCCTTCGAGCAGTTGGACGAGGATCGGTCTCCAGCCGCGTGCGGAATGGACTTGAGCGAGGAAACGAGACGTAACCTTGCCGTCGAAGACCTCTCGCCAACTGCCGTCGAATGGATGGATGCAACGCGAACGGCCTGCGAACCGTACGGCCAAGAGGAGTCCGCAACGGACGCCGTTTTAAGTGCTGGCATTGGGCCAAAGGCGAAGCTTGCGAACCGACCTTCCATGTTCGGGGCTGTGCTATGCAATAATGTGTCGCCGAGAGCCAGCAAGTGCAGTCCGTGGCGTGTAAAGTTTTGGTCGTTTGCATACGAGCGGCAAGCGAAGCGGGTGATGAGCACCGGTTGGATATCTTGTCTGAACAATGGCAAGGGCCCAATGCAGAACCTTTTCGTATGAATATAGACATCGGGCACCTGGGCATACCTGTCAACCCATAGTTTGCCCGTGTTCTTGTACAGGGAAATTGAGTGTGCAGGTCCATACGGCGGACATCTGTTTTCAATACGGGCTTTGTAGGATGAACGTTGAGATTTTTAAGGGCACGGGGTGACCAATAAGGTCTGAATTGGTCTAAGGGAGGCACTGACAGGTATGCACCTGCTGCCATCTTTTAGTTGCGTATTTAACATTGACGCATGGATTCCCTACTGACCGATAAGACTGGAATTATAAATTTGACTTGTGTTCTCATTGCCTTTCCGCAAGTTTTTTTTTAATGTAAGTGAAGCCGACTTTTTTTTTTTGGGGGGGGGGGGGGGGGCTCGGTCAACAAAACCAATTTAAACCAAATGTACGGTAGTGATTTACCCGGCGTGTTACACGAATGCACAGCGCGCAAGACTCTAAAAAGCAGCCACACACTTTCTTTTTGGAAGAAATTGTCATGTTCTTCTAATGCATTTAAAACGCCGGCCACAGTGCTGTGTAATGAAATGACAAAATACACACGAGGAAGCAATACACAGTGTTTATTTTGCAGGTACAGGACTATTACACCAACACGGGGTGACATTCTAAAGGTATTGAATGACTTTGTTTGAAGAACACTATCGAAGCACATTGTTTTGCGGTGAGCAGTGAAATTCCCTTTTTAAAACAATTCAATCCGCAGAACATTCTTGCCATTTGCGCAAAGCATAGTAGGCAAACAAACCGGACAATTTCTTCAACCTTAGAATCAAAACTAGAATTAAAATATCCCTTATTTCTATGTATAGCTTTGTTCACCGGTAACATTTAGCACAACAGTTGTCAATAAACTAAAGTAAACATTACGTATTACAATATTACGTTACTGTATCAGGTTAAAACAATGAAAAACAATTGTATCTAAACATGGCACAAACAAAATTAAGACAAAAAAATCATTTTTTTTTATCCCACTTCCAAACCACCTTCATGTTCACAGTTACATTCCTTTTTAAAATTACAAACACCAAATAGGTGTTTTAAGTTAACGCCCTTTTCTATTAATCAACACTTCATTTGCTACAGCATAGCTGTGGGCCATTTCAATGATTGAGCCAATTGTGGCCCAATCCACAGGCCGAGTGGTCAAATGTAAAAGCATAGCAAGACATGGGGCCTACTGTAATTGGTATCAGTAGTACCATTGTATGACCAAAGTAGGCCAAATAAGCCATAGCTTATCTTGTCCAACTCTTACAACGGCTCCTGATCCATGCAGTAATTTAAATATACATTTTTCTGTTGCACAACACGGTGGTTATTCTATTTGGGAGTTAGCCATCTGTGTGTGTGGATCCCAAATGAATGGCAGTGTATATATATTTAGCTCCACTGTATTTTCTGGTTGTCACATTGTTTTGCAGAAATTAAATTGTGCAGAAGCACGCGGTAGACTGAGAACACACAGGAGAGCTATACAGCAAAGCCGTGAAAAAACCGCAGCAGTAGTGGCGTATGTGTTGGTTTCTGGGTTGTCGACCAGACTGGCACCAATCCACTTTTTATTTTTTTTGCCCAGGCATAACGGCTCAAGGCATGCAATGGAATAGTGGTAAAGTGGCAGGTTTGCTTACTTTGTATAACTGCGTGACAAAAGTTTGATTATATTTTAGGCACTAATTTTTCCCTTCATTTACAACCTTGCTCCTGTATTGAGAAGATTGAAAAACAAAAATGCTCAACATTTTCCTGCATTTGGCTCCAATAGCTTCATTCATATTTTAAAACATGCATAATTTTTTCTGGACCCCTACTCGTTCAAGTTTTGACCATTTTAAAAACTTCACCTCGTGGGCTTTAACATTTTAACTCAATGTATTGAATAAAAGCAATGGATAAAACATCAACATTTGCATGTGTCGATGTCAATACCTTAGAATGTTACCAGCTGCTCCCAATGAGCTACAGCACACACAGAATTTCAAAATAACCTACCCAATGTTCATTGGTCCTTTACAGCTAATGATTAATAGCTAGCATGCTTGGGGCATGGTGACGGGGGAGGGCAGATGGGGCATTTTATTTTAGTCTTTAGAATTTCTTATAAACTTATTTGCTAACTGGGTTAAAGCACAGAGACGGAGGCCTCTAACTAATGGCCGGCAAAGACGACCGACCGTTTTCAGGTTTTCCTCGCATTCATTTTTTTGTAGTGGTCACTCGGCTCTCGAGCTGAAACAGTGGTCAAGACTCCTACAGTTGGTCAAAGGTAATGGGGGGGGGGGGACTGGCATTACAGAAAGGTGAGGTTGTTTCTTTCCCCCTCTGCCACTGTAAAGGCCTCCAATCCAAGATGAAGGAGAGTCGGTTCAAAATTCTGTGGGGGGGGGGGGGGGGGGGGGGAGAACAAAATTACTTAGCGAGAGCGGCTTAAATTGTCCACTCGCACAATTTGAACGGCAATGCAACGTGAAAAATCCCATGCAAGCATGTGCAGGAATTGCGAACAATTGCAGAAGATAAAACACCCATAATAACATACTTTGTACAGTAGTATAAATGAGTGCACCATAGTCGATCGGCAGGATGCACGTGGTGGAGTAAAGTGCGGGTACTCCCACCTCTTCAACAGACATCCGGCTAACGATGGAAGAGCTGGCCAATTATCCTCTTCAGGGACTCGCGAGAGCTCCCTCTAGTGAAGGCTCCTCAGCCAGAAGAGGCATTGACAGCAAGTCATTTGCACAGCCCGATCTTGACTTTTTCATACGGACATTTATGCACACTTGCAAAGACAGCGGCAGCCTTGCCAGTGGCGTGGTTGGCAAGGGCATGGAAGCAATTCTCTCCCTCCCCCCTCCCCTCTTCGAGGACCGGCATTTAAGAGCCCCGACAGCCCGTGGGACCTCCATGCAGTTGCACATCACCCACACACTCTATAGCTACGCCCGCTGAAGCCATGCTCTGCGAGTTAACCCTTTCCAGTTCCGATGACTTGCGTGTACATCATCAAAAACTGAAATAAAATAACTTTATCGGTACCGATCCTCGCACAAGGCCATGCAGGAGGGCGCGTGGCACGATTTTGTGCCAGCGATCAAGAGTGCGGCCATGTCGCTACAGTTCTGAGGCGAGCACAATGTCTTGAAAAACAACGGCGCTCACGCCTCTCTAAATTAAATTAACGTCGAGCCGCTTGCGCGTTCCGAGATTCGGCGGTGAACGGGACCCCCCCCCCCGCCCCCACACCCTGCAACATGCAGACGTCTCGAAACGGCAAACCGGTCCAAGTGCCGTACTCGGCACTTGGCGAGAGGGGTGTGCGTTTTACCGGCTCCCTCTATTCCTTGCCACCCTCCTTGGCGTGCTCCGATTCCTGGTGCACGACCAGCTTGGTCATGGTGGTCTCCGTCTGCTCCTTGGCCTCCTTCAGGGCTTTGGACAGTTTCTGCACGGCAAGAGGATGCCACGTAACATTTGTGCGTTTGCGTGTCCGTTCACACAACAGCCAAATCGTCGTCATCACTTTATATATATACTGCTCCTCCCATCAAATACATCTTGAGGCGCCCAGCCGCCGGGAGAACCCCCGGTTGCAGATGTCCCGATGAATGCTGCGACGGTCCCCCCAAGTGGGCATTAGTTTGCCCACTTGGGGGTAATGTTGCTAAGTGTCTTGCCAATTAAGTAATTTGTAAGTAATTGATCACATTTGGCAACATTTGGTAGTTAACCAGGTTACAACGGGAGGTAGGGAAGGAACATTGTAGTGGTTTGGGCTTACAAGCCAGTGGTCTGGAGGCAGGGTTGGTGGACCACGTGGAGATCGAATCCGTGCAATAGAATTGTGTTCCAATAAACAATAAACGTGATTCACGGGCGTCAGAGGTGCCTCTTTCACTTCTCGAAAGGTTGTGCTGAAATTAACATTGCCCCTTTCTCTAACCTCGCAAAAAAACTCTGAAATGCCAAATATGGCACAGCGGAGATATTTCCAGATTGCCAGTGTTAACAAATTATTTTGGTCGGTCATTGTTACTGAACACGTTTCGTAACATTTTACCGCAACAAGGCAGACCGATAAGGCTTCTGTTATGTGAGAGACAAACGCGCCCGCACACTGTCACATTAAGCTCATTCACTTATTTTCTGCAGCTTCAAAAAGTGAATGTTATTGTGAGCAAAACGTGCCGACAGTGAAAGCTTACCAATTACACAGGACCCTGACCTTTACCTTTAAGATATGAAAGTGATCTGTTGGAAGAAGGCCAAGCTTCATTGCCAGTGCTTTAGTTTATATTGACAAAGGAGTTAAATACTTTCCTAAAGGTGCAGTGATTAATGTGTGCAAGTGAACACTCAGTTAATCATTGTTCACTTCTCTATGGTTCACAGATATTTTCCTCCATGTGATTTCTTCATATTTTTTTAAATAAAAAAAATCATGCCAAGTTTGGCCACTTGCGTATATTATCAGCACATGTTTTGTTTGCATGTTCACCACAAATACGTGTGGTTAATGCAGACTTGATTCCTTGCAAAATGAATCTATTTGATGCTTGAACATTTAAATACACCTGTTTCATTGCCAGAAGGGGTAATATCTATTGTTATTTTTCATACTTTTGATACTGACAAAAAAAAGGTCCCATGATAATCTCATCGCTCTTGTCCACTGGATAAATTAATCTTAAACTTTGGAAATAAATAGCCGCCAGCGAGGTATTGGTGATGCCGTAGTTATGAGCCCAGCGATCTAAGTTTGATTCCAGCGACCTAAGTTAAGTATGGTCCATCCCTCGTTATATGGGCAACTCAATATGTAACGAAATTTCGTGAAGCATAACTTATAAATTACGGAACCAATTCTCGATACACGTTACACTAAAAGGACTGTAAATTATTTATATACAATTAAGAAAGCTTTTGCGAACGGTTGCATGAGAGACAATTGTACACATATATTCGTGAAGTTACTAAACATTTCAGTTGTCGATCAATCACAAAACTCAAGTATGCTACGTAGGCTGTGCATGCGCTGTTTTGTAATCCAAAGAGGCGCCCAATTAATCATACTGCCTGCGTCTAACACCCGTGCATTAGAGGGATGATGTGTTATGGAATAAACAAAAAATATCACTCTTTGCAGTGACACGGTATTATGAGAGTAAAATCATTAGGAGATTGACATCAAAAATCCATACTGAAGAGGGCTGACCATGCAATTAATGTAATTAATACGAGGAGCTACAATTGCATATCGATTGCACATTCGTTTCCCCTTCAAAAAGTTCATTACCACAATTCATTACGCTACCTCTTTGTCAGTTACTGATAAACTTCACAATGGCCACTAACTTGTACCAAAGTGCAAATGTATTGGTGGTAAAGGGACCACTGTAACGAAAAACACAATCATTTCGATTTGCAGGGTGGGCAAAGCTAGAGTAGCTTTCATTTCTCTGAAATTCCACTTCAAACTTACATTACTGCTTAAAATCAACACTGGGCACTTGTTTTTTTAGTTTCTTAACACTTTTTAAAGTTTTTTTTTATTGATCAGGTAAGGCCCACTAGCCACAAATGATATCTCAACAAAGTGGCTTATGACGTGGAAATTTACAGCAGCCAAATACTCTAAAGGCACGTTGATTCTAAATGTGGAGGGAAAAACCGGAGGACCCGCAGAAAAATCCACGCGACCATTGGGAGAACATGCAAACTCCAAATATACAGGCGTCAGGGTAGGGATTGAGAACCTATGACCTCCTGTATACAATGCGAGGTAGTTAACATCTTGCCACTGTGGTGTGTTTCCGTGTGAATGGGATTTGTATGTATGTATGTAGAACATCTTTCACACCATACGTAGCCAACTATGCTAATCAGGTGCGGGATGCTAATTGGAGGTGTGGGAGCTACAATTGTATGATAGTGCGTCAAGGGAATGTATGTGTAGTTGAAGACCGATGTTTTCATAACAGAATGCGGAGCTAAAATAACACGAAAGTTGTCATTTCGTCTTCCGTGGACGGTTAAATCGCTACTTACCCGAGAAAATTGAATGATTTTATAAATAATGATAAAGGAAATGAAGCTTGCGGTTTTACAAACACACGGTTTTGTGAACAGATGTGAACAGACCCATTTACTCCGAATAAATCTGAATAAAATTTCCATCAATTTAACAATATTGGTTCCGATGACTTGCACCATGGGCCCACACAACCGTGTCGAATCGACGCGGCTCAAAGCAAAGCGTGAGTCTCGCGGAGCCCGCGGACGCGTCTGCAAATCGCGCAAAGAATGCGGAAAAATAGCGCCAAGTTGATGGACCAACCTCGTCGTAGTCCTGGTCGCTGTCTCCCGTGATGACGATCCGCTTCTCAATCCGTGTCTCGGTGACGCCTGCCTTAACCGTCTTGACCGAGTGTCGGTGCAACGAAAATGACGGAAAGGCGGCGTTATTGACGCACCGTTCAGGAAAGGTAAAACGGCAATCGGCAGCTTTACAGCATATAACCAGCGACACATTTGTTTACGTGTGCGCTAATATGTCGTAGTGTTATCTCACTCTGTCCCTCCTCCATGTACCCAATCCTGTTTTTTGTCCTTTCCCCTCCTTGCACCCCTCTACTGAAATAAACTTCCCCTAGACTCAGCACTGCCCATAGACTCAGCACTGCCCACAGACTCAGCACTGCCCATAGACTCAGCACTGCCCACAGACTCAGCACTGCCCATAGACTCAGCACTGCCCATAGACTCAGCACTGCCCACAGACTCAGCACTGCCCATAGACTCAGCACTGCCCATAGACTCAGCACTGCCCATAGACTCAGCACTGCCCATAGACTCAGCACTGCCCACAGACTCAACACTGCCCACAGACTCAGCACTGCCCACAGACTCAGCACTGCCCACAGACTCAGAACTGCCCATAGACTCAGCACTGCCCATAGACTCAGCACTGCCCACAGACTCAACACTACCTACAGACTCAACACTGCCCATAGACTCAAGACTGCCCACAGACTCAACACTGCCCATAGACTCAGCACTGCCCACAGACTCAACACTGCACCATAGACTCAACACTGCCCACAGACTCAACACTGCCCATAGACTCAGCACTGCCCATAGACTCAGCACTGCCCATAGACTCAGCACTGCCCATAGACTCAACACTGCCCACAGACTCAACACTGCCCATAGACACAGCACTGCCCATAGACTCAGCACTGCCCATAGACTCAGCACTGCCCATAGACTCAACACTGCCCATAGACTCAGCACTGCCCACAGACTCAGCACTGCCCACAGACTCAGCACTGCCCACAGACTCAGCACTGCCCACAGACTCAGCACTGCCCATAGACTCAGCACTGCCCATAGACTCAGCACTGCCCATAGACTCAGCACTGCCCACAGACTCAACAATGCCCACAGACTCAGCACTGCCCACAGACTCAACACTGCCCATAGACTCAGCACTGCCCATAGACTCAGCACTGCCCACAGACTCAACACTGCCCACATACTCAACACTGCCCATAGACTCAACACTGCCCACAGACTCAACACTACCCATAGACTCAGCACTGCCCATAGACTCAGCACTGCCCATAGACTCAACACTGCCCATAGACTCAGCACTGCCCACAGACTCAGCACTGCCCACAGACTCAGCACTGCCCACAGACTCAGCACTGCCCACAGACTCAACACTGCCCACAGACTCAGCACTGCCCATAGACTCAGCACTGCCCATAGACTCAGCACTGCCCATAGACTCAACACTGCCCATAGACTCAGCACTGCCCACAGATTCAGCCCTGCCCACAGACTCAGCACTGCCCACAGACTCAGCACTGCCCACAGACTCAGCACTGCCCATAGACTCAGCACTGCCCATAGACTCAGCACTGCCCACAGACTCAGCACTGCCCATAGACTCAACACTGCACCATAGACTCAACACTGCACCATAGACTCAACACTACACCATAGACTCAGCACTGCCCATAGACTCAACACTACCCACAGACTCAACACTACCCACAGACTCAGCACTGCCCATAGACTCAACACTGCCCATAGACTCAGCACTGCCCACAGACTCAACACTACCCACAGACTCAGCACTGCCCATAGACTCAGCACTGCCCATAGACTCAACACTGCACCATAGACTCAACACTGCCCATAGACTCAACACTGCACATTGACTCAACACTGCACCATAGACTCAACACTACACCATAGACTCAGCACTGCCCATAGACTTAACACTACCCACAGACTCAGCACTGCCCATAGACTCAATACTGCCCATAGACTCAGCACTGCCCATAGACTCAACACTGCACCATAGACTCAAAACTGCACCATAGACTCAAAACTGCACCATAGACTCAGCACTGCCCATAGACTCAACACTACCCACAGACTCAACACTGCCCATAGACTCAACACTACCTACAGACTCAGCACTGCCCATAGACTCAACACTGCCCATAGACTCAGCACTGCCCATAGACTCAGCACTGCCCACAGACTCAACACTGCCCACAGACTCAGCACTGCCCACAGACTCAGCACTGCCCACAGACTCAACACTACCCACAGACTCAACACTGCCCATAGACTCAACACTGCCCACAGACTCAACACTGCCCATAGACTCAGCACTGCCCATAGACTCAGCACTGCCCATAGACTCAACACTGCCCACAGACTCAACACTGCCCATAGACTCAGCACTGCCCATAGACTCAGCACTGCCCATAGACTCAGCACTGCCCATAGACTCAACACTGCCCATAGACTCAGCACTGCCCACAGACTCAGCACTGCCCACAAACTCAGCACTGCCCACAGACTCAGCACTGCCCATAGACTCAGCACTGCCCATAGACTCAGCACTGCCCATAGACTCAGCACTGCCCATAGACTCAGCACTGCCTATAGACTCAGCACTGCCCATAAACTCAGCACTGCCCACAGACTCAACACTGCCCACAGACTCAGCACTGCCCACAGACTCAGCACTGCCCACAGACTCAGCACTGCCCACAGACTCAGCACTGCCCACAGACTCAGCACTGCCCATAGACTCAACACTGCCCATAGACTCAACACTGCACCATAGACTCAACACTGCACCATAGACTCAACACTACACCATAGACTCAGCACTGCCCATAGACTCAACACTACCCATAGACTCAACAATACCCACAGACTCAACACTGCTCATAGACTCAGCACTGCCCACAGACTCAACACTGCCCATAGACTAGGCACTGCCCATAGACTCAACACTGCCCACAGACTCAGCACTGCCCACAGACTCAGCACTGCCCATAGACTCAGCACTGCCCAGAGACTCAGCACTGCCCAAAGACTCAGCACTGCTTACAGACTCAGCACTGCCCACAGACTCAGCACTGCCCATAGACTCAACACTGCACCATAGACTCAACACTGCACCATAGACTCAACACTACACCATAGACTCAGCACTGCCCATAGACTCAACACTACCCACAGACTCAACACTACCCACAGACTCAGCACTGCCCATAGACTCAACACTGCCCATAGACTCAGCACTGCCCACAGACTCAACACTACCCACAGACTCAGCACTGCCCATAGACTCAGCACTGCCCATAGACTCAACACTGCACCATAGACTCAACACTGCCCATAGACTCAACACTGCACCATAGACTCAACACTGCACCATAGACTCAACACTACACCATAGATTCAGCACTGCCCATAGACTCAACACTACCCACAGACTCAGCACTGCCCATAGACTCAACACTGCCCATAGACTCAGCACTGCCCATAGACTCAACACTGCACCATAGACTCAAAACTGCACCATAGACTCAACACTACACCATAGACTCAGCACTGCCCATAGACTCAACACTACCCACAGACTCAACACTGCCCATAGACTCAACACTACCTACAGACTCAGCACTGCCCATAGACTCAACACTGCCCATAGACTCAGCACTGCCCACAGACTCAGCACTGCCCAAAGACTCAACACTGCTTACAGACTCAGCACTGCCCACAGACTCAGCACTGCCCATAGACTCAACACTGCACCATAGACTCAACACTGCACCATAGACTCAACACTACACCATAGACTCAGCACTGCCCATAGACTCAACACTGCCCACAGACTCAACACTGCCCATAGACACAGCACTGCCCATAGACTCAGCACTGCCCATAGACTCAGCACTGCCCATAGACTCAACACTGCCCACAGACTCAGCACTGCCCACAGACTCAGCACTGCCCACAGACTCAGCACTGCCCACAGACTCAGCACTGCCCATAGACTCAGCACTGCCCATAGACTCAGCACTGCCCATAGACTCAGCACTGCCCATAGACTCAGCACTGCCCATAGACTCAGCACTGCCCACAGACTCAACACTGCCCACAGACTCAGCACTGCCCACAGACTCAACACTGCCCATAGACTCAACACTGCCCATAGACTCAACACTGCCCATAGACTCAGCACTGCCCATAGACTCAGCACTGCCCACAGACTCAACACTGCCCACATACTCAACACTGCCCATAGACTCAACACTGCCCACAGACTCAACACTGCCCATAGACTCAGCACTGCCCACAGACTCAACACTGCACCATAGACTCAACACTGCCCACAGACTCAACACTGCCCACAGACTCAGCACTGCCCATAGACTCAGCACTGCCCATAGACTCAGCACTGCCCATAGACTCAACACTGCCCACAGACTCAACACTGCCCATAGACTCAGCACTGCCCATAGACTCAGCATTGCCCATAGACTCAGCACTGCCCAGACTCAACACTGCCCATAGACTCAGCACTGCCCACAGACTCAGCACTGCCCACAGACTCAGCACTGCCCACAGACTCAGCACTGCCCATAGACTCAGCATTGCCCATAGACTCAGCACTGCCCATAGACTCAGCACTGCCCATAGACTCAGCACTGCCTATAGACTCAGCACTGCCCATAAACTCAGCACTGCCCACAGACTCAACACTGCCCACAGACTCAGCACTGCCCACAGACTCAGCACTGCCCACAGACTCAGCACTGCCCACAGACTCAGCACTGCCCATAGACTCAGCACTGCCCACAGACTCAGCACTGCCCACAGACTCAGCACTGCCCATAGACTCAGCACTGCCCACAGACTCAGCACTGCCCATAGACTCAGCACTGCCCATAGACTCAGCACTGCCCATACTCAACACTGCACCATAGACTCAACACTGCCCATAGACTCAACACTGCACCATAGACTCAACACTGCACCATAGACTCAACACTACACCATAGACTCAGCACTGCCCATAGACTCAACACTACCCACAGACTCAACACTACCCACAGACTCAGCACTGCCCACAGACTCAGAACTGCCCACAGACTCAACACTGCCCACAGACTCAGCACTGCCCATAGACTCAACACTGCCCATAGACTCAGCACTGCCCATAGACTCAGCACTGCCCATAGACTCAACACTTCCCTGTATATTAAGCAGCCCCCCTCCTTAACCTCCTGTCATTCCTCTATTAAAGCTTCACCTCTTCTCTACTGCCCATTCTCTTCATCTTCCCACCCCTCATCACTCCACTCCTTCCCATCCCTACTCTACTCCTTCATGACCCCTAAGTACCCCTCTATCGCGGTCGCTCATTCGTCAAACCGTCATGTAAATCATATAATAATTATGAAAATCATATAAATTATTCCACGTTGTCACCCTTTTTCTTCAAACTATGTCAAGCGCCTTGAGTGAAGGCACTCTAAAAATACAAAGTAAGTTAATTTATTTGAAATGTTCATTCACTGCGCAACATTTTACCGGTGGCCACGTGAGGGTTTAACGATGGCAAACCATTTCAATTTGTGTATCGTCTAAATGTCATCGCACCTTTTTTTAAGCACTTTACGAACGTGAAAAGAACAAACAGTGTGAACATCAAAGGGGGGCACAATCAGGGCAGAACTTTATTCATCATCGAACTGTGCCCAAACTAAACTAAACTATTTTTCATTTTACCAGGTAAGGCCCACCGAGCTATACAGCTCTTTTTCAGAAGCGACCTATCACAAGTGACAAGCCCAACGAAGGGGCTTATCGTGTGGAAATTAACATCAAAAATTTATAGCAGCACGTAACACAGTTGCCTCGCGGACAAAAAACAAACAAACCCACAAGGCCACGCGATCGAGAATCTGACACCACATTGGTCGAGTCGCAAGCGTCCGCTCGTCACCTTGGTGATGTGGGTGGTGGTGGTGGTGCTGCTGGTGCTGCTGCTGCTGGCCATGGCCTCCGTGGCGGTGCCATGCACGGTGCTCAGCAGCGGGCCCCCCAGCTCCACGTGTTTGGCGCCGTCCGACTGGTGGCCATGCGGGCGAGAGAGTTACACAGGCCGGGGTTTTGACCGGCGGTGGCAGACATTGTGGAAGAGAGAGAGAGAGGTGGAGAGATCAAGACGCAAGACGTTGCCTGCGATTGGGGCATTCTGCTCGGCTCGTGAGCGAGTCTCTGAGAGGGCTGCCGGCTTTTCTCGCACTGCTCCACCTTGAAAATTCTCTCCCATGGTCTAATTACCCAAAGTTCTAATAACCTTGCTCAAATCAAGAAATGCATTAGCTCTCACCCATTTCACCCTCAATGTATTTTAAACTTCTTTCACACCATACGTCCAACTATGATAATCGCAAGTGTGGGTGAAGGACAACAAACTAAAACCTCTCACAGTGCTGCTTGTTGTCGGCACTTTTGACCTCTGGGCCTGTGCTCAGCATCTAAGCAGATGCCTGTGATTAAATGGGTTCTCAAGTGCAGTGAATTAATGGTCTCAGCATGGTGACTAATGACAGCGTGATAAAAATCATAACAATAAAATTTTGTTCGGCAGTTAATTTTACTAAATTCCAGTTCTAAGAAATGTAATATATCAGTTTGGACTATTTGGCGATTAATGTTGCTCTAAGTATCAGAATAATTGGGAACATTTCTGGTCCCATATTGAGTGGGCCAGAGGTCACTTGAAGGGATTTTGGAGGTAGCTCTGTAATATGCACTCTCGAACATGAATGTTTCCACTGCTCTACGAGACATCCGACTGGGTTCTTAGTATCGTAACGTGCCACACCTATAGCGATAGCACAATCAATATATAATTGGGGGAATGGATTTAAGCGTTTTTTTCAAGTAAAAAAATCTACGTGCAAATACAGCTACAAAAATATTCCCCGCCAGCGACTCAAAATTCCCTTGTGGTTGTTTAATGCCGTGGGGCACTGACACAATGAATGACTCGCTGCAATCCTTGCACGAATGACGAGATTGCCTATTCACTCTGCGCATGCGACAATGATTTATATGGCTATGGCTTCGGAGAGTTGAAAAATCAAATTTTCCCAAGAGCAGTGCAGGTTTATTCAACCCGCTATCCTTCGACATTCCATCCAGCACAGGGTGGGCTCTCCGTGTGCACGGAACCACTCCGATTTGATTTTCGTCCCACATGCGTGCGACGAAAGTAACTGATAACAATTCTAGATTTGATAACAGCCACGGAAAGAGCCACAACTTTGGAATCTGGGGTCGTGCTGCTCATGAATTCTTCCCCCAGTGGTTATTCGTTAGATCACAGATAGGCTCTGAGAAAATTCACCGCACTTCATTGCGGATAAGAGAAGACACACTGAACTCTTGATCTGAAGCTTTCGTGACTGCAGGAATCCATACACTTTGGCTCTTTCGGTAAAGTCACGTAATGTAGAAAAATAAAATTAAATTAAAAATAATATATCACGATGTTTCGATCGCAACGCAAGCGGTCGTCCTCAGGCGGAAAAAATAATCCAGCAGTGGAGAACTGGTGAACCAGGAAGAAACACAGCGAGAGAGCTGTTAAAACAAGAAGTTATTTATGTGGCGAAGGGCAAGCAGGCGGGGTCCGAGCTGGAAAGGAATTCCATCCCCGCACGCAAGCACGTCAGTTGTGTTAATGGGGGAGATTAGGGAGAGAGAGATTAGGGAGAGAGATTGGCATGAAATGAGCTTCCGTCGCCGCATAAGAGTATCGTTCCCCGCATGTGCGCACAACAGCAGTGTTAATGGGAGATTAGCAATATGTTGATGGAAGAGATTAGGCAGAGAGATTAGGGGGATTAGTAAGTTAATGTCACGTCTATGTGTAACACAAGCTGCGGCACTGCCAACTGCGCTGTGAGAGGCAAGCGCGTCCATGCAGGAGAACCACCGCAACGGTGGTCGCGCCAGTGAGACACACAGCCCATCACACAGCCAGAACCATCGATACATGGAGACTAAGGGAACAGAGGTGGCCATGTTAGTGAGACCCCAACCCGTTAATGCAGAGGCACCTAACAGGGCAATGCAACTCAGAGAGTCGGAGATAACAGCCAAACGGCAGGGAAGAATGGAAGCACCACAGCAAGTTACGACTTTGCTTGGTTAATAACGTCCTCCCAATGATTGCTCAGCTCATACCCATCTTCTCGGTTGAAATTGTCTCTGTATTTATATATCTTCCCATTCAAGTCTCTGCACTACTCGCAGCTGACCAGAGAGGCTTTGCGAATCCAAATGGTATTCCCACTCTAGTGTCAGAGCCAACTATAATGTGGAACACCTTCAACAGTGACGCTCGTTGCAGGCCCCTTTACCTTTGATCCTGCGCTCGGCAAAAACCGTGATTTAAACAAAGAAAAAAAAGTCTGCACCCACGCACGTACGCCACGCCACTGGCGACCCGTGTCCTGCGGCACACGCACCTGCACGGTCTGGTAGCTGATGGTCTTCGTCTCCGTGTGCACGAGGGGCACCTCCTTGGTGGAGATTTCCGTCACGTCAGCCCTCACCACCTCGCTGAAGCTCACGCTCTCCGTCTTCACAACGGGAGGCTGCGGATCGCACGCAAGTCGAGCACGTTTTGTTCACGACACGGACAGCGCTCACCCCCCCCCACCCCCCCCCCCCCCCCCCCCCCCGTTGCTGCAATGATTGTGAATGTTTAAAAAAATATGTTTGTGTTATTTAGCCCCGCAATCGCTTGCTCATACCACTGTTGGTGGAAGGGCCTAACTAATTATTAGAGGGAACTCCAGAGAGCTCCCCTCGAGGGTTATTGGGCCTGCTGTTTTCACGCTGGCCAGACATCTTTGAAGAGGTCGTAAGAGCCACACTTCATCCCACCACTTGCCAACTGGCGATCAACTAACTGTGGTGAACCCATTTACACTGCCGGGTGGACAGAAGCGGGGTGGAGGAGGGGAGATTTAAGAAACTATAAACTATTTGGTTCTTTCGGTAAAGTCACGTAGAAAGAGAGTAAATTAAATAATAGAGTACGGCGTTTCGATTGCAACACAAGCAACCGTCATCAGGTCGAACTAAATTTGAGAGAGAGACAAAACACAGACACGGAGACACACAGACAGACACAAAGAGAGAGACACACAACATAGACATGTGTGTCTTTGTGTGTGTGTCTATGTGTGTCTATGTTGTGTGTCTCTCTGTGTGTGTGTGTTGTCTCTTTCTGCTTGGGTGTCTGTCTGTGTGTCTCCGTGTCTGTGTTTTGTCTCTCTCTCAAATTTAGTGCTACCTGATGACGATTGCTTGTGTTGCAATCGAAACGTCGTATTCTATTATTTAATTTATTTTCTTTCTACGTGACTTTACCGAAAGAACCAGAGTAATTCCTGCAGTCACGAAAGCTTCAAATCAAGTGTAAACTATAAACTATTTAAACATTTTTTTTTATCCTACTAGGTAAGACCCACTTAGCTATACAGCTCATTTTCTAGAAATTATCTAGCCACAAATGATAGCCCAATGAAGTGGCTTATCATGTGGAAATTTATAGCAGCCAAAGACTCTAAACGAATGTTTCTAAATGTGGAGGGAAAAACCGGAGGACCCAGAGAAAAATCAACGCGACCACGGGGAGAACCCGCAAACTCCAAATATACAACAGGCGTCAGGGTTGGGATCGAACTCACGACCATCTGTATATCAGGCGAGGTGGTTAACATATCGCCACCGCGGCGTCCCTACTACCCGCGCCGCTGTTTCAACTGCCGGTCCAGTAGGGGTGATGGAGTGGTGGGGCAGTGGCTCGTGCTTTGCTCTGTGAACCCAGCGATTTTGGATTCCTTAGCCATGGCTAACGTCAGTGGGACATGGCCATCTAAACCTCTCCTCTTCACGAGCCCGCGCTTTGGTGAAACATGACTACAGCAGTCAAACAACCCCTCCACCACCAGCATGGCGTGGGGAGGCCTTCATCCAGAAAGTGGATTGACAAAGGGCCAGGAAGCAATATACACGTTTGCAAGACGGTGCGCTTTGGTGTGCGTATAAGCGTCTAACTCTTCTACATAGAACACTGTGAGCTTCGTGTAGACTGTGAAAACCACGAATCAGATATTGTGCTGACACGTGACATAACCATCAACATCAGAATCGCTATAAATACTGGAGGAATCCAATGAGCTAGAGGAAACTCGTTTTCACAGATGTCCAAGTAGGGTCAGGTCAGAAATTTGAATCAACAAATAATATAATGAGAGTAACATAGAGAAAAGTTAACCAAGTCACTTTGAATAAATATAAATAAAGAATGTGAGTACAAATTGAACAAGTACACAATTTCCTGCAGATTATTCAAGACCAAATCTAATCTTGGGCAAGACAGCAAAACAACAACAACAGTCCCAGATCACATCAAGACAATACAGTCCCTCGATTACACCCCAGTAGCCAAATTATTTTGTTCTTTCGGTAAAGTCACGTAGGTAAAAAATATATAAAGTTAATCAAATCACGACGTTTCGGAGGCAACACAAGCTTCCGTGATTTGATTAACTTTATTTTTTCTTTTATTTTTACCTACGTGACTTTACCGAAAGAACCAAAGAGTATGGATCATTGCAGTCACGAAAACTTCGAATCTAGAAGTGGCTAAATTGTTCACTGAATAACCACTGCTGACAAAATGTACAACAGCTGGTAACACCATAGAACATTTATCACAACAAGTCGAAAACATATTTTTCAGTGAACAAAGTGGGCTTGCGCAGGACACGTCGCTAAGAACGGACGATTTACTGACGGGTGACGGATAATGACAGTGGAAGCCAAGGAAAGGAACGCGCCCTAGACAGATGACGGACACGGAGGAGATGGAGGGAGTGATGAAATCAGCTCGTGTACAGTTGCTAGGTAGATTATTACATCACAGGATCAGAGGAGATGGCGACAACTTGGCGAGACCTTCATCCAGCAGTGGACCGATCATGGCTGCTAATGATGACGTTGAAACTAAAAAAAACATTTGTAAAAAAGGAAGATATGTTACGTAAAACAAAAATATATAAGACAAAGATTCCCAGTATAGCCTTAACAGATTTTTGGGCCAAGTTTGTTAACGAGCACCTATGAAGGCTGGCACGGCCTTCATAGGTGCTCGGGGGCGGGGGGCCAGCACCACGCCCGGCTGCCTTTGTCTCCCTCGCGGCGATGTTTACACACCGCAGCAGGTTTTGTTTGAGGCAGTCACCCACGGACATCCACACACACACGTACATACGCGAGCCAACACACACACGCGGGCGAACACACCCAAACACAAGCGCGTACAACATACCTCAAACTCCCCATGGTCCTCGTCGTCCGAGTCGGACATGTCTCCGTTTGTCTTTGGCTCCTCCTCCTCCTCCGACGTGTCCTTGCCATCCTTGGCGTCCCCGGCAGGGCTTTCCTCCGGGGACGAGGAGGCCGCTGCCGCCTTGGCCGCGGCGGCGGTAGCCCCGACCATCGCCGCGGCGACGGCCGCGTCTGCCGGAAGCGAGGACCTCGCCGATTCTTTTGCCGCGTTGCCGCTGCCGCCGGTGGCGGCGGCGGCGGCGGCGGCGGCAGCGGTACCGGCGGTGGCTCGTGGTGCGGGTTCTGGCCTGCCGGACGGGGACTCGCCCTTGTCGCGCGGCTCGTCGTCGTCGCCACCGCCGCCGCCGCCGCCCGCCTTGCCGACCGTGAGCGTCACGGAGGCGACGGCAATCGACGCGCCTTCCACGAGCGACTTGGAAATCTTCTTCTCCTCGACGACCATCTCCCGCACCACCCTGGCGCTGCTGCTGCTGCTGCTGCTCACGCTGCTGCTGGTGACGACCTCCGTGGCTTCCTTAACCTCAGACTTGAGCATCTGACGTCGGAGAGAGCCACGGCAAACGGTTTAGCGTGGGAGGCCGTCTCTTGCCGCACCTCCGATTAGCACAGTTGGCTATGCACGGTGCGAAAGAAGTTCAACATGCATACGTACATAGCCCGACTAAGCAATTTCTGTTTCTATCGCGTCTGTATATACAGCTGCGTCCTTCAGATGATTTACAATTACATTCATATTGAGAGGCTTGTACGTTTTATACGAGACGTTAGAAGACAAAATCTGTTTGAAAAATTATTTAGGCATCGGCTTTCGAGAACAAATACGTCTTCAGTCTAGACATGAATGGTGACAGCGTTAACTTGTCCGAAGATCAAGTGGTTTTCGCAAGCGGATTTTTAAACTGTACGAAGGCACACATCTGTATGGGGGCCAGCGAGACATTCCAGCTTCCACAATGAGGATGCCTGTGTGCAAGATTCACCGATAACGCAAGGGATGCAACGCAGCTTATAAAAATAAATGCTAAGCAGGTCCACGCTTTAGCTCGGAGCCCACAAGCGCGTGCATTTTTTTTTTACTTTTTGGAACAATGTTGGTGTTCAGTTATTTTTCTCCCATAAATCGTGCACGGAAGATGTTTTTTTTTAAACAAGTTAATAGCCATGCAAGACTGGCAAAAACACGATGAGAGAAGAAGGCAAACCACAGGGACGGCAAGGGGGCAAAGCGAATCGGCGAATTCCGAGCGCGAGTGAAGCGACCGTCGTGAATGGAGCACGACACGAGCAGGCCAACACGATGGGGGAAGGAAAGCGTTGATTTGTAAAGTAAAGACCTGAGAGAATTCAACGGTCTCAAGGAGGTCGGCAAGAGGATGTTCAGAAGGAGAGAACGTGAGATCTTCCTCGGCGGGGGATGCGTCCACCTTAGCGCCACGAACGAGCTTACTCTATTACCGGTCAGAGACACAGCACACAAGCCACAGAGATGGCTCAACTGCACGCACGCGGGGGGGGGGGGGGGGGGGGTTTACAGCGCGTTCGTGTCACCCGCAAAATCCTCAGTTGGGGCTTGGCTACGATGGGGATGGTTTCGTTTCAATTGTATGCGTTTGGGTGATTTGCATTGCCTTTCTTGTACTTGGCAGCACTGTCGTTTGTTGTTGTAACGTTCTTACCCCATCCCCCTCTCTACTGGACATGTGGAAAATAGCTTTGCACCAACATCTGATCCCTCCAGTATGAATACGTATTCTGTTTCTGAAATTGCGATAACCCGGCAGCATTATCCATCGGCGTACAGTCGGGCGGCAATGCATAAGCATCCACCCATTCCGTCCTGCAGCTTCACAATCCCAGGATTAACCACCGCCGAAATGCTGTAAACGTGCGACGCATTGATTTTTTTTCTTAGCTTTCTTGCAGCCCAGGGAACAGTGCACGTAATTCAACACAGGACTGACAGACAAATACACAATCCCCACTTGCTCGCGACACAATCCGTCAGCTCGCCCCACCCACAACCACACCACCCGTGGCCACGCTCCGGATAAGCCGCGTGCCGGCAATGCACCATACGACGTCCATTGAGCCCCATTCGGCAAGTGCAACGGTGGCTTCTGTAGCGCATCCAGGGCCGGATTAAGTTTGGGGAGAGCCCCGGGGACTGTTATAGTTATTGGTGGGGGCCCTCTTTGTCCATCCAAATCCTTACATTTATCGTTTTACAGCCAACACTTTATTTGATCGGTCAATGCGGCCGTGTGGCTTGAAGGGAAATGTCATAAACACTTGTTTATTGTACATGGAGGTACAGACATACGAAGGAGATGCACTATCTGCTTACTTGTTTTGATATTCATCAAAAGCAAAGCAATGTATGTTTTACGGCGGGCCATTTTAAAATGAGGGCGCCATGGTAGTGAGATGTTAACTACCTCGCCTGGTATACAGAGGTCGTGGGTTTGATCCCGACCCAGACGCCCGTATCTTTGGAGATTGCATATTCTCCCCGTAGCCGCGTGGATTTTTCTCCGGGTCCTCCAGTTTTTCCCTCCACATTCAGAATCAACGTCACGCGTTCAGTGTTTGACTGCAATACATTTCCACGTGATGATGAGCCACTTCGCTGAGCTACCGTTTGTGGCCAGGTCGCTTCTGAAATAGAGCCATGCAGCTTCAGCGAGCGGGGGCCTAACCTGGTCAAATAAGAAGTTTAATAATTGAATTTAGTTTAAAATCCGAGTCTCCAGGGGGCCGCAGCCTGCCCCCAACCCTGAAGCCCCCTGTCGCGTTGACAAAGACGCGGGCCGGAGCGAGCGGCGAAGCGCGGGTGTGGCAGGACCTTGAGCGGGCTGGCGAAGGCCTCCGTGTCGTGCGAGCGCGCCGTGGCGTGGGTCGTGGGCGGCGGGCGGTCTAGCGCGGCGGCTAACTCGGCCGCCGCGCTCCGCAGAGCGTCTAGGGCCGGAGGGGCGTCGCCACCGTCGCCGTCATCGTCATCGTGTGCCCGCTCTTCCACTTTACACTGAGCATTCTCTACCAGGACCCAGTCCTCCAAGCCCTGCTTGTGTCGAGCAGGTAGGTGGGCATCATGGGACAGAGGAGGAGGAAGAGAAGAAGAAGAAAACACACAAGATGCACAGGGACACGGAGCGATGAGGACACACGAGCGAGCCGGCGAGAGAGCGACGGAGAGGAGAGAGCAAGCGTGAAGCTTCCTCCGTTTTGGGAAAAAAAATTCTAATATTCATGCGTCAATATAGGTAAATTGTACGTGCACACGTGCTGCCTGCCCTTTCATCAATCCACTGCTGGATGACAGCCTCTCCCGTGCCGTGCGGGATGTCGGTGATTATTTAACTGTAGTTCACCATACTGTAGTAAATTGTCTTTGATAAATATAAAGTTGCATTTTGTTAATATTTAAGTAAATATATTTTTCTACTTTTTTATAATGCTTCCTATTTGTAGCCGCTTTTCTGGTCGAATCCAGTCGAGGCTGGGTATAGATAGTTGAGAAGTCCACCGTCTCGTTAAAGTGCCAAACGTCTTCAACGACGCACGATAACGAGCGTGCGCGAGTGTGCGAGTGTGTTCGCTTCGTTTCATGTAATGTGCGCAAAATAAGGATCTGGAGTTAAAATTTTGAACACCGAGCACAAGAAGGTGTGCAGGAAAGTGGCGGCCATGCAAAAGCACTCGGGGACATCGGGGATATACAAACGATACGTCGGTTCATCAATAAAAAATAATCACGCTCGCGATGCGCGTGTCTCCGTCTGTGCATGCCGTGCGTGCGTATTCCTGCATGCGACTCATGCTGCCACTTGAGGCGTCGCAATGCACCGCGAGAAACGATCCTTGGGTCGAATCGTGACCCCTCCAAAAGTAAAAATGATTCATCGATCATTTTTGGGGAGGGGTGAGGGGGTGCGGGGATGGGGGCCTTATATATAAGGTGCATTAAGCTGCAAGGTCTAGAAGCACCGTACGTCGTGAATCTGTGCGGCCAATCATAACCTTGTTAGCGTCATCCTGCGAATGGGGAGTCTTAAAGGAGAACACAAACTTTGTCTCCTCCGTGCGATCTTCTGGAGCGTCAGACTTCTGATTCGGATGATGCGGAAGAACAGAAGAGAGGAAACGTGGAGAAGACGTAGATGAACAGTGAATAATTCACGAGGAAGGGGGAGCACACACAGAGCACTCTGATGAAGGAAAAGAGAAGAGTGAATACAAGGCAATGGAAGCATTAAAACCGTGGAAGGTGCCTTCAAATTACAAGAATTGAGGCCTCCCCTATGATGCAGCAGCAGCAGAAAAAAAATCACAATATTTGAGATGGAAAAGGATTGTAAGCCTATTACGCTAATCTGGCGATTGCAGATGTAACGTTCCGAAACCCCCAAGCACAGAACGTCATTTTCCACGTTTCAGATACACAGAATTTAAACCCCTTTGTTCGAGTTGAAGTACAGATTATAAGCTTTAGGCTGCCCACGATTAAATGCATCTCGCCATGCTCTGTAAAAAGCATGACATGGGGGGAGAGGGCGGGAGAGGGCGGCTGCGGGGAGCACGGAGAGACGCAACAATAAAAAAAAGACCCAGACACCGGCAGAAGGCGAGTAACCGGTTAGATCGCGTAAATGTAAAGGTGTCGTTAACTCTCCCAACACCCGATACAGCAGATTCGTAAAGGTCTGACACGTAAACAAACGTGCCAATTAGTTACTAGTCAGCGAACAAAGATGGTCACTGCAGCTTTCAGATGTGCTTCTGTGGCCATTTGGAGCGCTCTTCCTTCCGATATTAGGAAGCCACTGGAACTATGCACATTTAAATCATCTGGTTTGATAACTCATTTCTTTAGAAGTGATTTTTGTGTTTACTTTCTTGTCCTTCCCCCGCACCTCCGATTAGCACGCTCGGCTACGTATGGCGCAAAAGAAGTTCAACATACATACATGCTGCTTCAGCACATCGGTGCGTTGGAGAGTAAACCCACAAATGTTTGCAATTCGAGTACGACGTCCCGCTAGAAACTCCAACCGGCTTCATGGGGAGATTTTGCCAGATTTATATTTACGCGACCCAACCCAAAAACACCTTTATTATTAACAAGAATTTAGTCGCGAAAGCTGATGCGTTGGAACAGGCGACAATCGGTCTTAGGAGTTGAAATCCACGCTTGCGCTAGATCCCGAACCGCGTGAGCGGTGCCGCGCAGACCTCGGCACAGCGGCGTTGACGACGACGACGACGATGAAGTTCGCGTGACCTTTCCATGAACGTCAACGCAGCTCCACCCCCCGCCCCCCCCCTCCGGCATGGGGCAGCTCTAAGACCAGACTGACTGATAAAATAAATCGGATTTGGCGAGATAAAAAAAAAAGTTGGGTTTCAATTGGCATATTTTAAAGTGATTTGTTTTCCTTCACACTCTTAGTTTAGTTGGTTTTCATTGTTAGTTTTGTCGTCACGTTCTGACCTGCCCCTGCTGGACATCTTTGAAAAATTGCTTTATAGATCATCAGATTACTCCAGTAATAAATTAGTATTCCGATTCTGACTAAATCCACCACCAGCTTATGCTCGATATGATCGTCAGTTCGTCATCATCAACCGGGGTCAATCCACTGCTGGATGAGGGCCTCCCCCCCCCCCCGCTTCCCCACCCACCAAAGCCACGCCATCTTCCACGATCCTGAAACGTAATAGTCGCCTGAGCGCCTATGCACGAGAGCTAATTTCATCGCTCCATCTCTCCGGTGGTTCCGCTCCCGTGAGCGTTCAAATCCTTTGGCGGCTGCCACTCTGTAGTTATTCTTGACCATCGGCCATTATCGTCCCTTCTAAGCCACGTCGTGTTGCTGCCCAAGCCCACTGAATGTCCTTAAACGTTCGAATTGATGTCCCTAACCTGCGTACGTTCTCCAACACACGCGTTCCTACATTGTAATTCCACGCCTGCATCTGTCCGCGTCTTCTTTGCGCACTTGTCAGTTTCCGTTCGTGTTCAGTTAATTGGTTAATGCCGACACTCTAACGCTCCGTGTGGTAGTAGCGGCAGTAGCAATGTGGTGGTTTACAACTTGCTCTGCAATCCCAGTGGCCCCGGTTCAATTGATGGCCATAGTGCACAAACAGCGGTGGACCGCAGCCCCCGTACCTCACCTCAATATGTTCCATGCCAGCCTTCACAGGCACTCAACGCACAGCTCTACACAATTAGCCTGGTAATGCCTCGCAACACAGCTCGGCAGAGGAACACCTAGCCCAGGAGATGCATTTAAAGGCGGAGAAAGAGGGAGAGACAATTACGTAGTTTAGTCCATCTGGGCAAAGCTATGTATGTCGAACTTCTTTCGCACCGTACGGTAGCCAAGCGTGCTAAATCGGAGGTGCGGGGGAAGGACAATAAACTAAATACAAAAAGCAGTTTCAAAGAAATTAGTTTTCAACCTAGGAAGGATGAGCGTTCCAGACGGCCATGACACTGGCACACACCTTGACGACAATGATCGCAACAAAAATGTATTTAGTGGCGCAACGTGGCAAGCCACTATTAGAAGGGCGTTGACATCGAGAATAATGGCACGGGATATTTTAGAGCCGCACAAATGAGCAGGCAGCATGCTAATGAGACAATGTCACCAGTGGGGGTTGGGGTGGGTTAGAGTCCGTGACATCTGGTCCCAAAAATTACACCAGAGACAATCAGTTCACTCCAATGCTCCAAATATATTAAAATGTAAGGCGTTTGGTTTCTATGCGAGTCTGTGCGTCTCTGTGAGAGTCTGTGTATGTCTGTGAGAGTTTGTGAGTCTCTTTGTGAGCCCATGGGTCTCTTTGTGAGCATGTGGTTCTCTGCAAGTCTGTGGGTTTCTGTGAGAGTTTGGTTATGTCTGTGAGAGTTTGTGGGTCTCTTTGTGAGCATGTTGTTCTCTGCAAGTCTGTGGGTCTCTGTGAGAGTCTGTGTATGTCTGTGAGAGTCTGAGTCTCTTTGTGAGCCTATGGGTCTCTTTGTGAGCATGTGGTTCTCTGCAAGTCTGTGGGTCCCTGTGAGAGTCTGTGTATGTCTGTGAGTCTGTGTTTCTCTAGCTGGTTGGTTGGCGCAGGTCCAAAGTGATTGCTCTGCATTCAGTGTACTGAATTTACATATGATTGTCAGATGATTCAAAGGGTTTAAGAGCAGGTTATTAGAGCCTGAGACAGGCAGAGCTGGGCCTCGTTTTTCACCTCATCACACAACCATCCAGATCTGTGTGCTTATTTGTTAAAACAGCGAGACAGCTAAAAACGTCGAGTCGGTCTGTCCGAGCGAGAAAACAGGTTCCATGAAAAAAAATAAAACAATTTAAACATTTTAACAATCTCTGCGGCAGAAACGGCATTATGTACATAGACCTAATATATTTTCGTGAGAACACCAGCAGGCGGGGAAAACAATTATAATACGCAAAACAAGAACTTATGGCAAACCCTGAAGAAGTTTTGACCTCTCCGGCTCTCATCAGCAGTGCATGGCCCATCACACAATGTGCTACATTAATAGACGGTGAAGGTGTACTTTATTCCACGTCCACATGCGACCTAACATTTGACCGTCTTGTACCCAGTTATGTTCATGCGTGGACGGGGGGGGGTAATTATTTAAACGGACGCGCCAGGAGATAAAATCCAACTACTGGCGACCTCTGGATTGAACAACTATTTTATATTATATATATTCTTAGCTATAGAGCTCTTTTTAGGAAACGACCTGGCGACATATGATAGCCCAATGAAGTGGCTTAGCATGTGGAAATTTATAGCAGCCAAATACTTTAAACGCATGTTTCTGAATGTCGAGGGAAAAAACGGGAGGACCCGGAGAAAAATCCACGTGACCAAGGCGAGCACATACAAACTCCAAATATACAGCAGGCTTCAGGGTCGGGATCTAACCCACGACCTCCTGTATACCAGGTGAGCTAGTTAAAATCTTGCCACCGTGACACCCAGTGTGCTGCAAGTCGAGCGTGCTCACCGTTACACCATCCCTGCTCTAACACTCCTATCCACACAGGAATTTATTTCCCCACTCGATATTTTCCGGAATTCTTCAGGCTTGGAGTCGGGACTATCGGTGTATGGTGCCTCCCACTCGAGTACAAGATCCGCCTCGCCATAATAATAATTTATTTTTGCACAAATATATATTCCTATAACCCCACGAATGAAGATGTTCATAAACATTTGAAAAAGCAGCTGCATGGACTCGCCAACATAATCCCGGCAAGTGCAACGTGGACTGTTCAGGCCGAAACAAAGCCCTGTGTGTGTACGTGTGTGCATACATGTACGCAGTGCAGCGCAGTGGTTAGAGCACACTTGCAATATTAACCCGGTGACCCAAGTTCACTTTCCGATCATGGTCAAACTTATCTGAAATGGTGCTGGGCCTCCCCTAGGTCAACTCAGCCTTAAACGAGTACCCAGTGCGATGTATAAACATCACCACTTGGGAAACAAAGGCGGCCGGGCATGGTGCTGGCCACCCACTCTCTCGTGTGCCGTGTCCCGTGCTCGCTAACAGCACTTGCCCCAGCAGTCTTAAAAGGCTACGCAGGGGTTCTTTGGATTTGTTACATGCACGCAGTGCGTAGCCCGTCGCCGCCACCGCCGCACAAGTAAAAAGACTCCTCACGGCATTAGACACGGGGCCGAGCGGTCAGTCAGTCGGTCGGTCGGTCGGTCGGTCGGTCGGTCACTCATGCGGTCGTACCCTGGTGCCGTCCGCTGCCGGTGGCTTGTCATCGGCCTCCTTGTCCGCGGCGGAGCGGGAGGGTGAGGACGCCGCGGCCAGGCGGTGGTCCCAGGCGGGAGGGGACGGCTCGGGCGACGACTCGAGGAAGCTGCGCTTCAGCTCGCTGATGGTCGCCAGGTGCTTCACCACTTCTTCCTGCGACTTGTCCAGGCCCTGTTGGCACGACAGCGCACGATGCAACACCAGCTCCTCCCTCTCTGCACCCCCTCCACTGGAATCAACTTGCCCTGTACATTGAGCAGTCCCCCCCCCCCTCCTCAACCCCCTTTAGTTTATCTCTCAAAGCCTCACCTCTTCTCCATTGCCCATTCCCTTCCTCTTCTCTCCCCTCCCCCCTCCACTCCTTCCTGTCCCTCCCCTGCCCTTTCGTCACCCCCACGTGTCCTCCGCTATGGACACTCATTCCTTGCCCCTTGCAACTGCCCCTGCCATCTGAACCGCTCTACATATTTTTTTTACCACTTTTTAAACTCTGTAAAGCGCCTTGAGCCAAGACGCTCTCAAAATATTAAATAAGAATATGATAAATAGGCGGAACGGGGAAAGGCCTCTCGTTCTGTTGTTTCGTCGACAAAAGAATAACCTCAAAGTTCAGTCTGCTGATTGATGGGAACTGCTCGGCAAATGTTTTCCCTCGGTGTTTTGTTTCGGCAACGCAAACCCTGTTAGGCTGCGTAGGTGTTCGCGGTTGTGCTGCGTAGCGCTACAAAGTATTTTTGGGTTATCATGCATGTTATTTGGCACGACATCCGACGGACTGCTCCACGTGCCAGAAGCTTCTGCAGTTCATGGAAGTTCCTCAAGATGCTTCTGGCCACACGGAGAGAAACGCCGGACATCGTGCCAAACTGCGCACGGTACAACACAGAAATACTTTACAAAGCTATACGGCAAACGTTGTGCAAGCCTTGATCCCTCCGGCTCTCATCAGCATGGCGTGGGTCCATTAGGCAAAATGATGCTGGGTTGCCTGGTGTTACGGACCATCCGTGAACATCATGGGACGCCTTCATTAGGCGGAGACTGCTCAATTGAATAGAGCCAAATTCACACCTTGACGAACGCTCAATTCTCCGTCCAATTTTTTTATGAACACGTGCCAAAGTCTCCTGTACTGATGATGATGATAGGGGCAATTCGCCAGAATGATTAATCTTGGCTGTTTCATGGGGATTGTGAGCTTGGCCCTGTACCCAGGCGCGTGGAACGTGCAGGCAGTGCCAAAAGAGTCTAACTTTGTTTTTTGGTTGTTGTTGTTGTTGTTGCTGCTGCTATAATTAGGACGAATGAACCCACTCTTTGTGGGAATGTGTTTCACGGAATTCAACTCCTTTGATTCTTCCCGGCTATTCAAGCTCATGTTCCGAATCTCTTCTAATTCTTAATCAGGATTCCCCAACCGTAATGGCAGCCTCTTACATCATGTGCAAACTTTAGAACGTGTGTTGTTGACATTGATCGAAACAACTATTGAGCCATTAAACTAGGGTACGATGGTAGCAGAGATATAAATAACAAATCATCGTAAAGCATTGCTTTAAAGCTTTCGTGACTGCAGGGATTCATATTCTTGGTTCTTTCGGTAAAGTCACGTAGAAGGGAAACAATAAAATAATAAAAATATAAAACAATAAAATACCACAGCAAGAATTTTCTTTGTTGTGGTTTTCACACCTGATGATGATTGCTTGTGTTGCAGTCGAAACGTCGTGAGAATTTTATTATTTATAAAAAAATATTTTATTGCTTCCCTTCTACGTGACTTTACCGATAGAACCAAGAATACATTGTAAATCAGTTTTGAGGACGATAATTATAATATTTGTTCATTCTAGATTTGAAGCTTTCTTGACTGCAAGGATTCATATTCTTTGGTTTTATTCGGTAAAGTCACGTAGATAAAATAAAAAAATAAATCTTTATTTTGTTATATTTCATCTACGTGACTTTACCGAATAAAACCAAAGAATATTTGTTCATTATCAAATGACATGATCAGAATCAAATGCATTGCTAAAGTTAGGAGGGGAAAAGTAAAATTATTGAAATTTATATTGATCAGAGGAAAACAAATTAAATTTGCTCATCCTATTTCAAACGAACAAAAAAATACGTTAAAATATTTCATAAGTCACGGTGATCGTGAAACGGATGCTCCTGAGAAGTGAGACAATAACAAGCGATTGAACAGCGGTAGGCAGAGACTATTATTTTTGATGGCATCAAGATCATTTGTTCACTCGTGCAAATGCGGCGGGAAATTTATAGCCATCGTCACCGAAGGAGCAAACCACGGGGAATGCGTTGCAACCTCGTGCCGTTGCAAACACCGCGCTGATCACAGTGAGCTACGCTGCACTTTGTGCTTTCTGACAACATTTCATAAAAACGACCGCATTAAAATACTTGGAAGACAATTTTAATCGGATTTTTTTTTTCCACAAAATTTCCAATCAAAGAAGCTAAAAAAAATTAAGAGCGTTCAAAGTAATGCTGACTTGTTAAGCTGAATATCCACGCTGCATGGAAATGATACGCACACAGCCAGTCCCAGGTTACTATTGTGTTGCACAGTAGCTTCTGTAGCGTTAAATTTTACGTGCCAGAATCGGCTTGCGATTTTCGGTGGGTTTCAGTGGAGTGATTTTCATTTTTTTACCCATCGATCATATAAATAACATTTACAAGCTGTAAATGTGATAAACTTGGTCTTCCTGGAAAAAACTGGGTTTGTTAATAATGCAAATATTTTGGGGTACCTCACCCCCCGAATAATCCCGCTGTTTCAAAGACACTTTGAAGATATTAAATATCAGATGGAAGTGAGATACACGTGCGGACGAGAATGCGGTACCCGATATTAATGACGAGCCCAGCCAATCATGTCGCAGTGCTCTTGATCACATGGTGGCTTGCTTTTTTTTTATATATAAATAAAACGTACAGGAAGTATTATAAGAAGATGCATTACGACTTATCACACAAAAAAAATGTCCCTCTCATTGGAACAATGTAAAACAGATCCGATTGGAATGGCGGCTTCAAATGTCCACGTGATCGAGGTCACTGGGAACACGCCGGTGGGGGGGGGGGAGGGATGCGACCCATTTATTCAGCTCCTGCGTTTTGCTCCTGAGTGACGTGGGGATTGGTTATGTGAGGTCAGGCCCATCACAGGCTCTGCATACCAACCTCTAACATTAGATTGCTATGTCTGACATACATGGTGTCACCTTCTACCCTGCTAGGTGCAGGACTCTGCTGCGGGGGGGGGGGTGGAGGGGGGAAGAGGGTGGGTAGGCGAGCAAAGAATGAGGTACAAAAATATATCGATGCTTGAAATCAAATAACCGTAAAGTAGCACAGCAAATAATATTCAGCAAAATCGGATTAAAGTTTAAACAAAGGCAATTCATAAAAATTGCAACTGCAACAGCAATACTCAACAATGCATTTGTAGCAAAATGTTGTCTAATGAATAAGTAAACAAATAAGCACGCAAACGAGAGTAGCAATTTGGCAGCCTTAACATTACGTCCTCGGGACCCTAAGCAGAAAACTTCGCCGTGACCTAAAACCGGACAGCCGAAGAACCAACGCTGGTGCAATGTCTCAACTCCTCGCTCCCTGAGAACCTGCAATGATCTCATTAGCAGGAGAAATGGAACAGCGGGGGGCAGGGGAGGTGGGGGGGGGGGGGCGGGGGGGGGTCACAATCCCTCGTCACCTTCTCGTGTTCGGGGACCGCGCCGTCCTCCTCCCTCATCTCCGACTCCTGCTTCCTCTCCTCGCTGGCAGTGAACGTGCTATCGCTGACCACTGTCTCCGTGACGACCACCGAGCTGCTCACGGTCGCCTTTTCCTTTTCCATGAAAGTGGCGGTGGCGGCCGTGGCGGCGGTGATGACAGTGGTGGTGGTGGCGGCGGAGTGTTTGTCGGAGGCCACGTTTTTTTCGTGCTGGCCGGCCGTCTTGTCGTTGGCGGTGGGGCTGCCAGCGTCGTGATGGCCTGGCTGCTGCTGCTGCTGCTGCGTGGAGGACGCCGTAGTGGACACAGAGTAGGCGGGCGAGTCCGGGGCCGGCGCCGTCTCGGGAGCACTGACCAGCGACAGGCCCTCTTGGCTGCTCCCAATCGGCGCTGATGAGAGCCGTGACCAGGAGATAATGGGGGAGGCAGAAGAGGAAGACAAAAATAACTCTCATCTCATTAAAACCACCGCATTGATTTCTAATTGCAGATTTCTGCCAAGAAATATAATTTTAAGTGTGGCTTCAAAGGCGTGATTAATTAAATGTTTGAGAGTGCTCTGGAAACAGAAGTGTCGTCTGCTTCAGACGAGGCACGTGGATAGCATGACGAGAAACAATTGCCAGGTTCAGAGATTGAAGAAACATTTCCCTTTGTTTCAACCGTCGTGCCGTACTGTGAGATCACGGATCACATCCAGCGTGCTAACCCACCACTCCCATGGCAGCTAAACCCTATTTGTAATAAAATCGATAATCACCTGGAAATCATTTGCTCGCAGGATGTCCCAACTTCCAAATTGTGGCTGGAGCCCTGTTGATGTAACCTGGCCACGCCCCTCATTGTGACCACGTGTGCAGTAGCAATAATATTACTACGTGCCGTCTGCTTTACAGTAGACATTTATGTATGTTGAGCTTCTTTCGCACCATACGTAACCAACCGTGCTAATCGGAGGTGCGGATTAAAGATCCTCCGATGTCATTTGTAAGCACGAGGCCATTTTGTGCCAGATTTGGCAAACTCGAAAATTACCCGCATAATTACTCAACTGGGTTTACAGAGCAGCAATCAACACCCCCTACTCGAAGATTATGTCCCAGGTCTCTCGTGCAAATGAGAGACAGAACCTGGTCTCTTGAGTTCTCACCTGGCAAAAAAAAAAATCAGCTAACTCACAAATAACTAACATGAGCATGCGAGCATGAGAGCGCGTGCGTGCGTATGTGTGCATGTGTTGGCATGAATGTGTGGCGCGGTAGTGCAGTGATTCGCGTGCTTGCGCTACAAACCCTGTGAACCGGGTTTGATTCCCACTCACGGCCAACACCATTATCAGAACCGGTCCTGGGCCTCCCCAGGGATCAACTAAGCCTCAAATGAGCACCTGGTGCGATGTATAAGCATCGCCACCGGGGGGGACAAAGGTGGCCCCGGGGCGTGGTGCTGGCAAACCCCGACCCCCCTTGCGTGCCGTGCCGGTATTCGCCAACGGCACTCGCCCCAACGGTCCGTTGGAGGCGAACGTGGAGGATCTTTGTCTCCATGCGTGAGCCTGCGTGCGACGTGCGTGCGTGTGACCACACCCCCGTCGAGTGAGCGGGAGAGCGTGTAGCGCTTGCTGGAGGAGCGGGTGAAGCTGGGCGCCGGCCGGTCGATCAGGGTGCTCGCCTGCCGCGTCTGCGCCTGGGTCCGCCCCGAGTAGCGGAACTTGGAGCCCAGCGTCAGAAATCGCCCCTTGGGAGCCGGCTCGGGGGACACCAGCCTGGCGTGGCCGGGAGTCAGGGGGGGAAGGCACGACGGGGTGAGCGGGCGAGCGAGCATCACACGGCGGTCTCGTGCCGTGGCTAAAAACCGAAGCGGTCTTCAATGCGCCGACTTCCCTCGCTACTGCGATAACTGTGTGTGTGTGTGTGTCTTGAGCGTCTTTCGCACCGTACGTAGCCAATCGTGCTAATCGGAGGTGCGGGATGTTGGTGATGGTGGTGGTGGTGTGGGGAGCGGTAGTGCAACGGTTAGCGCTCTGCGCTACGAACCCGGCCACCCAAGTTCGATTGCCGCTCCCGGTCAACACTAGTGAGACGATTATCTGAACCAGCCCTGAGCCTCCCCTAGGTCGACTCAGCCTCAAATGAGAACCTCGTTGCGATGTGTAAACATCACCACTAGAGAGACAAAGGCGACCGAGTGTGGTGTTGGCCACCTACCCCCTCGTGTGCCGTGCCGGCCTTCATAGGTGCTCGCTAACAGAACTTGCCCCAACAGTCTGTTAAGGCTATACGGGGGATCTTTGTCTTTGTCTGTTGATGAAGATGATGCTGGTGATGTTGATGGTGATGATATTGGTGATGTTGATGACGGCGATGTTGATGATGATGGCGATGATAACCCCTTCATTCCTCCTCACTCGGTCCCCGCCTCCTGATGCGGCCGGGCCACGTTGCCCCGCCATACCTGAAGAAGGTGTGATGCTCCACGCACACTTTCCACAGCCGCTTGGCCGCGCGGTGGTTGGGCAGTTTGAAGCCGATGGTGCTCTCGAACTGTTCAAACTTATCACACACAAAAAAAAACATGCAAACTTGACGTGGGGGGGGGGGGCGGGGGGGCGGTGGCAGGGTGCCGCCACAGCCCGGCAGCGAAGCGTTCGCCGCTCGTCGCGCAGAGGGTTCGCGGTTTCAAATCCGGCAGCACCCCCCCCCCCCCCCGCCAGTCACCGCTGCGGGTTCGCTCGCCGCAATGTACGGCGCTACACCTCGAAGCGCCGGTAGCGGCAAGGGCAATTGGGGTTTGCGAGCAGCGATGTTCGGGCAGAGGCGTAGTTTTATCTGCAATCTAACGAAATAGCTCAGAGCCTTGAAAACGAGAAACACTTTCAAAGCTCGGATGTGCACTCGCGAGGAGAAATCGAGCAGATCCTGTTGTGAAAATGACGCCTGTTTGTGTTGCTGCAGATGCAAAGATTAAGGCAGTGAATAAAAATTGAGATTCACATTAATTACACACTTGTCAGAGCCGAATTAGTGTTACCTTCAACCTCATTATTCATGTGCACACCGTAAATTTAGTGGGGGGGGGGTTTTGTACATAAAACACAGCCAGTCCTTGGGCTTGTTGTTTATCAATCTTTAAACGTTTGTTAATTTTTTTTTCCAATGGCGGCTAACTTTAAGTTTTTGCTGTGTTTTTTATTAACTGCTGACTAAACTTTTTACTCCGTCGTCCAACTTTTGTTCTCCGATCGCATTTTTGTAATAAATTAAACAAAAGATGACGAGGAGTATCTTCAAACAACAACAAAGACACCGCACGTCACAAGCGGCCATGCAGATTGTAACGGTACTTCCTGCAGAGAGGACGCCAACTCGGGGCAAAAAAAAACAAAAAAAACCGAAGAAGCCAATAGCTCAGTGGGGGCTTTAACCTGGTAAGATAAAAATGTGTTGTTTTATTTGTATAAATGTTTTAAGCGATTTGTTTACCTTTCCTGTACTTTGCACTCCTGTCGTGTTTTTGCACTGTTTGGTGTTGGAACGTTCTGCCCCACCCCTACTGGACATCTGTGAAAATAAGAGCTTCACAGCTCATTGAATTCTTCCCGTGTAAATATTCCGATTCTGAAATTGTCAAACGAGGTGCCCCCCCCCCCACCCCCCCAACCCCTTTCTCACGGAGACGAAGAGGGGGGGGGAAAAAGGCAGAGAAGAAGCAGAGCAGCATGCGGTGTGAGCAACGCGGCGCTACAAAAGGAGGGCACTTCACAGCTCGTCCGCAAATGAAACAAAACAGCCGGAGACCAATCGAGGGCAACTTAACAGGGACCCCCCCCCCCCCCCCCCCCCCCCCCAGCGCTGCCATGCCTCCTACTGACCTCCCCGGGACGAATCTTGATGTAGAAGTTGCTGCGCTTGTAAGAGATCTTGAGAATCTTTGGCCAGGCAAAGCGGTTGATGCGCAGACGGTCTCGGTAGATGAGCAGCCCGTTTGCGCACACGCCCAGCATGATGTCCACACCCTCAGAGTCCTGAGACCAACACACAAGGCAAAGATCCCCCCCCCATATAGCCTTGAACGGACCGTTGGGGCAAGCGCCGTTAGCGAGGTGGCTATTTATGGATAATAAGGTCATAAAGCATACTACCCGGGTATGGAAAAACTGCTCCACTCTCACCACAAATGGAGTATTGGATAATAATAATAATAATAAAAATACCCAGGCAGGTGCTTAGCTTTGGGTCGGCTGATGGTAATGCCCCACCCTCTTAGTGGCATGCTCCTGGTTCAGCAGCAGAACCTCCAACTCCTTCTTAGAGTGAGCAGCAACCACCAGATCATCGGCATACATAACATGGTTGACCAGTAGGGAGCCATCCCTTGACCATACCTGAGCATCGACCAGCCTCCCATTGTATTTTTACCAGATAGAAATTCCGCTGGTACAGCCACGGAAGGTTTCTCTAACTACGTGATCGAAGATGACGTTAAATAATGTGGGAACCAGAGGACATACATGCCTGTCGCACCCCAACGTAAAACGGGGAATGGCTCTGACTCCTGGCCACGCAACTTTACCTGGGCCTGCCCAGCATCATTAAGGTCTTTAAATGATTGTGGGTGTTAAGCCAGGGACCTCAAAAGCATGAAAACCAACCCAGAGGCCTGGCCCACTGATGGCATCATAGCCCCCTGACCAGGTCAACAAAGCAGAGATGTAGGTCCATTTGAATCCCTAACACCTCTGCTGTAGCAGACGGAGAGAGAATATGGCATCCGTGTAGTATGCCATTATCTCACTCCCCCACACTCACGCACGCACACACATACATGCACGCACGCTTGTACTCAGAGCCACACTCCGCACAAGCCTGCCATTGCTCGACATTCACCGAGGACCGCTGCCCCGAACTCAATTTAATTTCACGATTGCAAGTATCGTGTGCTGCCTGTTACGCCCCTGCAGCATGGATTCGTGAGAAGCAGGTCCGAAATAAAATTCGAGCACGCTTACAATCGAGCATGCGGCATTCCATCACGGCACAGCGGTACGCCACGGAGAACACCGACGTGAAGGATTGGCTGGGCGGCATGTCAATATTCAGTCGGCTAACCGAGAGGACCGCACGCAGTGGGAGAGAGATGTGGCAGGGCTTTGCGAGGAAATTGCTCAGACGGGCAATGTGGGCGACGCGGAGACCGCACAGCCTCAGTGACGCGGGCCGCCGCCGCCACCGCCGACATCCAGTGGGAGGGCGGCGCGCCAATCCGTGGCAGCGAGACGGACGCATGTGGGCGTCGTCGAAAACAAGTCGCCGTCTCGCGACTCCGCGCGTCGGTGGAATGGGAAGACCGATGAAATGACGACGGCGTTGGTTTGCGCCTTTCTTCCATTCCTTCCTCCATTATTAATCCCCAATTTCAATGGAAAGGTGTTGTGCTCATTTACCCAGGAAAGCATCACTGAGTTACGAGAGGATCCTGCTAAGCCCTCATAACTAGCGGGGGGGGGGGGGGGGTATGTTGCTGCTGTTTGTCATCCCAATTGAGTCATTTGCAGGTCGGTTTTTTTCAGATTTGGGATTTTTTTTGCCACCAGCAGTTACATTTTATGTTTTTTTCGTTTTCGCTATGGGTGGAAACCGGAGAACTCGGAGGAAACCCAAGCGGGAATCTAACCCATGTCCTTCTTGTATGTATGTTGAACTTATTTCGCAACCGTACGGAGCCACCCACGTTAATTGGAGGTGCGGGCGGGCAGGGGGAAGGACAACAAATCGAAACACAAAAAGACAGTTCTAAACAAATGGCACAAGTGTTGCCAATGCGACAACCCTGCCACCCCCCCCACCGCCCGCCGTTTGCTTTTCCCCGTGTAATCTAAGTAATGGAAAACTACCCCTTCACAGACTGGCAGGACCAGTGGAGAGAGCCGAGTCGATTCTGGGCACTGGCCCAACCCAATTCATCCGTAACTTCCATTTTGTTTTTCATGCCAAGTGTGGGGCTCGGGCCCTCAAATGTCAACTTGTGATGCCGGTGCTTCAGAGGGAGGTTGGTGGTGGAGCGTGAGGAGTGGTGGTGAGGGGTGGGAGGTGGGGTTAGCTGGGGGGGGGGCACGGTGAAAGGGGAGGTGCAAGACGGTAAGAAAAAGCACTTGAACAGAATTATAAACAAACAAGGCGTTCGGTGGGCTTGGAAACAGACCGTTCGAAGAAACTCCATCACGGTGCAATTTCCAAGCAATTTTTTTTAAATTACACCCAATATCAAAAAATATATAAATAACTTGAACACAAATAAACTGCACAGGTTATTACCCAATAACGGCCCACCCCAAAAAAAACAACAATCTGCAATCCACCGACAATTGACAGCACGTACAATAAGTTTTTGCTCGATAGTGCATTGCGATTTCCTGAATGGCTACGGACAGAGTCAATAAATTCCCTTCTGTGCACATGTCAGGTGATAAACACCACCACCTGTGCGATGGGACGCCACCCGCCTGCAGCCAACTGCCTCTTCCGATTAAGTCTCACCGGCCGTGGTCGGTTGGTGGAGGGTTCATAAAGACACAGCTTCGGTCAGGTCGTTTGCGTGGCCTAACCCGTAAATCTATTATGGCTATGAAAATCTACATGTGGGCGCCACAGTGGTGAGACGTTAACTACGTCGCCTGGTATACAGAAGGTCGTGGGGTTCGAGCTTAACCCTGACGCCTGTGTATTTGGAGTTTCCTATGTGAACGCTCGCATCTAACCGGCCCTGTAGCGCTCAGGGGGCGGGGGGGGGCTGGATGGGGGGGCTAGAGGAGATGGGCTCCTCCTGCTGAAGGTTCAGCTTCAGCGTCCCTTCAGAATGTTCTGTGTCAAGTTGTTTGATATACAAACTGTCTGCAACAGTTTGGAGGGGGGTGGCTGCATGCAATGCAAATGTTGCGACCAATTAAGCAATGGACCGTAGCAGCTTTTCCTCTTTACACGGGGGACGAGAGCTGCTCGGGAAGAATGCACGATAGGCAACATCAGATCGTATTGTTACTCGTCCTCATTGCGGTCCTTCTGTTGTCTTTCCCCCTGCACCTCCGATTATCACGGTTGGCTACTTTCAGTGCGAAAGGAGTTTAACATACATATGTACATTCCATTTAACGTTTAACATTCACGTTCAAGTTTGCTTGACATAGTCCCATGTCATATCCCCTCTCTCCTGAGCATATGTGGCATCTTTAAACATGGGTGTGATCTCATGTTCTTTTTGGGCGACCGGTAAAAATGGTATGCTCGATGCGGGAACACACGCACACACACACACGCTACAACCGAGAACATTACGTCAACGCAGATTAATTTAGGACTTTAAACATGGTAACGTCAGAGAGAGGAAAGTTCACAGAGCAGTAACGGTTAGCTCGAAGTCTCACAGAATTCTTATTTTATTTTAATCACGGTTGCTGAGCTCAGCACCAAAAGGCTCCCATATGCCAAGTGGTTAAAAATGCCACGTGACACATACTGCAGCTGTACTAGGTAATCATTAATTTTTTTTATTGCATTGAGCAAGGTTGTGAGAATTTTTGAATGAGCAACTGCTAGAGGGAAAGTCGACACGGGCGTGTGTGCGCGCGGGTGTTTTGTAAAAAATTTAAGTGGAGAGCGGTGGTGCTGTAACCGCGCTGCACTAGGAACCCGAGTTCGATTCCCGCTCATGGTCAACACCAGTGACGATTAGCGGAATTGGTCCCGAGCCTCCCCTAGGACAACGCAGCCTCAAATGAGTACCTGGTGTGGTGTGTAAAAACATCACCAATGGAAAGACAAAGGCGGCCGGGCGTGGTGTTGGCCACCCACCACCTCGCGAGCCGTGCCGGCCTTCAAAGGTGCTCACTAACAGCACTTTCCTCAACAGTATGTTAAGGCTATACGGGGGGATCTTTGTGTGTGTGTTTTATACAGTTGCTGAACACGGGCCCAAAGGTCTAAAATACAAAGCCGCACAGCAATAAACAGTATAATACAGTGAGGGAAAAGAGTATTTGATCCCCTGCTGATTTTGTACGTTTGCCCACTGACAAAGAAATGATCAGTCTATAATTTTAATGGTAGGTTTATTTGAACAGTGAGAGACAGAATAACAACAAAAAAATCCAGAAAAACGCATGTCAAAAATGTTATAAATTGATTTGCATTTTAATGGAGGAAACAAGTATTTGACCCCCTCTCAATCAGAAAGATTTCTGGCTCCCAGGTGTATTTTATACAGGTAACGAGCTGAGATTAGGAGCACACTCTTAAAGGGAGTGCTCCAATTCTCAGCTTGTTACCTGTATAAAAGACACCTGTCCACAGAAGCAATCAATCAATCAATCAGATTCCAAACTCTCCACCATGGCCAAGACCAAAGAGCTCTCCAAGGATGTCAGGGACAAGATTGTAGACCTACACAAGGCTGGAATGGGCTACAAGACCATTGCCAAGCAGCTTGGTGAGAAGGTGACAACTGGTGCGATTATTCGCAAATGGAAGAAACACAAAAGAACTGTCAATCTCCCTCGCCTGGGGCTCCATGCAAGATCTCACCTCGTGGAGTTGCAATGATCATGAGAACAGTGAGGAATCAGCCCAGAACTACACTGGAGGATCTTGTCAATGATCTCAAGGCAGCTGGGACCATAGTCACCAAGAAAACAATTGGTAACACACTACGCCGTGGAGGACTGAAATCCTGCAGCGCCGCAAGGTCCCCCTGCTCAAGAAAGCACATATACATGCCCGTCTGAAGTTTGCCAATGAACATCTGAATGATTCAGAGGACAACTGGGTGAAAATGTTGTGGTCAGATGAGACCAAAATGGAGCTCTTTGGCATCAACTCAACTCGCCGTGTTTGGAGGAGGAGGAATGCTGCCTATGACCCTAAGAACACCATCCCCACCGTCAAACATGGAGGTGGAAACATTATGCTTTGGGGGTGTTTTTTCTGCTAAGGGGACAGGACAACTTCACCGCATCAAAGGGACGATGGACGGGGCCATGTACCGTTAAATCTTGGGTGAGAACCTCCTTCCCTCAGCCAGGGCATTGAAAATGCGTCGTGGATGGGTATTCCAGCATGACAATGACCCAAAACACACGGCCAAGGCAACAAAGGAGTGGCTCAAGAAGAAGCAAATTAAGGTCCTGGAGTGGCCTAGCCAGTCTCCAGACCTTAATCCCATATAAAATCTATGGAGGGAGCTGAAGGCTCGAGTTGCCAAACGTCAGCCTCGAAACCTTAATGACTTGGAGAAGATCTGCAAAGAGGAGTGGGACAAAATCCCTCCTGAGATGTGTGCAAACCTGGTGGCCAACTACATGAAACGTCTGGCCTCTGTGATTGCCAACAAGGGTTTTGCCACCAAGTACTAAGTCATGTTTTGCAGAGGGATCAAATACTTATTTCCCTCATTCAAATGCAAATCAATTGATAACATTTTTGATATGCGTTTTTCTGGATTTTGTTGTTGTTATTCTGTCTCTCACTGTTCAAATAAACCTACCATTAAAATTATAGACTGATCATTTTTTTGTCAGTGGGCAAACGTACAAAATCAGCAGGGGATCAAATACTTTTTTCCCTCACTGTATATTGTGTAGTGGTTGAATGTGTGGATGAGTGAGCGAGCGAGTGAGTGCGTTTCTGTGACCTGCAGTATGGTCATTGAACACGGTAGGAATGAGACCAAGCAGCCAGTCTAGTTGACCGAATCCTCAATATGTAGGTTGAACTTCTTTCGCACCTTACATCGCTGAACCGTGCTAATCAAAGGTGCAGGGGAAAGACAACAAACTAAACACAAAAAAGCAGTTATGAAGAAATTAGTTTTCAATCGAGATTTAAAAGTGCACAGCTCTCAGTGGCTTCCTAATATCGGAAGGAAGAGCGTTCCAGACGGCCGCAGGAGCGCATCTGAAAGCGCGCGAGGCGGTGACCGTCTTTGTCCGATGGCTAGCCAAAAGCTGCTGCTGCTGCGAGGATGACCACCGGAGTTGTGCGCGATGATGGTTAATGCTCCTCGACGAGATCAGCAAGGTATTGCGGTTCATTTGTGGCAAGCACTTTGCGTGCAACGAGTGCGACCTTTTAACGCATTCCTCAGGCAACCCGAAGCCATTGCAGCTCGGGGGGCACTGGGCGGACGCGGGCGGAGGAATCAATGAGCCAAGGTCGCGGTAACAGTAACTTTGCTAGCACCTCCGATTAGCGCGGGTTAACTACGCACGGTGCGAAATAACTTAAACACACATATGTAGAGAGGAGTGTTAAAACTAATAGACTGTTTTTTTTTATTTTAGCAGGTAAAGCGTGCTGAGCTACGTAGCACGTTTCAGAAGCGACCTGGCCACAAACAACAGCTCAACAAAGTGGCTCATCACGTGGAAATTTACAGCAGCCAAAATACTTTTAAACGCACGTTTCTAAAGGTGGAGGCAAAAACCCGGAGGACCCCGGAGAAAAATCCACACGACCACGGGGAGAGAGAAAACAACGCAAACTCCAAATACGAAGCGGGCGTCAGGGTCAGAATCTAACCCACGACGCGACCTCCTGTATATACCAGGCCAGGTAAGTTAACATCTCGCGACCGCGACGCCCAACAGCGTACAGCGTCCTTCGGGCGATCGGAGGGCGTCGCACTTCTAAGTTTGCCGTGCGAATCATCCGAGTCGCGTCGCGTTGTGCCCGAGCGCGAGTGTGGGAGCGGGTGGGGGGGGGGGGTGTCACCTTGGCATGGTGGAGGTCCACCCCGTACATGGACAGCTTCTTGGCATTTTCCAGGAAGTGAAGCTCAGCCTCGGCCGGCGTCATTCCTCTGTCGGCGTCATACAAAGAGGGGGGGGCGGGGGGGGGGAATGTCAGCGGGCTCGGCGACGTACGCCGCGATGAGAAGTTCGGCGTACGTCCTGGTGGGCAAAAGGTTGCGGAGGCGCAACACCGCAACGGCAAGCGCACAGGCCACCGCTGGCGGAAGGGCCTCAACCCCGCAGCCGGAGAGAGCTCTGGAAAGATACGCTTCTCCAGGGCAATTTTTCTGGGTCTGCTCTTCCACGCAGGCTGGCTGCATTGTCTTGGAAGAGGTGGGAGTTGCCCACGCTGCATCCCCGCCAGAAGCGACCCGTCAATTGATTAAACTGTAGTAGGGTGCACCTATTTGTACTGCTGGGGGGGCACAGAGGCGGAAGTGGGTGGTGGTGCGGGGGGGGGGGGGTTATGAAACTTTCGCTTTTTTTTTCCAACTTGCGTGCCGACGGACGAAATTAAACCGTAGACCTCCGGATTGCACCTCAGATTCGCACGGTCGGCTACGTACGGTGCGGAAGACGTTCAACACGCGCACGCGTTGCTAGTGCCGTGCGCCGACTATCGATGCTGCGGCAGCGTGGCACGAGCAATGGCTAAACTCGGTGGAGGACAGCAACGGGCCTGTGACGGTGCACGCATCACTCAACGTCTGTTACCGATTCATGTCCTCACGATACGCATGTAAAATCACACAAGCAAGAATCAATAATGATTTGATTCCTATATAGGTGATTTGATTCCTATATAGGTGTGTGGGTGTGTGGTGGAAATCATTTCAATGTTTTATGCCAGATGTCACTATTATTTAGAGATTCGTATCCAAAAACCCAACAGCCGCGTTTCTTTTAGATTAATATCTAGACTTCGGTGTTAATATACGTCCGACATTTAGTTCGTGAAACTTTGTGAAGTAACAAAAGTATGCGTTTAAAGTGACTTGGAAGCGCGCTCCAGTCACACTTCTGCAGCGGCGTCCAAATAAAAATTTACGGCCATCACAATGAGGCAAGATCACTACGCGGTGCACGAAGAGCAAAATCGAAAGCCGTATTTCTCATTCCGGATTTGAAGTTTTCGTGACTGCAAGGATCCATACTCGTTGGTTCTTTCGGTAAAGTCGCCCCAAAACGTCGTGAACGCATTTCTCACCAACGGAGTTTCTAACGTGCGTCGGCAGACCCGAGAGACGTGGCCTCGCAAGGCAACCCCAAGATGAGTGGGGGGGGGGGGGGGGGGTTTATTCAGGCCGCAACTTCCCCCATACTGGAACATCCTCAAAGTGTTTTTATAGCGTCAGCAGGTAACAGGGGCAAGCTGGGTGGGCCCTCAGTTGGCTGTGTCGAGGAGGGGGTCTCGCAATATGGCGATACCACAATATACCGCACGGTATAAGGTGCACGGTGATAGCATCGTCCATTTTGCAAGGTATCCCTCTTTACTGAAAATGTATTTGTGAAAGAGCACTCGGTGCGGAAATCAATGGTGGTTGTCCTACGCATAAAGTCGCCCCTGCCATAGGATTGTGGAATTTCCACCACTGGCTTGAGCTATATAATCCACAACACGTCTATTTTACAGCATCACAGCTAAAAGCCTATAGTCCGAGACAATTGAAGTGGTTCATTTAAAAAAAAAAATTATGTTAGTTTTAACATTTTCTTTATAAGCTTTGGAGATTGTAAACTTGCAGTGATTACGAGATTTACAAAAGGCTCAAGTCGCCTTTATTCCCGCTGTAAGAATATCAAAGCACAATTGAATTCTCATTCGCCGTCATTGTTCTACATCTCACACGCCGCTTTGTTGTTGTTATTGTTCAGCGTCATCGTTGTCGCTGTTGTTGTCATTGTTACTCGCCACCACCCAGCCTGGAAAACCTGGGGGAATCTGGGAAGTTTCTAGTTCCACCTCTGCCGGCGACAGCCGCGGAGAGGCCCACAGATCACGCGTAGCGTGGGGGGAACGTCGTCGCGATCCCCCGCCCTCACCCCGCCTGCCGCCGCGCCCCCGGCGCTCCGTAGCACACCTGTGCGTCTTGTGCAGCTCCACGACCTTGTCCTCGAGCTCGCGCGTCTGGTTGGGCGCGAAGCGGAACTCGGAGACGTAGTCGCCCGCGTGCTCCTCGGGGTCGAAGTCGCCCAGCTCGGCCTGCACGGCGTACGAGCCGAGCAGAGCGTGCGTCACGAACGAGCAGGGCAGCCGCCCCCGCAGGATGTCCTCTCGCAGCTGCAGGCACAGGTAGTACCTGCGAGGGGCGACGGAAAACTCCGATGAGAGGGGTGAATGTACGCACGCGTGCGCGCGCGCGTAGAAATTCTTTCGCGCCGCACGTCGTGCAACCGTGCTAATCGAAAGCTCTCGCGCCCATCGCCCAGGCGATAATGTGTTGGCTATGTAGCAGACGCAACAGCTTTGAACAATGACGACGTGGGAAAACCAACATGTGAAATGCATGGAATGTCAACGTGCGGCGGCCAAACGGTTAATGTACCACGATCGGCGAACATCATCATTTACACGCCGTTTTCTACTTATTTACATAAATATTTCATCGCGCTCATTTATTTACCGAAAGATTATTAACTTCAACGTGCACAGGTCAAAATATACAGGGCATATTTCCCTAAAATATAATAAGCTACACTTCATCTCCGATAAACTATTTTGGCCACACCATACGCTGTGTATTTTTTACGTGTAAAAAAAAAAGGTGACCTGTTTTTGCTGCATAGTGCTCAATATTTGCGGTCGTCACGGGCTTTCAGAGGGGAAGGGATTCTCTCACCTCGTGATGTCTTCGCTCAGCTGCGAGGGGTCAGGGGGATAGAACTTCACGTTGAAGGAAAACACCCAGGGACCGCCTGAAACCGAGAGAAAGGCTCCAGTCAGGCACGCTCCACCGCTGGTACGCGAGGACATATCAGTTCGGCATTCACATCGCGAGGGTTGAGACAGGACTCCCATGCGCTGGGTCGTTCGGCATGACACCCTAAACTATTTTTTTTTTATTTTACCAGGTAAGGCCCACTGAGCTGTGTAGCTCTTTTTCAGAAGCAGCCTGGCTGTCACAAATCATAGCTCAACGAAGTGGCTTATCATCGTGTGGAAATTTATAGCAGCCAAACACTCGAAACGCGTGTTTCTAAATGTCGAGGGAAACACCCGGAGAAGAATCCACACGACCACGGGTAGAACATACAAATTCCAAATACACAGCAGGTGTCAGGGGTCGGGATCCAACCCACGACCTCCTGCATACCAGGCGCCTGCCGTTCAGCTCCCAGCGCCTTTGCGTGAAACGTTGGGACACCGTGCCGGATGTCACGCGGCACAACCCGGCAGCACATGGAGCGAAACGTTGGACAACGAGACGAGCAGCATACCACAGCGACACAACCGTGAAAGCACCAAGGCAGCAAGGAGGAATGGTATTACAAATTAAGGCAGACTTTAATGTCTCATATATTCCATCTCAGGAGGGAAAATGAGAGTAATTTCTTATACATTTCTTTATATATATGGCTGCGGCACGTTACATTGATATTTACGTGTACAGCATGAAAGCCCTGCAAGACCAAGCATTTCAACCTTTGTTTTGTAAACCCTGTGATTTCTGAAACCCAATATTTAAATTCGCCGAGGATTTTTGCTTTCATTCCTTGCGCACCGGTAATGAACAGAGCCCAGCCTATAATCATCACCTAGTTTTCCAGACGAGAGCATTATGAAAGTTTATATGCCATTGTTGAATACAAATAAAAACAGCAGCATGACATTAAAAACAAATAAGACAGAGTAACGTGGGTTGCTGAGAGTGTTTTTTTAACGGCAGGTAATCGAGCAAATCATTTTAAAATTACAATTTAAGGACAATATTTAACAAGATGGGAAAAGCGGTGTAATATTCGCTTGCATACATTCATTATTTATATCTGGCCGCTCATCGCACAACCGTTTAAATAACCGATCTGCGTTCTCCAGCAGCCCCGCGCTCACCGGCGCGTGGACCTTCCCCATCATCCTCCTTTCCCCTTGCTCAGAAAAACACATCACAAGTCCAATTACGCTTAGAAAACGTACCAATTAAAGGGCAGAATGTGCATCGCGGGCACGCAAGCGCTCGGCAATAATCGCTCGCCGGCAATAAATGGAAAAAGCCCAAGAAAGAGGTGCACGGTCGGACGCTAATTATTTGTGAGTCACTGCAAACGCTGCCTCCTTACCATTAATTGCTCTTCAGACTGATGTGATTGCATGAAGAGAGGCCATCTTTGGAATCATGTTTTCATTTTGCGCAGTTTTACAATCAGGTAACACTTTTTTTTTACCTTAAAAAAAAACACATTTGTTGAGTTACGTGAAATACCAGCTGTCAAACGCATTATTATAATGTTGTCAATGGCCAAAAAGTTACACGCCTAAAAGTATTCACGCATTAAATTGCGGTGGCACATTGGTTAAGTGGTGACGAAACTATGAAACCGGTGACCTTGGTTCGTATTCTGGGCCGCGGCTAACAGCAGTGGCGAGTGATACCTGAACTGCTTTCCTGTGTCATCCACCCCATCCCCCCCTCCTTTCATTCAACCCACGATGACCAGCTTGGTGAAGTATGGTGAAACAATCCACAATCCGGCAGTCAACTGTGAATTGTGACAAAAAGCAGTAAATTACCATTTACGCTTTTATTTCACACGTGAGCGAAAAATGTGTCAGCGCCCATCACGTGATAAAATAGTCCGCTACTGCGGTTCATAGTTAGTTATAGTTTCATAGTTTTATTTATTTGGTATAGCCCCGTGAGCCATTCGGCTCTTGAATCGGGTGCAACCGCAACAAACAAAAAAACAAAAACATGAACAAGAAAACATCTTAAAGTGACTTTGTGCATGTGCAAACAGAAAACCCAAGAAAAAACATCAAAATATTCCTGAAATAGCACCGTACACCAACGCTGTGTGCAAAAATCCCAGTGGGATGCAAGTCAAACAACAACAAAAATACTTAGATGAAGGCCATCAGTCTAACTCCGTAATACAATAAACAAAAACATGGCCAAACCAAAAAACTTTTAGAAATCACCAAAATAAAGCCATAAATGCAATATAACAGTGATCATAGGAACTGTGACCGAATTTTTAACAATAAACTACATAAATAACATGTAACACCAAACCCTAGAGCCACAGCTGGCTGCATGAGTCACTCCACAAACAACAGGAGCATCATCTTCTTTGGTTATTTCGGTAAAGTCACGTAGAATGAGAATAAAATAATAAATTGATAAAATAAAATAACACAATAATATTCTCACGACGTTTCGGCCACAACACAAGCGGCCTTCATCAGGTGAAGGGACGAGACTGTCTGATAGGACAGCGCTGGAGTGAAAGAGCCACGTTCAGATCACGACCTTTAAGCTGTGTGAGAGGAAACAAAGCGCCTTGACAAAGGAATTAGCATATAATTTAGCATTGAAATGGCTGATTGATTAGCTTGTGACTGGTCACAGAAATAGCTATGTTAAAAGTTAAAGCATACACATCCGCAGAGGCACCCCTTGACAAAGGAATTAGCATAGAATTTAGCATTGAAATAGCTAAGTTAAAGCATACACATCCGCAGAGGGGTGCCTCTGCGGATGTGTAAGTTAAAGCATACACATCCGCAGAGGGGTGCCTCTGCGGATGTGTATGCTTTAACTTAGCTATTTCAATGCTAAATTCTATGCTAATTCCTTTGTCAAGGGGTGCCTCTGCGGATGTGTATGCTTTAACTTTTAACATAGCTATTTCTGTGACCAGTCACAAGCTAATCACTCAGCCATTTCAATGCTAAATTATATGCTAATTCCTTTGTCAAGGCGCTTTGTTTCCTCTCACACAGCTTAAAGGTCGTGATCTGAACGTGGCTCTTTCACTCCAGCGCTGTCCTACCAGACAGTCTCGTCCCTTCACCTGATGAAGGCCGCTTGTGTTGTGGCCGAAACGTCGTGAGAATATTATTGTGTTATTTTATTTTATCAATTTATTTTTTTTATTCTCATTCTACGTGACTTTACCGAAAGAACCAAAGAAGATGAATCATTGCAGTCACGAAAGCTTTAAATCGAAATTTAACAGGAGCATCAATCAAAGTATCACATTTTTCAATGCACCTTTAAGATCAGCACACTAAATCAAAATACAGATAATACTTTGCAGCGGTCATCTGGAGCGAAACATTTTATTTTATTTTAGGCCACTGAATAGCAGTGGCAGCTAGGGGTGTACAACTCCTCTCGAGCAGTTTTGAGTGAAGATCTCATAGGTAGTGATTCAAGTTGCAGTTTATTGGCAATAGTATTCCAGACCCTGGGGGCATCAATAGTTAAGGCCATTCCTCCGGTTTTTGTATGGCAATAGGGTATGTGAAGCTGGTAGATGAGCGAAGACCTGAGGTCAAATTTGTTCTTTGAAACAGAGAGGAGATCTTTGAAACAGAGAGGAGATCCAGCAGGTAGTCTGCGGATTTTGTTTGTAAGTACATCGTGAATAAATAAGATCTGGTGTACAAGCCGTCGAACATTAAGAGATGTTAAGTTTGACCCAATGTAGAGATCACAGTGGCGAGTCCCATATGGGCAGTTCAATGCAAATCTTAACGCCGAGTGATAGCTGGAATCAAGCTTGACAGGAGAAAACTGAGATTGCTGTGTGCCTTCATATTTCACTGTGTCTCTACTGCTACGCCTTGCGTGATAAGAGAATGGCTAACTTCGACGGCGTGCACGTTTATTTAATTTATTTTGAGAGTAACTAACAATTTCTTGGCTTTACGCACGTCTGCGCGAGACACTGGCACTGCACAAGACTAATTAGTTGTCGGCACACCGCGTGGAGAAAGTAAAAAAAAGAGACAACATAAAAGCTGTCATGTAAGAATCAAAGGTTCCGCTCGCCCCCAGCCGTGTCTCGAAGGCTCCAGCTGGGGTAATAACGTGGGCTGCATCTCGTGCATTGGGCCCAATCTGCTATTGGGCGACCTCTCGGCAAACTCCTCGAGCGAGTGGCCACATGCGCCTGGGGGTGCCCGCGCCATTCGCCGCTCTCGTTTCGAGCGCTGCTGCACGCGGGCCGCAAAAATGTTCCCCTCGTCAACACGGCAGCCCCGCCGCTGCCAATCCACCCGCCCCGATCGCTTGGTAAGATCGCAAAATGCATGGCCCCCACCCCCCTTCCTCCTCCTCAACCCGCCCGCCGCCGTGAAGCTGCCGCCACTGACTGGCCACTCCCTCTGCCGCCGCTGCCGTGCTCGCAATGTCAGGGACGTGCGGGCAGCAGGCAGGGGTGATCGCTTCGTTTTTGCTACGGCGACGAGCCAATGAGGTTTTGCTCATCAGTGAGCGCTCCGGAGCGAAGGGAGCGCTGCGGCAAGGGGCTGGCAGCTCGGCCAGGGGCTGCGTCGGCGCCAAATGCACAAGCGCACTCCCTCCCTTCCCTCCCTCCCTTCCCTCCCTTCCCTCCCTCCCTTCCCTCCCTCCCTCCCTTCACTCCCTCCCTTCACTCCCTCCCTCCCTTCCCTTCCTTCCCTCCCTCCCTTCACTCCCTCCCTTCACTCCCTCCCTTCACTCCCTCCCTTCACTCCCTCCCTTCACTCCCTCCCTTCACTCCCTCCCTTCACTCCCTCCCTTCACTCCCTCCCTTCCCTTCCCTCCCTTCCCTTCCCTCCCTCCCTTCCCTCCCTCCCTTCCCTCCCTCCCTTCCCTCCCTTCCTTCCCTCCCTTCCTTCCCTCCCTTCCTTCCCTCCCCTCCCTTCCTCCCCTCCCTTCCCTCCCTTCTTCCCTCCTTCCCTTCTTCCCTCCCTTCCCTCCCTCCCTTCC